GCGCTTAAGTTTAGGCAAATTGCAACTCAAACTGCGGTTCTTCCCGAATCTTAGTGTTTTAAGCCCGGGTTCTTCCGGATTTAGAGCATTGAGATGGCTTTGACCATCAGACCATGGCCACAGGGGATCCATAAACGCTCTTTGGAATCCGGGGTAGACTACTTCTGGATCCACTTGTTTTGGAGAGGCTAGAGGAGTGTGACGCATTTGAGAAATGGTCTATAGCATGGCAGCACCGACTGCTAATTAATTCTACTGACTGAGCTAGTTTCCATTGTATCTTTATGTGCGCCCTTTGCAACAGACTCCCACTTAACGCATCCTCAACCCATCCTACTTTTTTTCTCTTCGTCATCGCTATCAAGACTCTGTTAGAAGTGTACAAAACTTCATAACCACACAATTGAAACCCTTTATTCCAAAGATAGGGTGTCAGAAGGTAAAGTCCTTCACCACCTTCTTCAGCCGAACTGGGGTACCACCACCACCACCATCAACATCAGGCCTGCTGCCCAGTCTCTTCCACCGCAGGAAACTTTCCCTCTTCTTCTGCAGATGACCTCAGAGTTTGTGCTTCGGGCCCAGACCTTCTCCGCCAAAGTCGTACAGCAGCTGGGTGATCTCCTCCGAGATCCGTAGGGCATCATCCACCCGCCCTTGATCCTCATAGGAGTGGAGGAGAAACCACATGGCTTGGACTGGATCGAGCAGGGTTTGTTACTGTGCGGCCATATTCAGGGTTGAGAGCAGAGAGGGAATCTCGGGACATGGAAAGAGAGAGACAAAGAGCATGCATGCACTTACTGCGATCCGTATGTTCCCCATCCGCACGCCTGGACTGCTCATATCTCTGTTTGGAGATGACATCGATCCAGATGGCCTGCGCCTCCGCATGTCGTTCTTGACGCCAGTACAGATGCCCGAGCCACGTCCGAGCCGCCAGGGTCCCGAGGTGGTTCGGGCCCAGATTCCTCTCGGCGACGGGCAGCCCGTCGAGGAACAATTGCTCGGCCTCTGCAAACCGATCCATCGCGGTCTGGATTTTGGCCACGGTGAGTGTCGATTGGAGGGTCAAGGGGTGTTCCCGGCCCAGGGTCTGGGTGCGGATCTGCAGAACCTCCTCGCTCATCTGCAGCGCGAGGGGCAGGTGCGCTTCGCCTAGAAACCCGTAGCTGCTCGCCAGGTTATCTTGAGCCTCCAAGGTCTGGGGATGCGTGGGGCCTAGGATCCTTCGCAGTCCCTCATAGGCTCGAGACTGCAGCTCGAACGCCTTCTCATGCTCCAGATGACGATGTTCGACATGAGCCAGGCTCTGGACGGCCGCGCACGTCGTCTCATGCTGGGGTCCAAACCCGTCCAGCTGGGATAGCTTGCGGACGACTGCTTGGTGGAGGCAATAAGCCTCCTGGAGCCGGCTGCCTGCCAGACAAGTGGCGCCAAGGTCATCCATGATCTGTAACGTGAGGGGATGATCGGGACCATAGAAGCGCACGGCCGCGTCCAGCACCCGATATTGCAGGGCTCTTGCCTCGTTGTTGCGGGTCTGCAGAGCGTAGGTCTTGGACAGCAACCGAGCAATCGTGATCCCGTGCTCAGACTCGGGACCGGATCTGGCGAAGATGTACTCCTTAACTTGACGCTGCAGCTCCTCGGCTTGGGCATATTGCCCACACTGAAGGTAGACCAAGCTAAACTTGGCGGCTTCTACTGCCTGGTGAGGCCTCCTTAAGCCTCGTTGCGGAGGCAGAAGGTAGAGGTACGCCGTCTGGTGCCACGGCCGACGCCCGCGTCTCTGATTCTCGGCCAGCCGGGCCTCCACCTCCGCTTGGCACCTGCGCACATGCTCCACGTGGGGATGGATCTGGCGCTTATGCCTCTCACCCTGCGCCGTGGACCCCCGTGGAGCGTGGAAGCAGATCGACTGCGCCAGAGCGGTCGCGGCTGCTTGGCACCAGAGGGCCTGCTCGGCGGTGCTGGTTTCGGGCCGCTGTCGCACCCAGGTATGCACCATCGGGTGCATCCAATAACTGTTGTTTTCCTCGTGGAGGGTCACCATGCCCAGACGAACCAGGAGCGACAGCGCGCCCCGTAGCCGATCTTCGTCGAAGGGCTGGTCATCCTCGTCGCGCAGGAGATCCGGCAGAGTCGCACTCGGTCTGGTCCGCCGGTCGGCCATGGTGGCGATCCACTGGTAAGGCCCTGCTATCCAAGCCCAAGTCCTTGCCCTGGGCCCCGGAAGCAGGGATGATAGTGATTGCTGTTGCTGAATCGTCTGCTCGCGCCGCGCTTGAGTCTCTTCTCGTTCTTGCCGAGGGTTCGTAGCCGCGGCTCGGATCAGATCATACTCAATGTTCTCCCAGTAGAAGAAGGAGAACATCCTCAGCAGATCCAGCGCATCCCGAGACCGCTGATCGCTTCTGGATTCGAGGCGCACGTAGATCATCTCGTACGATGAATACACCCTCAGATTGGAGGATGCATCCCCATGGTCATTCGCCTCGCGTGCACGCGAACGAGTCCGAGTACTTCGCGACCGGCGGACCCGATTCCAGGTGCGTTCATAGTACTCAGGATAGTCGGTCAGCGAGCACAGCTGATCCAAGATGGCTTTCCCGGCGTGGATCAGGGCCAGAGGCAAGTAGCCCAAGATCTGGGCAATCCGGTCGGCGTATTGTCCGGTGGACACCCCCCAGGGGCGCGGGCAGACGGCGGCCGCCAGCAGGAGGTCGCTCGCTTCCTGCGTCTCGAGTTGATCGAAGTGGAAAAGTCGAGGGCCTTCCGTTCCGTATTGCTTGCTGGTCGGGTTGCGCGTGGTGATCAGGATCACCCCTCGTTCTCCGGCCGGAAGGCAGCGCACCACGTCCATCTCGGGGTCGTCGGCATTGTCAATGAGCAGGAGCCAGGGCTGCCGTAAGCTGGACAGCCACGCTTTGGCTGCGTTCTCGTTCGCTTCCACGCCGCCGATCCGGGCAATCCGCGCATAGGAGTGTTGGATGTTTACATAGGAGCTTCCATCGACCCAGAAGACACCCCAGAAACTGAAAAAGGGAACTCTCGGGATAAGTCCTATGCCTCTCTCACCGCGGCCAAGCACTAGTACTTACTGCTTTCGATTGTCCTGAGCGAACTTGCAGCAAAATTGGGTCTTTCCCGAACCTCCAAGACCATAAATGACGAATCGCTTCTGATGTCCTTGATGTTCCGGGGTGAGGCCGCCGCTGAGCGTCGCTTTCAACTGTTCTAGCTGCTTGTGGCGGCCTGTGTAGTAACTGCTCACATTCTGGGGCATGTCGAAATGCTCGTTGAAGCGGATCAACGATGCTACCACGTCGGCGCACCCAAGCGAGCTGCAGAGCTAGTATTTGGCGAGTGATTCAGTAAGCAGGTGATTCTACGTTCTGTATCGAGGGTGGTCTATCCCATGCCGGAATCACCTACACTGTCCGAATTGGGCCCCCCTCGAAGTTCTCGGCGTAGGCTATTGAGCCTAATCTGCATTTTGGTGTTCTGGCGCCGCAGGTTCTCGGACAAGTTGCCGACGGCACGGTCCTTGGCGGTATGCGACTTGAGCGTGGAGGCACTGCAGCAAGTCAGCGGGGGGAAGGTTGGGGGGGGGGGGGGGGGTTTCTAGAGTTAAGGGCCAGCCTTTTGGAGACACACAGAGTTAGTGCATTCAACAAGATCTGGATGCCAGCCTGATGGTTGGCGATGCGCTGGCGTAGCTGCATGAATTCCCCATCGCGGCCTTGTTTTCGGATCGTCTTCCTCAACCCATCCAGCTTGCCAGCCACCTGGAGGCCATTGCTGCCAATAACTGCATTGAGTAAGGTCTCCAGCTGCTCGACATGGCCTTTGCTTTGCTGCAAGAGCATGGCGAGATTCTTCCAGACGTCGGTGACATGAGCCTCGTCGTTGGCCAAGATGTCGAAGCTACTCGGGTCATGCCAGGAATGCCAGCAGTCCTCGACCGTCTCGTTGACCGCAATCAGTGATGAGATCTCCTGGCTCAGAATGGTGAGTTCATCCTGGATCTTGGCAGATGCGCTTCGGATCGTGGCAAGATAGGAGATGATGCGAAAGGAGACATCCGTCAGTCCTGCACTTCCAACGAGAATCGAGAAGGGATCCATGGATTTTCCTGCAGGACAATCGGGCTCTGGAGAATATTCGGAATAAGCGCCTTCACTGACAACATATCAATGAGGTAGTCGTGGCAGTTAAAGGGGGCCATCGCGAAGTCTTCGACGCGATTAGTCATCTCATTGTCCCCATTACCTAGGTAGTTAACTACCTAACTGGATAATCCCCAACTGACAGGGCTTTTGCGATGACCTGAGACTATGATTGACGTGTACCGAACACCGAGGCTTTCCTTTTGCTTTTTTACGGTGGGTGGCTCTGATACCCGTCCAGTCACTGGGCGATTCCAGCACTGCCTTCAAGCCCTAGTCCTCCATCCGCGGTGCTAAATTGCCCCCATTGGTCTGTCACCCTTTGCAGGCATACGATGGCTAAAACATTATTTGTATCATGGCTTTCTGAGGAGTCGATCAGGGGGAGAAAGAGAAATCTGACCCCCCTCCTCCCCCCCTGAGTCTCTCATGATAATCCATGAGAGAATACTGTCTGATGCCTTGGATTGAAAGGAAGCAGACAGACAGACAAACAAACAGACAGACAGACAGACAGACAGACAGACACTCTACAAAGAATGAACTGCCTGACCCAAGGGTAACGGTGCGGGTGTTTCCGAGTACCAGGAAATTGCTGAGTAGCCACGGGATACTGAGTTGACAGCCCGACTTTTGGCTTTAGGGGTCCATGTTTCTGAGGGACAACGAAGCTCATGGAATCAAAACACGAGACTTCTTTGTTTAGAGCTCCGAGCAATGTTGGGTCTGTCTGTCTCTTTGATATCTCTATCCTCCCCATCTTCTTCGAGCAGCTTCAGTTATAGCTTTCTCCTCCCGTACATACATTGTCTCTTTTCGAAATTCGCCATGGACACAATTCAGTGGGACCTCATTGATCTGAGGCCATGGCACCTCGTTCTCAGTCTCTCCCTACCCTGGTGGATCCTTTTCTATCTGAGGAGACGTCGCCAGAATAAAGTACGTAACTGGGCTTTCGGGTGTCATTTCCCATCAGCGCTCCTCGAACTCACCTCGAGTCTCTCTAGGCCGATGAGCTCTTTGGTCAACAGCATGGATGCCAGCCCATCCAGCGGAGATTGCCGTACAAGTGGCCTCTGGCCTTCGATGTGTTCAAGAGCCAATATGATGCTCTCGCGCGTGGCAAGCTACTGGCCTACCAAGCCGACTATTTCCAGCAATTCCGGGTCGGCCAGACTTTCGAGATCCGGCTGCTGGGTCGCGTGGGCTACTTTACGATGGATCCCAGGAACCTGGAGTCCATGTTGCAGACGCGGTTTGACGGTATGTTGAGGTCCTGTCATGGAATCTCCCAATTCACCCCCAACCGAGTACTCATCGAATTCACCAATAATGCTTTGATTTTTCCTAGACTGGGAACTCGGAAATAGCCGGGATGGACTGCTGCCCATGATCGGCACGGGCATCTTCACCCAAGACGGCCTCGCCTGGAAGCATTCGCGCCAGCTTCTTCGGTGACAGTTCGCCCGCATCCAAAGTCAAGACACCGAGATCTTTGACCGTCCGATCGACGACCTCCTCGCCACCCTGCGGTCGTGCCCCGGCGACATCGTGGACCTGCAGCCGGCCTTTTTCCAATTCACCTTGGCCACCACCATCTTGCTCATCTTCGGGGAGACGTCCGCCGGGGGCCTGGCACCGAGCGATCACGCCCGGTTTGCCCACGCCTTTGATTACACCTCGCTGATCTCGGCCATGCGGATGCGGCTGGCGGACTGGTGCTGGGCGTACAGTCCCCGAGCCTATCGGGACGCCTGCGGGGTGATCCGCCAGTATGCCACCCACTACGTGAGCCATGCGCTGGACGATATGCGAGCGAACGGAGAGGAGAAGGCGGCCCCGCGCCATCCATTCATCCTCGACCTCCTGAAGGAGCTCCGCAGCCCCGAGCTGGTGCGGGATCAGCTCCTGAATGTGTTGATCGCGGGGCGAGATACGACGGCTTGTCTGATGTCGTGGGCGTGGTAAGTGGACGACGCCTTCCACCTTTGCCTTGATATGCTCGCCTTCAAAACGATCTTCTCACTCATGAGTTCACCTTCAAAGCTATCAATTAGTCCGCCACCCAGCATCCCTTGAGCGTCTTCGCCAGGAAATCCATTCGACCACCAAGGGTGAAAAGCAGTTGACTCGAAGCCAAATCAACAAGATGACATATCTGCGATACGTTCTTAATGAAAGTGCGTAATGCCCCCTTCCTCTCTTCCCGTCACCCTCACCAGCAGGGCTAACCCCTAGTCCCCTGCAGCCAACCGCCTATACACTCAGATCCCCATGAACGTGCGCCTCGCCCGACGAACCACCTACCTCCCCCGCGGTGGCGGCCCCGCCGGCGACTCGCCCCTGCTCATCCCCAAAGGCACCGGCGTGGGGTTCTCGGCCTACCACATGCACCGCAGCCAGGAGATCTACGGGCCTGACGCGGAGGCGTTCCGACCCGAGCGGTGGGCGGGGCCCGAATTGAAGAATCTCGGGTTCGCCTTCATGCCGTTTCATGGTGGGCCACGGATATGTCTGGGAAGTGAGCGTCCCCCCTGCCCCCCCCCTAGGCCCCTATCTTTCCCCCTCAGATCGATAGACCGATACACCTGGAGAAGGATCTTTGGCTGACGATACCGTATCATTGATGAAATGACAGAAGACTTTGCTCTCACCGAGGCCTCGTTCGGGCTGATCCGACTGATCCAGGCGTTCCCGAACCTCCGCAAAGCACCCGATGCGGCGGATGTGATGCCCGGCCAGGAAACGCAGACCCTCACGCTCGTCGTCTCGAGTGCGGAGGGGTGTAAGGTGCAGCTCAATTGAGGTGTTGACCGGGGTGACTCCGACTGACCACGGGGCTTTTTTTCTTTCTTTCTTATCTTCTTGCTCACCCTTCAGATCGAGTCGGTGGTTGATGTTTTGCGGAGAGTCAACTGTGGCGTTTTTGGATGACTGCACTTAGATAACATCGGGGAACTGAATGTAGTCTGCTGGATGCGGGTGCCAAAGTGGGCCAATTCCACATGATCATCCTGCAGATTGATAGATGGTGGAATGTGGCTGGCAGCGGGGAACCGCTCGGCATGCGGGATTGATGATTGACCCAGACTGATAATGCGAAAAACCTTTTCCAATCGAATGTATCTCTCATTCCCGAACTCTCTGACAGCGACTCGATCACGCTCGTCATGTCTCCACGCCAAATCGACTATTTATCCCTTCCCCTCCCTTCTCAGCCTTCTTTTATTCAAGGCGAGCCACCTAGAAGCAGCTCCGCTTAGGCAGGCATGATATATACAAAAAAAAAAAAGGCCAACTCCTGCACCTCAAACTGCAGCTTCCCATTCCAAACACAAGACTAAGGATGATAATGCTCGGGGGTGGTGGCGGTGGTGGCAATAGCAAATGGAAGCTGCTTTTTGCTGGTCTCCTGCCGTTTAGTCCCTCTCACCCCACCCCGGAGGGACTGGCATCGGTATGCCCTCAAGGCGCCCAGTACCTGAGACGCGAGCCTTGTCTCTTCATCTCTATCTATTGCCACGTTGATAGGATAGATAGCACCTGAACAGCGATAAGACCCGAAAGGATGTTGTTTTTAGCCACTCCTGTATCTGGCCGGGTCTTCCAACCCCCCAAACAGGCCTCCTTTTAGCAAACTTCGAGGTCAAGAATGGAGAGTTGCCTTGCAGAACGTTCTGGCTTGTTTGCTCCCGATGGGGGATGGAATGGGCGTGCTGGTGGTGCGCGTGCTGAAGTAGGCCACACGGGATTAGTCCGGGGCCTTTGAACATGATAGAGAGACAGAGTGTGGGGACTATGCAAGGGAGTCCATGACATACAGTATGCCGGCCCAGAGGGTTGGACGTGATAAATGGAGATCAAGACGATGACGATCGTAAATGCCACGATAGTTGCCGTCCAGATGTCGGTGTCGTCAAGGAGGCAAGCCAGCAGCGAAGCTGGAGGGGAGGGATCCATATGGAACTGGTCGGGAGGGTTGTTTGCTAAGCAGGTGTAATTACCATCATGGATGTAGGTAGATCCGATCATCAGATTAAGTAGGTCACTCCACAGTCCACAGTGCTGTCCCGCACCGCATACGGAATGACCCACTGCATCCGGCGTGATCGACGACTATGTGGGTCACGGGATACGCTAGCTTGATCAGGTGGGTCCGGCTAACATCCGGGATTTCTATTGATCCTTTCCCCCTTTGGGTTGGTCCTTTTACATGATCCATGATCATGGGCCGGGATCCAGACCACCGCGCATGGCAACAGCAACCACAACAGCAACCACCACCACAACAACAACAACAAAAACAACAAGCCCGAAGGAGGGAGACAAAGAAGTATCACGTGATGAATTGGCGGCTGGCATGAATGCCGCACTCATTGATGCCGTTCAATGGAAAAAGACGGGTCTAGTCTATTGACTTTTTCTCCATCTGGACACGTCAATCAGCCCCCCGGTCATCAAGGGTGTCAACACAGTTGCTCCTAACTCGTCTATGTAATCGATCTGGCTACCTCCGTCTTTCAGTCACCATATACCACTTGAGCTGCATCAGCTGCAGCTGGATCTCGTCATGAGCGAGTGCCACACCGCCCAGGACGCTCTAGAGCACGCGCCTGCGATGAGGGCGCCATTCTCCAAGCCTTCCACACGTTCCCCGCAATCCCAATCACTATGCAGGGACAACCTCGTTAAACGGTTACTCAAGCGGAAACCCCCACGACGCCCCAACAATCTAGCCAACTGGCTGCTCGATCATCAAATTGGTGGGTGGTACTCCACGTTGTGTCTAATGCTCGCCATCTGCACCCCATGGACTAAACATGCCCCCCCCAGAGATCCCCCTCAATCTCCTCGCCCTCCTCGCCGTCACCCACCTGTTCGTTCCCCGCGCACGCCAACACACATCCAAATTCTTCTCACCATCGCACTACAAGCCAAACACCGGACAATATGCCATCGGCGACGGGGACTTTTACTTCCTTGGGTTCTGCGTGGTGCTCTACACGGGCCTCCGCGCGGGGATCATGAAGTATATCCTCGCACCGCTAGCGACACACTGGGGGATCTCCAAGAGGAAGGATATCACGCGATTCTCCGAGCAGGCGTGGCTGTTGTGCTACTACTCGGTCTTCTGGACGCTGGGTCTCGTACGTGCGAATCCCGCTATGACATCCTCACCCCTCCAAAGAAGACGCGCAGAATCCTTTCTAACTGTAACCCACTAGTACATCTACGGCACCTCCAAGTACTACCTCAACTTCCGCGAGATGTTCACCGACTGGCCCACGCGCGACCTCCCGGGCCTCACCAAGGTCTACATCCTGGGCCAATGGGCGTTCTGGCTGCAGCAGATCCTCGTCCTGAACATTGAGGCCCGTCGCAAGGACCACTGGCAGATGCTCGCCCACCACCTGGTGACGGTCGTGCTGATTTCCACCGCGTATGCCTTGCATCTCACCCGGGTGGCCAACCTGGTGCTCATCCTGATGGATGTGGTGGATATCTTTTTCCCGGTGAGTTTTTCTATCCTCTCGCCCTTTCTCCACACAGCGAGAGAGGAAGATAGACTTATCCTCAGAGACAGCTCGCTAAATGCCTCAAATACCTCGGCTACACCACCGCCCGCGACATCCTCTTCGGCGTCTTCATGCTCGCGTGGTTCCTGGCCCGCCACGTCTGCTACCTGCTCACCATGTGGGGGATCTGGAAGTACATGCCCGAGACGATTGCGGAAGGGTGCTACCATGTTGCTGCCAGTGGCGCCCAGGACTCGCTCCGGGGACCGACGCCTCTCCCGGTCCATGGCTGGTCCCACCTGTGGACCCCGTTCTATAACCCCACAGGTCCCATCTGCTACAGCGATGGCATCCGGTGGGGGTTTCTGGGGGCCCTGGGGTTCCTGCAGCTGCTGACGGTGCTGTGGTTCGTGTTGATCGTCAAGGTGGCGGTGCGGGTTGTGCAGGGAATTGGGGCGGATGATATTCGGAGTGATGATGAGGAGGAAGCCGAGATGGATGTGGAGGAGGACGAGAACGAGATGGTAAAGCCGTCCCCATCCCCGTCATCAGGGTGGAAGCGCAGGGCGGCCGGGAGTCGACGAACGGCGAGCTCATCCGGCGTCAGCTTTGATCGGAAGGAGTTGCTGAGTCGGATTGGGTGCGAGAAACAGGTGGATTGATGTGGCTATCTTCCTTCTCTTTTCCCAAGGAGGCTGAAAATTAAAAGCAGCCTGTTGGGGCCTGGTCGATTCCCCTGCGCAAAGTCCGGTGTTTTGTACTGTTCGGGTGTGAGAATCTCTTGTTCATGCAGTGGCCTGCATGAGGATCGGTGTTTACGGGGTAGAAGATCGCTGCATCGTAGGTGGATGCCTTCCAAATGGCGTTATGATATACATGAGAGGAAACGAAGAATCCGGAAACTAGCGAGTATGTGTGCTGCACTAGATGATCTTTTATACCATACCTATTATTCCGTGACTTAGTAACCAGCAGCTTCCTTCTGCCACGCTTCCGCACTTTCCGTCGACGCACCATCTAGCGTAAAACCTGCTGCCTGAGGCTTCAGACATTGCATTGCATGCGGATATCTCAATAGAAATGGAGGCCACCTCAGTCACGGCAGGCATACACTGACAGTCCTGTCTATGCTGTATGCCAATCTCACTTCGTCTGTGGGAAACCAACCAGAAAAATTGTTTTCTGGAGCAATCTTCGCACGGAAATTTACATATATATTCCTCCGGTATTATACATTGTGGCTGGAGGGAGGGGTTGTTTCTGCGTGGATCTGAGAATAGATGGACATAGCTTGATCGTAGGTTGCATGTGAGGTCCAGCCATCGCGGCTCATGATCCCCGATAAGCCGTCCCAAAAGTCTTGCACTTCATTCCAGCTTTCACTATCCTCGTAATGTCTGCGGATCTCTTCAGGGGAAAAGTCAATGGGACACTCAACGTGGCCTAGTGGACTCCTCCACTTCCTTCAAACATCGTGTTCAGTAAGCACAATTCGTCAACTACGCAGGATCCGCTCACAACTTACTTCTGTATCCTTATCAACGACTCTCGTAGTGGGATGATATCTGCAGCCCATGTATTCCCGACAAAGCGGATTGGGTCGGTTAGTGTCTTGCCATTTGGGTACTGGAACACTCTGCTCAGAAGTGGGTTTCTTTCGGCCGTGTATTTCTCGTAGAGACCTAGTAGGATCGAATTGATGACCGTGCCCTGAACAGCACTTTGCGTATTTGCGTCCAGTTGCTTGAAGTCTTCAGGGAGTTCGAGTATCAAGTCGCCTTTATAATCGAGAAAATGAGGATGACGGCCTTCGAGGAACAAAGGACCAGCCGATGCGCTTTGCCAGTCAATGATGCTAGTAATATGACCGCTATCGTCGACGAAGATATTAGGAGTGCAAAGGCCTGGGTGCCATAAGAATGACCCTAGGATACCCTCTTCCTGTGGAATCAGATGAGGAGTAGTTGATAGATACCTCTGAAGAAGAGAAACGTGCTCGGCAGGATCATTCTGGCTGTGGGAAACGAATGACGGATCATTTGGAGAACGCGGGGTCGCATGTTTCTGACTCCAAGCTATCTCTCGAAGGGCAGAAGCCTGTATGTAGTCAACCGCAGAAGCCCCTGTATACAGCTATCAGCTTGATCGGCGACGGGGAATCGCTGGAACAGGCGTACATGGTCCACGATAGATATCCATATCGCCTCGCCCTTTCCTCCAGAATGCCGTGTCTACCGTCGGCCCGATAGAAAACCTCTCAGCAATTTTCTGCTTAAGTTCATGCGACAAGTTGCCTCCTTCGACTCTTGCGGGGTGAGATCCAGGCGGTGCGTCTTTCCTGTAAAAAAGGCAACCATATCTGCTCTCAAGTTAGAAGGTACAAAGAAATTTTTGCGCCTTGAACCATAGGGATAAACATACTCGGAGAATTTCAACGATAGAGATTTGTGTTGGGTGGTCACTATATCCTCCATCGTCCGCACCTTACATTCAAGGTCCATGTCTGTCCAAACATCTGCGAGATTTTTACCAGGGGTATATTCCATGATGATGTACTCAGCCCCTACACGGTTCGTAGAGTCAACTGCCGAATTCCACGCAAGAACTTTGGGGACTGGAAGACCGAGTATGGTTCTTAGCTAAAACGTTATGTCAGATCACGAAGATGCAAATGTAGATATGGATCATTGAACACGATCGATGGTAAGATTTACTCACAAAGTCCATTGTGGCAACCTCGGACGCTGTGGTCAAAAAAGCCGGCCCAGCATTCGGATTTGGAACTCGGGCAACAACTGTCTTCCCATTGCCCATGGTAAGCTTGAACGACTTGTTGTATGACCCTTCTCCTATCTTGGCCATACGCACACAGGACCCAGAAGATGATGAATCCATAGCAACCTTCTGCATCTCAAGTATATCGAATTCGCGATACCTCTCTTGAAGTTGCTGCCTTTCATCCCAGACCCATCGTCCACTCGTATACGGATCTCCGACAATATTAGCCATCCGAAGCTGAGGGTGTTGATAGGAATAACGTCGTCGGCTTGAGATGGGTAACAGGGTGGTCTCTCTCGACAGCCCTGGCGAAATACTCCGAATCCCGTTTAACATGCGCGAGATTATGGGCATGATTATAGCAAACTATCGGATGATCATGGAAGATTATTCTATCGCAGGAGGCGTGCGTAACTTTATTTTCAGTTATGTAGGCGGTTTTCTTGGGTATTAGTCATCACCTCGGCATGCTGTGAAGTTTGCCCCGGGCTGACTGGGTGCCGTGCCTCATGCTGGACTATATACTAGTAAATACTAGTGATAATATCAATTTTCGCGAAAGCGTGTCAATGATTCTACGGTCCATCAAGTTTCTCTTAGGAAAAGGGCTTGGCGTTGAACGGCAGCTATTCTGAAAATTGAGCACTTAACCGTACTTACTTCTGAGTACATAAAGTAACGTTATCCGTTACAGCGGCCCGGCCCGGCCTTCCATTTACAGAGAATCGTTCTCATACCTAACGATACCGTTATTTTCAAGCTGTAGTGGCCTGCTTATTAGGGAAGTGCAGCCGAGCGTGGAGCATTTACCGGTCGATACCTGCCGGGCCTTCCAAAAACCGGTCAACCGCCCCTTGAATCGCGCATCTCTCCCCACCAGACGATCCCCAGATCTTGAGAAACTCTGAATCAATCCACTGTCCCCGTCACCAGAACCCCCCTCCGGGGCGGAATATCACAACGAAAAAAAATGGTCGAATATGAGTTCGGCGGACCGTAAGAAACTTACTCCTGCTTTCTTGAGCCTTGACTTCTGCTTACGCTTTCATAGTCTGGGTGCCGCAGCCATCACCTTTGGCCTGCCCGTCCTGCTCTACGCGTTCACATTCGCTTGCAACGACGTGTCTGGCTGCCCAGTGCCATTACTTCTGCAACCTCGCGACTTGACCTGGGCAAAGCTGAAAGCTGACGCTCATTTACTGAGTATCGGTCTGTCGAATTTCCTCTCCTGGAAAGTGACGCTGGTCACTGTCGCCTACTATGTCTTCGGTCTTTCCCTTTAGAAGATCCTTCCTGCAAAAGAGGTTCATGGAACCAAGTTGGTGCACCATGATCGCCCCCTTCAGTATCGATTCAATGGTATCGACACCTTCCAAATCTTTAGGGTCAACGCAAGCTAACGGACGGCATAGCGTTCTCGGCCAGTGTGGTTATTCTCTCTATCTGCGCGGCAGGCACATTCCTCCAAGGGGCCGAGTTCCCCGTCTGGACTTTTATCACCGACAATTACGTGCAACTCCTGACGGTAAACGTTCTCATCTCATACGCCCTATCGGTCTTTCTCTACGTCAACAGTTTCACCATCGACACCAAGTATCCCAACCGCGACCTTCGAGAGCTAGCTGCCGGCGGCATGACAGGCAACTTCATCTACGATTTTTACATCAGCCGGGAGCTCAACCCCCAGGTTACCCTGCCTCTGATTGGGGAAGTCGACATCAAGACGTGGTGTGAAGTTTGCCCCGGTCTGACTGGTTGGATCCTGCTTGACCTGGCATTCATCGCTCAACAATACCGCAACTATGGATACATCTCCGATAGCATCGTGTTCACGACCGCCGTGCAGGCATACTACGTCCTCAGCAGCCAGTACAACGAGTCATCCATCTTGACGATGATGGATATCACGACCGACGGGATGGGCTTCATGCTTGCCTTCGGCGACTTAGTCTGGGTCCCCTTCCTCTACTCGACCCAAGCTCGTTACCTCGCGGCCTTCCCCGTGCGTCTCGGCGGGCCACGAATCCTCGCGATCGCCGCCGTCTTCGTCCTCGGGATTTGCATATTCAAAGCGGCGAACAATCAGAAACACCTGTTCCGCACCCAGCCCAACCACCCCGCCGTGCGGGATCTCTCGTCCATCACCACCAGGCGCGGCACCCGCCTCCTCACCGCGGGGTGGTGGGGTCTCTCCCGGCATATCAACTACTTCGGCGACTGGTTGCAGGCCTGGCCCTTAGCCTGCCCACGGGGGTGGCAGGGTACACGATACTCCCGGCGGGGGCTGCAGCGTTGGCCTCCTCGGGCGATCTCGCCGGATCGCCGTCTCGCACGATGTTGGACGGGCGGGTCGCGATGCAAGGCCCGGCAGCCGGGTGGGGGATGATCTTCACCTACTTCTACGTGCTGTACTTTGGTGTCTTGCTCGTCCATCGCGAACGGCGGGACGACGCCATGTGCGCGAAGAAGTATGGCGAGGATTGGAAGACGTACAAGCGGACGGTGCGGTGGAGGATCTTGCCTTGGATTTATTGAGAACGGTCTAATGAGGAGGACTAGTGCAGTTGACAGTGTCCGTTTCAGTAGTGTCGGTGGCCCTCCTGAGGCCTTGCCGGTCAGTTGCTCTGAAATAACCCTCACGTAGTCTACGATCTCGTTGTGGTTCATTCTTTGTTGTCTTTAATTCTAGTATCTTCATGTTTTCTGGTTATCATTTCTGTAATCTGCTTTCTGTTTAGATGTGCACCGCGTTTAGTGAAGGCAGTAATTCAGCATTTGAGGGAGTGGCTCGGCCCTAAGACCAACACATGATGAGCCTTGGCTTTGAGAATCAGCCAAATCGGTATTAGATTGATTGCCCCGTGATCCGTGTTCTAACAGTCAGCGATAGATGATCGTCAATATATGACAGTGGGCTTGCAAAAAAAACATACAACAGAAGGGATTCGCTGGTGGTCACCCACCCAACTACTAACCTCCCGGCGTGTGGCTTGAGTACAGCTGAGCGGACGGGAAGCCCTAGTTTCCACACCCTGTGGTCGTATGCGCTTATTCTTACTGCCGCTTAAAACATATGCACTGATTACATGAATGTGCTCTAGGGGGGGAGATCTTCCGACTCTGAATCTGCTTGCTCGGCATCAGCTGTGCCTCCTTGTGGCTGCGGAATAGCTACGCAAGACTCCGTCAACCCAGACCCCAATAGCTCGATGTACTGACTCTTGACTCTGAGCCAGTGTGTACATACAAGCAGTCGGCAGCATTCAGACGTACACCGGATACCCCTCGAGCTCCAGTACCTCGTTGCCAGCGTTGGCTTCCACTGTTAACGTCAACGCCACGGTGACAGCCAACCGCACCACGTCGTTAGCACTTCCCAGACAAAAGAAAATCTTACCGAGGGTGAGCATTGATCATCTTTGTTGCAGCTGGCTTCTCCCCACGGGTCTATCAATCTCAACCTCGACAATGTCACCGCGTATGAGATGACCAAAAGCTACACGCTCTGCCAAGACGCAATGTCCTACTACAGCCCCGAGGATGACAATTTCATAATGTGCGATCTCATGACCAATACCCCCTGGTACAGTGAATGGGATCGCGTGTGTGACTTGGTTCTAAGCCAGCCGACCCCTGCCATCCCCTTTCAATACGAGCATCCCCCTGGTCACTGGCAGCGAGACGGCGACGGCTTCGACTTTGGGCGATGCCGCCGCGGGCTCAACCTCAACGATTGCGTCTGCCTCTCATACGGCGACTTCGACCAGCCCCTCGGCCAGCACCACTGTCACGTCTACCACCACAACCTCTGCCGCTACGGCCACGGACGGCACGTGTGGCGGAACTACGGGGTACACGTGTGAGCAATCTGCCTTTGGTGATTACCGCAGTATCTGGGGAGACTTGTAAGTCGTCTTGATGAAAATTATCCCCAGGCTCTGCGGCGCTGACAATGGGGGTTATACGTGCTTCGGCTCCCAGTTCGGATCCTGTTGCAGCATCGATGGATACTGGCGAGTGACTGACCGGGGGAATGACCGTCGGAGGCTGGCTAACCGAGATGGCAGTGGATCCACCGACGAGTATTGCGCATCGGCCATCTGTGATAGTTCCTATGGCGGGTGTAATTAAGTGAAGGCAGATTAGCAGCAGGCCCTCGGGCGCGAGATGAATGGGCGGGGTAGGACCCACAATCAACATTGCTTGTAATGTTTTGTAATCCTTTTTGTGGACCCTTTCTTCCCTATGAAATTTATGTAAACTCGGTGGACTGGCGGGATGAATGCTTTCACCCCCTTTCCTTCTTTTCTTCTGCAGAAATTCCAGTCCTGAATGCCACAGCGGATGTCAGAAGTACCCTGGCCGGCGGGAATTCCGCAAATCCGCCTGCATCTGACAGATTTGGACCCGGAAGAGCTCGCGGAAGAAGCCAAGGGATGGTTGCTATTCGTACGGGTAAGGGGAGATTCTGCGGAGGCACACATCCCTATCATGATATGTCGCACTGACGGTTTCCGATCACTTTCTCGCCGGCTGCAGGAAGAATCCCACCCGACGTCAACTACAGAAGATGGGCTTCGCCAACGACGAGCCCTAATCGAGAAATGGGCTACCGCAAGCCAGGAGTTCCGCGAGGTCCGTATAACCCCCGAAGTCTCCAGATCCTTCCTCTTGTCATCCTCCTATCTGTCCCTCTCTTGCCTGCTTCATCTTCAGCATGAATGAGCATGAGTGGAAAAGGAGGAAGAAGAAGATTGAAGGGTAACACTGCCGCAGTCCTACCATAGTCGTTCCCCAGGGTACACCTCGGCTGTCGACTACCCGACCCAGGTACTCTCGCAGCTCGCCCCGAGACCCAACAAACGCTTCTTGTGTTTGGCCCCAATAGACCGGGAGACCTATTCGCGCAGCTACATCCACCTCGTAAAGTTTCTTATTCTGTTATACGTCCACCAAGATGAATGGAGCAGGCGACACCCCTTCGACCTCCGTGGGGCGGGCAACGCCCCCCGCTGCCACATTCCAGAGCTGCTTGGCTGCCCTCCGGCGGCCACAGCTACCACTAACGTTACCCTCAGCAAGGTCCTTCCGGCACTGTATCTCGCCCCGGCGGATTACTACGCTATTTCTATGACCCGTCAGGGTACGGTGGTATTCGCCGACGGGCCGGATCTTACGTGGTTCGTTATCGATGCGCCGGGGCTGGCCACGGGGCGTCTTACCCTGGTAGAGTATGGCTCTAATGGCGACGTCCGCATCTCGACCCTCCGTCGACCCTGGAATATAGGGCAAACTATGACCTTCGAGCAGGTCCTGGGGAAGGACCTGCACGAGATTGCCGAGTCGGGGATCGGGGGCCCGCCGCAGTATAATGAACCGTACGTGCTGCTGACTTCTCGTCTTCTGATGAGACCTTTCTTGACTGAGATGATCGCAATAGCTTGGACATGAACCTTCCCATCCTGGAGCTCTTGGAGTCAACCCGACTAAACAACAAGTTCCTCTTTCCGGGTTACGGATGTCGGGATCTCTGGGTCCGCGTTATCGAGCAGAGTGCACCTGGATATCTGGAGCTGGAGGCCCAAGGGCGGGAGGTGGAATTCGAGCTGGATGATCTGCTAGTCGTTGATCCATAAAAAGTTCCCCGGTTGCCAAATGTAGACTCCTGCATGAAATAGTGCCTTGGGCGTTAGGGTTTAGAAATAAGCTCGTGTCTGCGGGGCGGAAAGAGGTTTCGACCCAAGGTGTACAAGAGTGATTTCTCAATACTAAATCTCTATCCTTTGTCTTTCTGCAAAGCTTTTGGGCACAGGGCATGCACTGGGCTGTTATGTGAGAATTATCCAGTTGGATGAACTGCTGCCTGAGGCCGCGAGAACAGGCCTGAAAACCGAGTGCATACTAAAAGTGGCGAATCACCCCAATAAGTCACATCAAACCCCCGCACTGCGCGGACGTGTGTCTCAGCTCCTAGAGCTGTTCTGACACCCGTCCTTCATACCACAAAAAAAAGAAAAAAGAAAAGAAAACCCCCCCAAAGGTCGCAGGACTGAAAAAGTCGACCACATGGCCAGACCAGTAAGACAGTGAGATTTGCCGCCGTGCTCAAGGCTAGCTAATTAGCGTATGCATGCCAGGTGTTCGCTAACCCACCCCCGGGAGAATAGATAGGCTGACTGCCCGTCTTGTTTCCTTCGATGGATTCCACCCTGGACAAAGAATCCTTCCTTCAAGGAGTTTTCCACAATGCTCTGGAGATTGCGCGCTCGACTCAAATCCACAAAGCCAGATCGACATGCCCGTAAGAAGCATGACGACCAGTCCCAGCCCCCGAGCACGAACGACGACGACCGCATCGCCACGAGGACCGATCAATGTGTCTCTTCCCTAGACGAGGCAAGAACCGATAATTCCCCAAGAAGAAATCTCTGGGAGGTGGCCGGAGAGAGATTAGACAAGAAACACCGCGAAATTCTGGAGCAGGAAAGCGCTTCCCCCATCACGAACGCCATCGAGGGCGTTATCAAAACAACAGAAGAGAAATACCGCGAGTATAAGGAAGGTGGGCTCAAGATCCGCAAGCGCGATGGGGGGCAGATCGACGTTCGCGAAACCGCCCAGAATATCATCCTCTATGCACTGCAGGCGCAGGAGCTTGTCAAGGCATTGGTGTCGTTTGATCCCACGGGCCATGGTGAGTCACCCAGCCCGTGAACCTTCCATGGTTGTCAGTCTGGACATCTGCTAAAGTCAAAGTCCAGCATCGAGTGCATGGTCGGTCGTTTCAATTGGCCTAACATTCATACAAAACGGTATCCAACGTCGGGACGACATTTTCGAGGCAGCCGAGTATCTCGCCCGCAATCTTTCCTACTATGCGATCGTTGACCGCCATTATCGGGAAAGTCAGGTGGAAAGCAATCGAGGATTGGAAGACGCTCTAGTTGAAGTCTACATAGCGGTTCTTCGGTACACGGCAGAGGTCAAAGAGGCAGAAAAAGAAAGTAAAGTTGGTAAGAAATCCGAATCCGGGATGCTTCCATATGAGGATCGAAACTTATAGCCTGAGAGATCGCATGGTCAAAAGCATCACGGCCCTGACTCAAGAGCCGCTCAAGGATCTCAAGAATACTATCGAAAGCAAAGCGCAGGCAGTTCAGAAGTGGACAAAACTTACGGAAGATCTAGGTAATGCTATCTCCCCTCTGTTAGGATGAACAACAAGAGGCAGCATGCTTACTACTACAGACCGCAGGAGAGAAGCCGAAAGCATACTAGACGGGATCGATGAAGCGGTGGAAAGGCTGAAGATTATCCAATCGCAGACCAGAAGTAAGCAGTCTACTAGGCAATGGCCTTTCGAGAAGACCGCACGCTCATTCCAGCAGGCTTGCAAGATCTAGAGATCCTCGATTGGTTGTCCACGGCATCCTACTCGAATTCCCAAAACAATAATCAAGACCTCCGCGCATCAAACACGGGGAATTGGTTTCTCAACTTACCCGAATACAAAGGATGGAAGGCCACGCCCGGGGAGATTTGTTGGCTCTATGGAGCAGGTGCGTTTCTCTAGTCCTTCACCAGAATCAAAACTGACATTCTGCGCAAGTCGGATGCGGAAAATCGGTTCTCTGTTCTGCAGTCATTCAAGATATTGAGGAGCACTGCAAGCCTGATTCATCGAGGCAGTTTGCCTACTGGTACTTTCAGTTCAGCAATGACGAAACGTAGAAGGTGTACAATATGATCAGGTCCATAATACGACAATTCATGCCAAAAACACTCCCTGAATCTATGGTCAAACTATGGGAAGAGCATCGCCCTCGAGGCAGTAACCCACACCAGCAAAAGCTCGCAGAGATTCTCGACATTGTATTGGAAGCCTCCGAGGATCAGTTCTTCCTCATCCTTGATGCTCTGGATGAGTGCCCCGCGAAGAACGGCGAACGGGGGTTGCTTCTGCCATTTCTCGAAGACCTATTGGGAAAGCATCCAACTAAACTGCATATTCTTGCTACCAGCCGACCAGAGCCTGATATACGCTCAAGGCTGGAACAATATCAAAGCGTGAATCTGGAGGCTGGATTGGCGAAAGATGTGGAAACTTTTGTCCGGGCTCAAGTCACCCACGGCAGGTTGAGTGCATGGGACGACTCGATAAAAGAGCGGACTTTAGAGAAACTGCTTGACATTTCAGAACGGTATGTTGTCCTGATAAACAGATCTATACAGCATGATTGACACGGGTGATTGAGCAGGCGCTTTCGCTGGGCTGATTTGCAGATCAAGCGGCTTGAAGAGTCCAAGACCGAGGATGCATTCTTCAAGGCTCTTGATTCCATTCCAGTTACACTCGAGGATACCTATAGAGATACCCTGGAAAGGCTCCCACCAGATGATCGAAAGGCAGCTCGCACAATCCTGATTTGGCTGAGTTTCTCTGCCATCCCGCTGGATCTGAAGACCGTAGCAGCTGTTGTGTCTTTCCGGTTTCCAGAAGACGTTGTAACAACTTGCACTACTTCCTTGGTCACTGTGAGCATCTCTGATGATACTGTCAGATTGGCTCACTTCTCTGTGAAAGAGTTTCTAGTTTGCAACGAAATCAAGGGTCAGTGGTATCAGTTCTCGACCCTATCTGGTCATGACGTTATTGCAAATCAGAGTATCGACTCTCTGCTGGAAACCACCGAAATTCTCACAAAGACTACTGCCGTTCAAAGCCCACTACTCATATATGCTGCCAATTACTGGGATTACCATCTGGCGGAATTAGGAGATCTACACGCCAGAAGTACCGGTCTCCAGGAGAAGGTTGATCACCTGTTCACCGAGCGCGATGTTTATTTCAACTGGGTGCGCTTGGAAAAGTACTATTTGGATAGGACATGGCTTCAATCATTGGAGGAACTAAAGCCGCCTCTATACAATGCATCACTGAGAGGAGTGAAACCAACAGTCGAAATGTTGCTTGCAAAAGGCGCCAATCCACTGGGAACCATTTATAATGGTTCGCGCGATGCATTATCCGCAGCCGCGGCAGCAGGTCACTTAGAGATTCTGGAGTTGTTGCTGAACAATATGGACGAGATACCCCGAAACGTGACTGCGAGCATGCTGATGCTTATAAGGCCCGCCGAGGCTGATAGAGAGAAGTTGTCGGTCATTTTGAACCTACTTTGGGACAAGGGCGCTTTGCACGACCAATTAAGAGCATCGCATAGGATCATCGATGAGAGACTGGTTGAAGCTGCAGCTAGCAATCAACGCCGCTTGGGCTATGTACTAATGGACCAACTCTTGGATCAAAAAGAGAAGATGGGTGTCAAGATAACTGAAAAGGTGATGATAGCGGTGCTGAACAATGACGAATGTGGTGCAGAAACCATGAACCTACTCCTCAATAGATGTGTTGAGGATATAAGGCTTACCCCATCATTGATGCAGGCGCTGCTTTCCGCAGACAATACTGATGCCGCGATTATTGTGCTGAGTCGGCAGGTGAATAATATCGCTTTGGACGAGAAAAGTCTCGGAGCCCTTACAATTTGTAACAAAGAAGTGGTAGAGATGCTTTTTCGGGAGCGTGGCGAGGAGATATGTGTCACCCAGAAAGTCTTGATCACAGCCGCCAGGTTTGCACGCGATTTGCAGGCACTGAATTTACTTCTGAACAGGCGAGAGCCTGGAGCAGACATTGACAAAGAGGTTCTTCTAGCCGCTGCACAGAACATTCCAGCAGGCAATGGAATCTTGGATTTGTTGCTTGACCAGTGTGGACAAGACGCTGCCATTGATGATGAGATCATCCAGGCAATTGCAGAGAATCCAGTCGAAGGTTTGGCAATGATAAAGACGCTTCTGCGCAGACAGCAGCCGGGATTTGTGGTCACCGAACAGGTACTGTGCAACGCTGCCACATTTCATAATCTGGAAATGCTGGAGCTCTTGGTGAGCAATGCCAGTCGCTCTAATCCTCCTATCACAAGCAGGATTCTTGGCTGTGTGGCCCATAACCTTTACCATACACAAGCCTTGATGAACTACCTATTTGATCTTCGTGGACACAGACTTCCCGTCTCAGAAGATTTTTTGGTATCACTTGCTGATGAGAGCGCCATCAACTCGGACTATGTGCTCACATTCATCTTGGAGAGATGGCCCAAAATTCCTGTAACTGATCGACTGTTCGAAGCGGCATGTTGTATCCCCAACGCCCTGGGGTTGCTATTGGATCGACGGCATGATTGCCTTCCAATTGAAAGAATGATTCAGAGGATAACAGAAGACCATACACAGAGTGGAAGGGCACTAGAGGTGCTTCTCGATCGGCAGCTTGTGGAAGTGACCGAGTGGCTGGTAGAAATGACCGTCAGTAACATCTTTACACTGGAGATTATTTACAACAGGGATCCGGAGTTTCCAGTGACGCCGAGAATAGTCGCCAGCGCAATAAGGAACGTCGATACAATGCGCCTTCTACTCGACAGACAGAAGAACCAAGTCTTAATCACTGAAGAAATGGTCAAAGCTTCGTTGGATGCATTTTTCCCAAGCGACATTGTAAGCTTACTTCTGACCCGCCTGGGACCAGAGGCAGTGCCAATTACAGAGAATATCTTGATATATGCTGTTCAAATAGGCGAAGTCGAGGCTCTAGAGCTGTTTTTAAAACAACATCGTGACCTCAATCTTCGTGCAGTCTGGGAAGCAATGTGGCAGGATCCTGAGATTAGCTCAGATTCTCTGGCTGGGTCAGCAGATGCCCTTTTCCATTATGCCAGTTTCGATGTCTCGGATCAAATGCTGGAGAGGTTGTCATCTGAGGATTTTGACGACTTTATCCGCTCATGTATGCAGCATCGGATACCACTACCCACCACGAAGCAGCATTCGAGTTGATCGTGGAAAGGTCGGATTTGAACACCATCGATATATATTTAGAGGATCACCCTGACTTCCCTATCACTGAGAGGCACTTTGAAGCTGCTGAGAGGAACTCACGACCATACATAGACAAGGACGCTTTGCGGTCGCTCCTCACGGCCAAGTCAAGTTTATCTTGAGGCAAAGAAATGATCACCGTCCAGCAAAATCCCAAGACCAGAACTTCCTTTGATTTCCTTTTTTTTGTCACCTGAATTGACTGCCATGTGGCCACCTTCTCTCGTGGATCTAAGCTCCAGATGGCAAATTGTTTATTCATACTACGTCTTTGCGCTGCTCCCGTAAGTTGCCAGTGGTTATGATGGAAAACCATGCGTTCCTTGATTAGCGGTCAACGAAAGCAATAATAACGAGGAGACAGCGTAATCGAACACAATGAACAACTTCGAGTTTCCTGTGGTCAATTTGCGATTTCAATGATACCATCACCCAGGTTCCAACCTAGGGCTTTTCAGACTGCCGGACGCAAGAAACCCGGCTGTACAGAACGACAACAACAATGCATTCATATTCGTCTATTGTGATATACTCACATTAGCTCCTTTCCCATGGTTGTCTCCCGCTGGCAGCTAAGAGAGGGTAGAATCTACTTACTCCTACTCTGATGAGCAATACAAACAATTCTTCTCAAGATCTATAGTTTTCTGACTGCAGCCGGTTCTCCCCTGCCAGTCTGCAAGACAGAGGAAGAAATCAAGACACGTACAGGAAGCTTAACAGGTAAGTCAAGAAAGCCTCGTGATTTGCTCCGCCCAATCCCACGAACGTTGATATTTGGACGGCACAGAAACGGGAAATTTGACGTCAATGGGGAGTTAGTCGCAGGATCCCAAGTCGACGACTTTCCGCATCGAGGCATTTTCTTGACGATGACTCGGAAGTGCACCGAGCACCGAGTCCACAGTATGCGGGGTAGTTCTGTCTTCCCCACATCTCCACCAATTCAGGATCTCTACACTTACAATTCCAACATGCCATCGATCCACTTCAGCTTCGGCTAAATTCAGTCGGATAATTCGGGATGCATGTTTCTGGCAGGCTGGTCCACTGGATTTATGAAGGGCCAACCTGCCAGAAACTCATCCTCTACCTGCATTGCTCATCTCCCCTCTGTCAATATGCTTCTTCAAGCGGTGGCCCTTGTGGCTCTAACAGTGGCAGACCTTGCCCATGCCACAGCAGTGACCCCCAAACGTCAGACCTCCCAGTCACAGTCATCAGAGCAAGAGCCATCGTTTGCTCCCTCGGTCACTCGGTGGACCGCCGGGCCTCACCTGGCCGTCGACTACTACCCTTCGCAATGGCCCGAGTACATGTGGGAAGATGACATTGCCCAAATGTCCGCTGCCAACATCTCATATGTGCGGATCAACGAGTTCGACTGGGCCATTCTCGAGCCGGCGGAGGGGCAGTACAATTTCACTCTCCTGGACCAGACGCTGGATCTGCTGCAACGGTATCAGCTCCAGGCGATCATCGGGACGCCCACGGCCGCACCACCGGACTGGCTCTACCAGAAGTATGACATCAGTTTCGTCGACTACACCAACACGACCAAGCAGTTCGGCTCGCGCCGGTACTACAGCTCCTCCTCGCCGGACTACCGTCGAATGAGCCAGCAGATCACGCGCCAACTGGCCGAACGGTACGGCAACCACTCCGCCGTGGCGGGCTGGCAGCTGGACAACGAGTTCGGATGCCACGACACCGTGCAGAGCTACGATCAGAACGCCATCCAGCGGTTCCGGACATGGCTGCAGGACAAATACGGCACGATCGACCACCTCAATGCCGCCCAGGGCCGGGTGTTCTGGTCGAACCAGTACACCGACTTCGACGCGATCCACCCCCCGTACATGGAGGTCTACACGCCGCCGCCGAGCCACCTCCTCGACTGGTACCGCTTCAGCTCGGACATGATGATCGAGTTCGCGCGGGAGCAAGCGACGATGCTGCGCCAGCACGCGCCCACCCAGTTCATCACGACCAACATGATGATGGGCTTCCTCGAGTTCGACCACTTCAAGTTCGCGCGGGAGGTGGGCCTCGACCTGGCCACCTTCGACGAATACCCGCTGTCCGGGCCGAGCACCGTCTCGTGGCTCTCCGCCGCCGAGCAGGCCAACTATCTGTACACGGGACTCCCCGACTGGCAGGCGCTGCACCACGCCCTCTACCGCGGCGTGGCGGGGGCGGCCTACAACACCACCGCCGGCCCGTTCGGCATCATGGAGATGGAGCCGGGCGTCCTGAACTGGAGTCCCTACCGGGTCTCCCCCTTGCCGGGGATGGTGCGCCTGTGGACGCACGAGACCTTCGCCGACTCGGGCGACATGGTCTCGTATTTCCGGTGGCGGCAGGTACCGTTCGGCGCCGAGCAGACGCTCTCCGGCCTCTTCACGTCGGACAACACCGCTGACGAGGGCTTCGACGAGATGCAGACATTCGCCCACGAAGATCTCCCTATCCTGATCAAAGCCCTCAAAACCAACAACCACACCCACAGCCAAAAACAGCAGCAGCAGCAGCAAGCCGATGTAGCCCTCATCTTCTCCTACACGGCGCACCAAGCCTGGACCATCTCGCCCTACAGCGGCACCTGGGACCCGACAACAACGAGCTACACCGACCCAACAGTCACCTACCTAGAGCTAGTCTACAAATTCTACTCGGCCCTCCGGCGCCTAGGCCTCTCCATCGACATCCTCCCAGCCGACAACCCCCCGCCGCTCCAGAACTACAAACTGGTCGTGATCCCCAGCCTGCCCATCATCCCGCAGACCCTGGACGAGACGCTCGCCAACCACACGGGCCCCATCATCCTCGGCCCGCACACGGGCGCCCTCACCGAGACCTTCAGCTACCAGCCGGGCCTAGCCCCCACGCGGGGCCCGATCCACGCGCGCCTGCCCATGAAGGTCACGCGCATCGAGACCCCGCCGGACTACGCCGGCCAGAGCGTCGCGTACGCCGGCCGGCGCTTCAACATCTCCGGGTGGGCGGAGTGGGTGGTCTGCGGGCGGGACGAGGCGACGCGGCTGCGGTATACGGGCCCGCGCCACCGGCAGGGCCGGCCGGCGGGCTGCGCCGCGAACGGCGTGCACTATCTCGGCGTGAATCCGACGGTCGAGCTGCTGGTCGCGTATCTGGGGGATGTGGCGCGCGAGGCCAATCTGACGGATGTTCTGGGGCGGCCGGTCCGGGGGGGTATGACGGATCTAGGACCGGACCTGCGGTTTGCGCGGCGCGGGGCCGTGCTCTGGGGGTTTAATTATGGGTTGGATGCGGTGCGGGTGCCTGATATTCTTGGGGCGAGGCGGGTGGTTATTGGGAGTCGGAATGGGTCGGAGATCCCTGCGGCTGGGGTGGTGGTTTGGAGGCTGGGGGGTGATGGTGATGAGGAGGAGGACGCTTGAGAGGGCCGGGGCTTGCGAGTTGGGTGGAGAGTGCTTAGGTACAAACTAAGTGACTGTGCTGCTCCGGAACATCGGAGACGGTTGAGGGGGCGGGGCGTCTTGCGAGCATTGCTGGCAACTTGCGGACTCGGAGCGTGGTGACTACTACTACTACTACTACTACTACTACTACTACTAGCCTCTGTTCGAAGTGTCGCAGCTAGACAGGTAGAGAGGGATGTTAAGTATCAGCGCTGAGGAATGATCATCACTGGGATATTCATGACACGAGAGCTAATTGTTAGGTTGTTAGATATACTGTAGTTGGGTATTGGAAGATGAAAATGGTTGAAGTTGAATTATCAGTCTGATAAAAGTTATAAAAGTTGGTATGGCTGTCAGCTGCGGTGTTCATCTATACATGACTTATAATCCTTGAAGACTGTCCACGACTATTAGGCAGGAGCCCTAATCCACGGAATAATCTGTACTTGTGTCTTTCATTGGATTCCTATCACAAGGGCCACACTAATCGGACCCAGCTTCCTCCGGGCTCTTTCCCTGAGGCTACCTACCTAATCACATCCCCCCCAAAAACAAAACGCCCATATCATGCTAATGCTTTCCCTCTCGTGTGTACATAAACATAAGCATTCCCAAAAGCGCCATATCCATGCAGAGAACAAGCCTCCTCCCAAGATTCCCCTCCATGGTCCAGTGTAGATGCAAACATTGGTCTTGCCAGATAAAACCGATTTCTATCAGTGGGACAGAAAAAAAAAAAAACACAAACGCCGCAGTGTCATGCTATGTCGTAACGGAAAGGTCGAAGAAAGGGAGAAAGAAAAATCTGTACAGTGATACAAAGGGGACGGTAACGGTGGGGGCGGAACGGAGGATGATCAATAAAAGAAATGAAGTGAAGGTCAGGTCTTCTCATATGCATCGTATCAGTATCAAGGTCGTAAAGCTGCATTAAAACGGGGAAAAGACTTTTGCTCGCTTCATGGGTAGTTGAAGCTGGAGTGGAACATGGGCTGTCCAATGGGTCCAGAGGGCCAGGCTTCGTGGTGCAGGTATGGCAGCACGCCCGTCTTGCGTTCGGCAACGGTCTTTCCCAGCGGCTGGTAGTGCATGTGCTCAAACGGGACGCTTCGCTGCTGCTGCAGGGAGGTGGAAGGAGGCGGGATCAGAAGGGTGTTGACACTGCAAACGGGCCGGTACGGCGAATTGCGGTTGGCGAGGAAGAAGGATGGCGACAGGTGGGTTTGAGGGGTAACAGAGTAGGCGGAGACGGCGGGGGAGATGCCAGCCGAGGAGATGGCAAACGGACTGTTGTGGTGTCTGCTGGGGTCCGGCAGGGAGGTGTAAAGACCGTTGCTAAGAGGAGGAACGGTAGGGACAGTGACAGAGGGGGCCACGGTCGTGGTGGTGGTCGGCATCTGCGATGGAATCCAAGTGTTGGGAGGAGCGTATACAGGCGGCATCACCCGGCCAGTGGAAGGCAGCTGGGGAAGTGTGGAGACGGCAGGAGGCATGGTCGGAGCCAGGCTGAGAGAAGAAGAGAAGTTCGGTCGTGGAAGACGAGAGACGGAGTCAGGTATAGCAGGGACGAGAGAAGGCACCGATGTCGAAGGTGCTGTAGAGGTAGAGGTAGATGTGGATGTGGATGGCATGACGGGCGGCAAGGCGGGAATGTTGGTCAAGGCGGAGGATACCGGCAGATTCGGCACCATCGCGGCAGTATTTCTCTTGGACGGCAATTCCTCCACCGCCTCGTCGCGGCTCCGCTTGCGTGGGTTCGAGTTGCTGCTACTGCTGCTGCTGCTGCTGCTGCTGCTGCTGCTGCTGCTGCTGCTGCTGCTCGGCAGGGGCATGTCACTTGGTGGCAATTGACATGCCCCTCCGGCATAAGGCATGCCGTTCATCGGCAGCGGCCAGTGGTGCGAGCGCAGAGCATCAGTCGCAGGCGGCGACGGCAACTTCGAAGGCGAGCACAGAGCAGCCCGGGAGATGGGAGCCAGATCGGAAGAAACCCGCAGTGCAGGAGGCACAACCGCTCTGTCGTTCTTCTCCGCCACTCGCAGAGCGTTGTTGAAGTGATCCGCGAAAAGGCCCAGCTTGACATGCCATTGGCGCCATTCCTCCTTCGACACGTACAGGTTGTAGCGAATGTTGCTCAGAAACTCGACTTCCATAATGTGGATCTCCTGCACCGTGATGCCCGATACCTCGGCCCACGTCTTGTTGGTGTAGGTATTGTCATCGAGGACTGTGGAGAAGTATGTCAGCCTCATCTCATCTCAATTCCCTGCACAGCATCCGCCTGCGAGAAAACCTACATTTGTTCCCCAGCATGAGTGCAATCGTCATCAACCGGTACTCGCTGCCCTTCTTCCCACGTACTCCAGGATTGAACTTCTTCAGGCGGTAAACGAACATGAGAGCGAGCAACACCACATTCTGGCTGACCTGGGTCGTGGAGAGGATGTTGGTCACCCATTTCTGAAAGCCAACCGTCGGCATGGTCTCGGGGGCGAGAGAGCCGGCCGAAGGCGAACGCTCCTCCACGGCCTTCAACTTGGCCGCACTTTCGAACCAGAATAGACATGTCATCTACATTCGTAAATTAGCCCCCTCGGCCGAAAAAGAGAGTTTCTGTGAGACTGCTCACCTGCGCAGCAAACTCGGCGAGACTCCCCTTGCTGTTGCTGTTGATGATCGTCGATGGGATCTGCAGATACGAGGCCGTAGAATTGGTACTGCTTTTCTTCTGACTGTCCTGCTCGCGGGTGTTGTTCTCCTTGACCGGAGGCTGGTAGTGTGGCTTTGACGTGGGGACCATGGCAGTCGCTCCATCGAAGTTCATGCGCGGATAGCCGGAGACCTTGGCGTACGGCGGCAATGTGATTCCATCGAGCTTCGCTCCATAGCCGGACGAGGGGATGACGTTGTACGTCGCAACTCCGTTCATTTCGCTCGGAGGCGTTGGGAGACCGTCCCGGAAGGGAGCAGTCCAATTGTCCGAATTATCGGGGATCGACTCGAAGGGTCGCTTTCTCGCACCGTCTGGCCGTGTGTAGGGGCCGATGGTAGGTGTGACTGGGTGAAGTGTGGGGAGTTGAGGTTGCGGTGGAAGTACCGGGAGAGACATATGGGCAGGAGACGTCCGAGGTTCAGTTAACACTTGCGAAGAAGGTCGGGAGGTGAAGAGCCAGAACACCGAGATATCTGTAACACCGTGCTCATCAAACTCTCATCGGGATTGTCTTGGTCTAGGTTGGGTTAGGTACGGGGTGGTGTTTATTGTTCAATCCCGGCAGCCCTTCAAGTCCGGTGCGTGGGAGAGGTATGCAATGGCTTGCGACCACAGCTGCTGATGTTGATCTGTATCTTTGAAGTTGAACAGGAAAGTCGCCGGGGGGTCTGGTTGGCTCGAGAACCGCGAATATCAAAGGCCGCACGGGGGAATTGGTAGGATAGCAACAGCAGCGGATCTGTTGAATGTTGGCCGCCTCGATGGAATGAAGGCACTGAAGGGGGTGGAAGTATTGAAGTATCGGAAAGCCAGAATCAAGGACGGACAAATATCACATAGTATATTAGTGGTAGTATGTATGTATGATGGCAAGGCAGTGGTGGTAGTAGTAGTAGTAGTAGTAGTAGTAGTAGTAGTAGAAACAGAGTGGATTAAAACAGTAGAACTGAAGTGGCAGTGACCAGAATGATATGGAAGGAGAGGTTCAGGTCATAGATCCTGCACGCACGACCCAGTTGTAGAACCGAACTATATCCAAGAAACTTGAAGACGCGGCAATGAGATGATGATAAAGGAAAGTCAAAGCAGATAATCTTGTTAAGAAAAAAAGTGGTTGAAACCTCGAATGGATTGGATTGAACCCATACAGGAGATTGAAATAAATTGGATGAGGCAGTATGGATCTAGAGAGCGAAAAGGGAAATAAAATTAAATACTCATAAAAATAAAAATAAAAATAAAATAGATTGGGGAATTAATGAAAAGGTAAAGAAGGGAAAAACTAATAATGAAGGATGAGGTCAAGACATCATCCTCCATCCAGCAAGCAGCAGAATAACTAATCAACTCAACTTCATAACAACTCCGCTAGAGGAGCCAGGGTAGGTTTAGTTTCTTCGTCCGGAGAAAGTGCTGTGTCCATACAGGAGAGAGACAGAGTTTGACCCGGACGCAGGTCCAGAGGGTTGATCCTCCCTTCTGGCCTCGTTTGGGTCGGGTCCCGTTTGGTTGACCAGGTTTGATTGTCTCTGCTTTGTCTTGAAGAGAATGAAAATACCGGTTGATGTCAGAGCCACGGGGGGGGATGGGGGGGAGGAGGGGGGGAGGGGGATAGAGGGTGGAGGTGGGAAAGAAAGTGGAAGAGAGGGAGGGAGGGAGGAGGGGGGACAAAGTGGATGCATGCTACTACTACTACTACTACTACTACTACTACGGAGTGTACGGAGTAGTCTAGTTAGTGGAAGGGTAACAAGGTCAGCAGCCCTAGACTAGACCAGTCCCAGCGTTGATTAACTTACCGGACATGAGTACTCAATTCTTGTTGTATCTAGCATGCTGTAGGTCACCTTACCGGTTTAGGGAAGGTAGGAGGAAAAAAAGAAAAGGTAAAAAAAATAAAAAATAAAAAAACAAAAAAAACAAGACGAAGAGGGATGGAAAGTGTGGAAAGTGTAGAAGTTCGGTCTTGGGAATAATACGTGCCTGCTAACTCCGTCGCGAGTCGCGACGGAAGCCCCATATCAGATCCAATAATAAGTTGGGTTTAGCGTCACATTGCAACCGTCATGGTGTGCCGTTCAGAACTTCAGATTTATTTCCCTTTTGGATACTGATTCTAAGTGGTCCGTCCCTCTTTGCTACGGAGTATACCGTCGTCCACAACAGAGTACGCCGTACACAAGTACGCATTCGAGACTCTCACTCTTCTGTGAGAAAAGCAAAAAGTATGCAACAACTTAAGCAACCTCAGTAGACTTAAGAGACTACTATGTAGTTAATAGGACAGCAATAAAAGACTAGACAAAATAATAAGTATGCAACAGAAAAAGAAAGAAACCAGGAAAGGATGATGACTTGCCCATACGTCCATCTAACTATCCATCCATCCATCCATCCATCCACCACGCACCTCAAGGGAGAAGGGGTGTGTGTGGCATTGCTCAGCAGTCCCGGGAGGCACGGGAGAAATTGGATGAAGGGAGGTTTGTGCACGCTGAATGTGGTTGATCGCCGGTTCTAGTTCAACCAGACGGAAGGCAAAGGAATGGGGACGGACGGACAAGTTCAGGTACGGAAAAGTACGGCACTTAGGGGGCTGACGGGGGGTGAGGTGGTCAAGCTGCAATGGGTAATCATGGTATTCATTATTACTATTGTTACGGACACCTGTTACAGGATCATGCCTTCCAGACGATGCTTTGGGGCCATCGGCGGCCCTAAGTTCAAGCACGGCACTGCACCACTCTCTACTACTTACAGTAATTGACCTGAGGACGGGGCAAGAATTAGGCAAGAATTAGGCAAGAATTGAAGTACTCCCGTACCTACTCAGCGACTAACTTACTACGTACCCGGGGAAAAAAAGGGAGGCAGAGAGGAGGGAGAGGCGGGGGCATGGATGGAAATATGGATCGCTGCGTATGAAAACTGTAAGAGGCCTTCAGTGGCACTCACACGCTCACATCTCAAACCACTGAACTCTCTCGGTTCAATGGTTGATTTACAGTTTTACCTAATTACCCTACTGCCTGCAGTTGAAGATGGAGTCATCACGGTCGCAGGGAGACACTGGGACAAGTTCAATGTTAGGACTGTGGCAGTGGCCACACGGCCCAATCTGCGACGTGGTTAGTCAGAGAGAGCCTCCGTCCGGATCCAGTGCAAATTCCAAAATTAATCACCGAGCAGCGAAAATAACTACCTAGTAGTCAGTTATTCGGTATCTCGGTACGTATTGATCATCTAGACAATTCTGGCACAGTCACTTTGGGTCGGCAGGGTGGTTCACCTTTGGCTTAGTAGTACTCCGTAGTCTACTCCGTAGTTACTCATAGTAGGACTCCATTCGCGATGGCAAGGGTGCCGGTGGTCGGTAGGCAGAGGATACAGGCAGTAGTCAGGCTATGCAAGTTATGGATCACGGGCTAATTGGATGGTTGTCATGGGGAGAGAAGAGTCAAAAGAGGTAAGGTATGGGAAGCCTGGAGGCGTTGTGTCAGGTATGGAACGGATCCGCAGAGCTCGTCCGGTATGAAAAGAACCTTGACGGTTGGACAGTTGTTGTCCCTCTAACTGCAAGCGGTCAAGCGTCTCTCACTGCGAGAGGTAACAAACTTTTGCTGGTATCAGTAATTCTTCACACAAAGTACGGAGCACCTGCGGGGCGGAGGTAACTTTGTACCCCCATTACCGCATACAGACAGACACGCAGGCAGGACTGATGGTTGAAAATGTCCGAAGCTGGTAGAGCTTCAAATGAGGCTAAGGAAATGGGGGAGAAACGAAGAAAAGAAAAACACAAAAAGAAAGAGAGAGAGAAAGGAAAAACTTTACTTATCGGCAATATCTTCATCTGGTTCTGATCCACCTTAGGGAGTAGTAGTGAGGGTATTAAAAGGCCAAGACAAGTGATGTGCGTATGTAGCCATGATGTAGCCATGTAAGGTATTTTGTGTGTCTGACTGGGCTTGGTTCGAGGCCTGCGTGGTGTATGAGTATGGGTGTTGTGGATGGACAGGTGTGAATGGATAGTACAAAGGTGCATCCCCAGAGCGACCCGGGCCCAGCAGCGAGGCGTACACGAAACAATGAACCAATCACCCGACTGCCACTAGATTGGCGACTCCAACAGATGGACAGTCCAATCGCTGCGGGTGATTCGACTCGCATCCAATCCTTTTGGCGATAGAGGGCCCAAGAACTTGACTGGACTGCTGCTCTGTGCCTACAGTATTACAGGTATTCATTCTCTACTCCGTACCTTAGACTAGGGTACATTTCCCCCCCTAGGCCTAAGCCGAAGGCAAAACGCTCTAGAGCCTTGCGAAGTGAGAAGGCTGATGAGCATTGCCGTACAGTGGTACCTTTCTACAATAGGTAAGTCTGTAGACTAGCTGAGCCCTGAGGGCTCATACAGCAGCAGCAGCAGCAGCAGTTGTAGCCGTAAGCGCCCCTCTCCTGTCTTTTGCCCTGGTGACTGACTGGGGCGACTAAATGAAACTGGTGGCCGCGGGGCCGACTGGCTTGACTTCAAGTTCAGACAGCCAGCTTGCTTAGCACTAGGTGATGAGTTGAGTAGGCTAGCTAGGAAGCAGGACAGACAGATAGACAGACTGTAAGTGTACGGGAGTACGGAGTACCTTAGGTCATGTTCGATTCAATCCATCCATGATATCCACATCTAACCCGTCCCAACCAATCCCCATCACCACATCACCCAACCTTTAGTTGCTGTTCTCATTACTGGGCAACTCACTCATCCGCTCAACTCACTGTCTGTCAGTCTGTGTCTTTCCCAGGTTCCGTCTGCTCATCTTCCTTTCCCTTCCTTCGCCAGCTCTACCGTCATACTCCGCCCCCGTCGTAATCTTCCCTCCGTCTCTAGTCGGTCGGAACCAAAGAAAGAAGCCTCCTCCGGTCCTGCGCTTGGGGTGGAATGGCTGGAGGATTCGACCAAAAAAAGTCTGAAAAAAACCCGCGCCCAATCTGGTCCATTTTTGATTGTGTTTCCGCCACTGGTGTACTTTTTTTTGGGTCGTGCTGGTCATGATTCAACTTGCAGGAGTGTACGAAGATGGAAAAGGAAAAGAATCCACAGTGGTAGACCAGACCACAGCACACAGACACAGACACAGACACCACTCACATACTTACAGTCACATACCCACCATCGATGGCGCAGGGCGGGCGGCGGCTATCGGGTCTGGGTTTTCCCTGTCAGCTGCTCGTGGAATTCTTTTGGTTTAGGGAATCAGTCAGTCAGTCAGTCATTGTTGTCGTATTCCGTTAAGAGTTTTGATTATGGCCAAGACCCCTTTTCTTAGTCTAAAAAAGGGAAGAAAACATCTTTCCATGGATTGGAAGGAGAGAGAAGGGATATCATCCGTAGCGTTGGGATATTTTCTTGCTCTTCGGTGCGTGCAGGCATCCAAGCGGCAGTACTCTAGGCCTGAAACCGAACAATACCTACAATAGTAGTCAATCAAGAAGGGATATGCGGTGATTGCGCCTGGTCCAAGACACATTCCCTACCTAGTACCTACCTAGGTACTCAAGTAGTAAGTAAGTCATCAACTGGCACCACCCACTCCCTCCCCCTCTCCCCCTACCTCGCATTTGATGCGAGTAAAAGAACCCACGCTAGACCCAACACGGTCGGAAAGTACTTTACTAGATTCTGGCGCGCGACCCGTGAAAGAGAAAAAAAGAGAAGCGAGAGATCTGACTGACCTCGTAACACAGGACGCGTCGCAGTTTCTCTCTTTCCTTTCCCCTCCCTCCTTTCACCCCGTGGTACAGTCCATAGTTCAATAGATTACAACAGACAAACAGGGTGACGAATGCCGAAGATCAATTGTGTGCCGCCCATCACCCTCACCCTTCCTGACCCCATCATCATTCATGGCATGCATTATTGTCGGAATGAAGATGGATGGATAGATCATAACACCCACCTTTCTGGTACAACAGCGTTTCCCTCCGCCTTCCGCATCGATCGGCCCAGCAGTAATCCAAAGATGATGATCGGTCATGACACATGTGTTGGTGGTCATCCAGACCTGCCGACACAGTGGTTAACTTACTATATGACTACCTTAGTATACGGTTGCAAAAAGAAAGCACCAACCACGCCATAATTTCACGACGCTGATTACCTCAAAACGGGTCCAAAATCGGCGCGCGTTCTCAGTAGACTTTTGGGGGGGGGGGGGGGGGGGTGGATAATTCCGACGCTGTGATGCTTTATGATTTCATATACTTCGCTCCGGAGCGGAGAGTCCTTGACGGGCTGCTGCGGAGAGGTCTTTTTGGCTTTTCATGTCTCATCGAGATCCATCTTCCGGACGCGTCTCGAGCAAGAACTGATGTCTGCCTTCGGAAACACCGGTCGTCTATCTTGTCTATCGGTGTCTGCGAGGTAGTAAGTTGCTGACTTGGTCGGAGGAGAGGGTCTGATCGTCAACCGGATCCCCTACGGTGCGTAGGTTAGTAGTCAACTCAACGTCTCGAGTCCCATTACCCCAATATAGTCCGCGACAGAGAAAGGTCAAAGTACGGTCGGAGGCTTTCCTTATCCTAACTTCAGCCCCGGCAAGTTTTGGGTCATCTAGCGATGATGAGACTTCTACTGGCACAACTAGCGTAACGATCGTTTTCAAACTTAAGGGATGGTGGATGTGTGATTGAGTTAGTACAGTTGGTTAGTACAATACAGTAGGTAGTCAACGATGTGCAGTCGAACACCACCAGGCCGGTTGGACTTCCTTCCCTGTCCATAGTCGGTTGGAACTAGGGCTCTAGTCTCACTGTTCAGGGGGGGAAGAGAAGGAGGGGGGGAAGTGACTGCGGCGACTGATGAGCTGGGGGTTCGACTACAGATCTAGTCTGATAGTTCAAGCATGGCGTTATGACAGTACAAGTGCAATCAATGCAATCAATGTACAAAGTTCCAAGATTGGGGGGAAGAGTGGAAGATCGCATTTGAATCCATTCCACAATCCGACATCTCATTCGGCCGGCCATCTCACTACTGGGGAGATGACCGTCAGTGTGGTTGCTCTTACTGTCCGCCATCCAAGTCTCTCCCCCTCGTCGCCCCTTTGACAATCGATCAATCAATCAATCGATGGACGGGGAAGACGGAGAGCGAGGTAGAGGAGGTCTCTCCCACATTCAGCGCCCTTCAGCTTGGATGATTAGGCAATGTGACCGGCATACCCTGCTAGTACTAACATCATGCCTGACTGACCGACCGATTCTTCGCTGCTGCCTCTCTCTGTCTGTTTTTCTACCTATCTATACTTGCAGCTCTGGAAGTCAGAACGAGACTACCCTTCCGCTTTCCGTCTATTAACCTACCTACCTAACTAACGACCGACTTCGTACCGTATCTCTTTATCCTTCCCCTGTTGGTGGGCCTAACAGCCAGGATCCTTTGCTCTCGCTTTCTCCCTTTTGCTTTTCCCGAAATTACTGACTGATCAGGGAGCGAGCAAGCGAGCGACGGACGGTCGAACCCATGAATGCATAGGCCCCGGGTATTATAACTATAACTCTTTCACATTCTCTCGGTTGGGCAAGAGATCAAAATGCGATGGATCTCTTTGTTTGTGTCATCGACGCTCGGGACTTTGTCCACTTCAGCTGTGGCTACCTCTGTACCAGATTATATTGCATCCATCCACCTAAAACGAAGGTAACTATGCGATGCGCATTGAACCACCAGCAAGGCCGACCGACCGGGAGGTGAACGCGCGACTTCGGTTGCCTCGTATCTACTGGTTCGTACCTGCAAAGGAAAGAAGATGGCAAAGCATTGGAAACCAAAAACATAATTAAAAAAAAAATAAAAAGGTACCTGCGGTGACTGGTCCGAAACCATAGCATCATCTCATCATCATCTGGAGATCGGCTGATTGTGAGTCGAGGGATTGGCAATGATAATCAGATGATGGTTTGGCGAAAGATTGGATCGAAGTTCTTTTTCTTTTCCTTTTTCTTTTCTTCTCTTCTCTTTTCGTTTCAATTTTTTTAGGGAATTTTTTTTTGATGAAGAGACGGCGACCGTCGTGGGGATGATTAGACGCCACCTGAAGGTCCCCCATTCATTATTATTCATTGATTCATTGATTCATTCCTGAGGCCGACATGGCCCACACCGACTAAGCAAGTGTAGCATTACTGGTAGTTATTACGGTAGGTTCCAGTTCCAGTTTCCTTTCAACTAATCTTAATTGGGGCAACAGCTGCCGGTCTGTCGTTGGACGCGTACGGTATTCTCAATCCCGGTAACAAAAATACCATCCATTCAAGTTCGATTCACAGAAGTCAGGACTCAGAACCCGAGCCTTGGCACTTGCATTCGGGATAAACGTGTCTAACCCTTCTCATTGGTGCTACAGCCAGAAATTCGAGGTTCGTGGACTGAATGGGGACTGCCTTCGACCAACTCCAAACAAATCAGGGTGTTATGTTGCTCAACCTTGAAGGCTGCCCCAGCTCCTGCTCCTGCGATCAACAGCCTGAGATACCTGATCATTACAGTACCTGACAGCGTAACACGCAGCAGCAACAGCAGCGGCGGCGGCGGTTGTTCCAGAACTTCCGACTGTTGAAGTGGAGCGAGCGTGTGTGCCACTTTCCTTCCGGCACATACGGAGGCAGCAGAAATAGCCACGATGCTATCCCCATCTGCCGGAGTAAACTATAACTGACTACCATGATACCATCACCCATCACCATCACCATCACGTCTGACTATCTCTGTACTAGTCAATCCACTTCAAGCTGAATGGTGATGCCGATGACTCCGTTTTGGAGTGTCACCACGCCTTCGTCCATCTTCTTCTGCCTAGCATCCCAACACTGGGGCTGGGGCGCATCCTTGGGTCGTCGACTGGTTTGGTCACTCGGGCGCAGCAGCAGCGGGCACACTCACTCACAGGCAACATTCGCTAATTGACACCGATTCACTCCTTATAGCAGCAGACCACTGGTCGAGGTGAGATGGTAGGATACTGTATGCGACGATCGCAAGACGCTGTTTGGGTTCGACTCCCAACCTCCAAGGCGTCAAGACTCCAGATGATGCTCCTACCCACTTTAAGTCGAAGCATGCGGTTGGTGGTCAATCCGTCGACCTCTACTAACTTCCTGTCTGGTGATTAACTTACCTGCAGCGGTATCTGAACACTGGATGGATCTTGGACTGTTCCTTTCGCTGCTGCTCGGTGTTGCTGACCAACGACTCTGCCACAAGCTTTTCGGCTTTGTGCTCTCTTCCCTCTCTCTCTCCTGTTGACCTTTCACACCTTTTTGATTGTTCCGTCTCTGTTGATGCTTCTTTCTTCCGAGCATCCCGACCTAACCTTCTGATTCGAACATACTGCTCCGCCAGATCTCACGGTCAAAATGCTGTGACCAACCTCATTGGATCCAGCTCCAACCATGGAAAATCAATCCAAACCTGGTCAATAAGAAGAGCAAGAATAGCCCGGACCAGGTTCGTTCCCCAGCTGTTTTCGTCTAGCAGAATAACTAGATATTGCGCCCCGAGGTTGGAATTGCGGTTTAATTTGGGGGGGCCAGTACGTACTATACCTTGGCTTTGACCCATACTATCCGTGTTTTTCCGCGTAGGAACGTGAAGAGAACCACCAGTGCGGGCATCATCGATCCTTTTACTCGAATCTCATCTTGACTACCTTACGAAGTACTCTTAGCGGTTGCAGCCTGTAAGTTAGTAATGAGTAAGTTGCACCTAGCTCCATGATTGGAGGCGGTGCTTGCCACACCAAAGCCATTCTCATCTCCGGTTGCGGCACCGTGGCCCGTCCGGAAAAGCTGGAGAGTGTTGTTGTTCTGCTTCGTCACCACCCAGTAATCTGGCTTTGCCTTTTTTTTTTGCTCATTGTTTGTTCATACTATGTAAATTATCCTCACCGTCGGCTTAGGTCAGAGTTGATCAACAATTTAGTTTCGTGAGTGGAGGATCGGAGAAGGTTTCAGTTGAACAAGTATTCGTTGCACCCAAGCTACGCTACCGGTTCTTGTGCTCGCGGCGGGCTCAGCTACCGGTATACTACTACACATACCTCGGTATTGTGTATCCATTGGCAAATGAGCGAAGGCTGAGGCGTCACTACCTACCTCGCTCTAAGGCCCGATCTAATGACGAGTCTAACGAGTAGTTATTCCATATTTACCCTTGTCCTGAGTGAGTAGTGGTGCTGCTTTTGAGCGACTAAGTTGCTATCACATGACCTCGGTCCAAGTTTCGAATCTCGAATCTACTACGGAGATTCTGGATCTTACCGACCGCAGGCACTTACATACTAATCCAACTTCCCTGTTCCTCCCATCTCGAAATCCTGGACCGCCTTGGCAGAGTCCCAGTTCCGGCGTACTAAGTATAAGATACTCAGGTACGCTAAGTATCAACCGGACTAAATAAAGGTGGACTGGCGAGTACCCTTCCGCATGGAGCAAAGCAATCTGGACAGCGTCGCCAGACGATGAGGAGGTCAGCTTTTCCAGCGGCTAGTTAGTTCGTTCGTTGGCAATGTTAGCCAGCAATCCTTGCCCAGTACAATCCAGTCCAGTCCAGTCCAGTCCACCGAAAAGTGCAGCCTAGCAAATACTGGACCTCGAGATGGTGATTACTGGGCCATCCGCCAGCATATGCGATTGCTTCTGTGTCTCGTGGGAAGTATCACTCGCCTTACCGTACACGACTACCCGCCCGATGTGACTATCTCATATTGTGAGAGGCCTCGCCCCCCCCCCTCCCCTTTCTTGCGGTGCCGAAGAATCGATTGGGTGCGACAGAGGACATTCTTACACTTCACACTCATTTACTGTATGTACACTGGACTAGCCCCCTCTCTTGCCAGTGCGTTCGCTGGTCTTTTCTTCGCTTTTTCTTTCGGGTGCCTAGCAAGATCGACGCGCAAAGCAGCGGTCAAACCTCCCCCCCTCCCCTCAACCTCAACCCTTAAAGACGATGATGCTGTGGGTTTACGGTGTCGTTCGCTTCCCCTCTTGCTTGTGCTCGTGCAACATGACTCTTGTCATTGTAAGAAACTTTGAACACTCCGATGTATGAGTATGGGTATGAGTATGAATATGAGTATCTATCCATCGAGTCCGGTCGGCAAGGCAAGGCAAGGCAAGGCAGGGGGAATGGGCACCCTGCGCGACTCGGACCTTCGCTTGACTGACTGACTGAGTGACTGACTCTTTCTTGCCCATCAAGATGGATTCGCATGAGAACATTGTGAGAGAGAATTAGAGAGGAGAAAGAGGTGTTGTGTTTCTCTCCCCTAGCGTCCTAGCATTAGTATGAGGACGGAGGGCGCATAGCCTGTGGGGGTTTGGTGTTGTTGTTGTTATTGTTGCTTCTTAGGGGGGCGCCCCTAGTTTCTTTGTCGATTCGATTCGGGAGGCTCTTTCTAACTTCCACGTTTAATGTGATTGATGATCGCTTTGCATCGTTGGACTCGTGTGATGGGGAGTGATCTGTTGAAGGGAAGGCGAAGGGCGGAGAGAAAGTTGTAAATACCGTCCGCTACACTACACGCAAGGACAAGAAACAGATAAGACCGAGGATCAACTTATGTGTAGATGTGTGTGTGCGAAAACCTCACTTGCTTGCTACTGCAGTACTTGCGGGCATCTTTACTCCGTTATATTTTACTGAGATTGGATGGTCAGTGTCAGATTCCCTTGCATTCGGTGATCCGGGTCTGACATCCTTGCGGGTTTGAGACTGGATTGCTTGAAATGAAGATTGTAGATCTTTAGATATCGGTCTGTCTTTTGAGGGGAGGGGAGGGGGAGAGGCGGAAGTAAACAAAACATCTTTCCATTCTTGTGGCGGCGCAGGGAAGGATGACCTTCTCTTGACAACACCGCACTAGAATTAACTCGTCGTTTCTTTTTGTCTCATTCTAGTTCCTAGTCAGTCGGTGCAAAGAGTATACATTTACTCATACCGTGTTGTCGATCAACATAACATTGCACGTAACACTCAGCACCGCACAGCACAGAATTATACAGACCCAACTCGTTGTGTGAGTGCGAGGCCGCGTTGTTTGTTGCGAGACCTGGGGTAGACCACAAGTGCACGGAGAACTCCGTCAGGCTTAGCCGGATCTATCCATCCGTACTTACTATTCACCTCCCTTGTCCTCCCTACGCTCGAGGTAATAGGGATACAGAACAGCAGCTAACCCCCTCGTGGGACTACTCTCGAGGGGGGGAGGGGGGGCGGAGACGGTGTATGGGGCCATTTGAAGCAAGGGAATGTCGAAGATCATCGGTTCGAGGGTTTAAAACATTTCAGTGGTAGTGGTGTTTGTTGATGATGGATGGGCTAGCATACAGCACAGCGGCTTCCATAACAACGGGCATTCAATGAAGCAGGGACAACAACATCAGGCTCGGATTTGTGGTCGGGGGTTGCGGTGATTGCGAGTCAAGGGGGGGATGGGAACAAGGGCATTGATTTCCTGGTGGTTTGGTTTGAAATTTGACCCTGACTCTTTCAGGTGGTTCTGGGGTTGCGGCCGACATCTCGCAAGGATGGTGAATGGGGGTCATGGGTAAGTAGATCAGCAAGAGCTTCAGTAATGTCTCAGGGGATAGGCAATTATCGATAGGGTGGTGGAAAAGGGCGAGTTCCGATGCCATCTGTCCCACATGTATATTTCTCTCCGTTCACTGGGCAAGATAACATGCAATTCCAGAGTCGATTCGGCAAACATATCAACCCCCCCAACTCTTAGACTAAGTATGCGGGACTTATAATTCAGGTAATTCCGAGCATTGTCAATTCACAAGTCGAATGAACAATGCATGAGCAAGACCTAAACATCGAGAAATCATCCAAGTATTGCATCCAACCGAGTGCAAGGCCCAGGCTTCGACTTCCGTCCAGTCGAGGCTGGCTAAGTTCTTTCTTCTTTCTTGCCTACTTCAACTCTTCTACATTTCCGATCTTTACTGTTTTCGATTTTTCTGAATTTTCTTCTGGGTGACAATCCGACCACCGATAACTTATCCAGTTTCACCCAACTCACTGCACGGCAGATGGGGCAACAACAAACAGGGATTGAACGAATATGTTCAACCGACTGCTGGCACTGAGAATCCGATTTGCCCTTCCTCCTATCCCCACCGTAGGTCCAGATTCGTGGAAATCCTTGGATGATAAGCCGTTCGCTGGTGGGTGCGGTGCGCCCTGCACAAGTACAGGTACAGGTACAGGTACAAGGACAGGTACAACTGCCACTTTGACCCCCTCCTTTTCCTGTGGCATCCAGCAGACCGATGGATGTATCAACACGCAATGATCAATGGCACAGGAAACCGAGAGGCCACAAACACGCTCATCTCGCCCAGGCCCCAAGATTGACTGGGTTGACATTGACTTTACATAAAATAAGTCAGCCATTAACTAAACAACTTCACACAGATCATGTCTCACCATCAGACCACAACCCGGAACCATGATATCCAAAATCGTCTCATCGCAGCCTGATCCCTGAACCATACATACCCTTTGCTTTTGCTTTCGCGGGCTTGCTTGCTTGCTTACCGCGCGTCAAGGTCGGGATGGATTGTCGTCATCCCCGTAACTGTGCGGACCCGACACCATCAGGCTGCCGCCCATCTTCTGGATGAAGAGAACAGAATCCGTCTCCGTATACTCCATACCGTACTCTTCTCAAAAGTTGACTGGATACTGGATCTGATTCGAACAAGGGAAGCAATCCATTCCGAATGACCGCTTCCCGAAGCTCGCGGGCTGGCGATCTACATCTTTACCTCGAAGTGGAAGTCGTATATGCGGCCGCGACTGAAGTACTATACATAACGATGCATCCGTGGAGCTTCAGGCTTGCTGCTGCTGCTACCTCTCATTCAATGGATCAGTCATTAGTGCAATACGGAAGCAGGCAAGTACTGTAGCCATCCTCTCGTCTTACAGGGAAGACTGCTGGTTGTTGTTGTTGTTGCTCACGCCCTGCACATGCAACCATTGAAAAAAGAGATGTCACAAACGAGGAAAAAGCAAAGAACAAGAAAATCGGCCGGAAGAGGTGAGCGCTGGCTGACCACTTTAGGTACTGTACGGAGTACTGTTCAGTCCAGTCCACGTAAGGTCGACCTGGCCTGCATTGAGAAGCGATCCAGAACCTGCAACTCGCTCAGCTGCAGTCATCTGCTCGACTTCAGAATACTCCTGTTACAGTACCGCCGAGCTGGTCGTGACTGTCACTAGGGTTATGGGCTGGTTATTTATAGGACTATATTTAGCTGGTAGCTGGTCAAGGTGATGAGCGGAGCGAGCAGCTTTTTGCGCTCTCCAACCAGAAGCCCGTTGGTCAAGAGACCGATTCCAGACCTTGAGGTAGGAGATGCCGGATGGAAAGATCATCATACGGAGTACGGAGTGGGCTTCCTTGTATGCTGTGCTAGAACATCGATTGATGGCACTCCTCTGCATCATACGTTCTCGAGGTCATATCGCGAACGCAGGGTTTCGGTGTTGTAGTTAGTAATAGCTTGTCCGTCCTCCGGGCCGGCGTTACTTCAGTTTACCCTTATGCCCTTTACTTGGTGAGTCAGTTCTCCTGGATGAGTATTAAGGAAGAAAACAGCACCGAGATATAGTTGATGTATATATACCTGATGTAGCCCTTACGTGGTGGTGAAGCTGAGCTGGTGAGCAAGAGGAACACTTCTGAAAGAAGTGGGAGCTGAATGATGGGCGTTCTTTATGTATAGGATCAAGGTCAACGCAGCTTGACTCATTACTCTCAATAGACGAAGCATATCAGACCTATTGGTGGTGCACTATATCTATATCTGCCTTATTGAACTCGTTCACTGCCAAACAATCGACATGGATACCGAAATGCGAGGAGGCTTGTCCAGGTAAGCCTAGAACCCAGAATAACGGGGCCCAGAGATGAGCGCAAAGCTTAAAGGCTATAAATAAAAGGAAGCTTGAACTGCTTGGTAGTTTCGAGAGAACACAGGTCACTTGTCTAGCTTAGTCTACAGAAGAAGTTTACTATGTCTCGGCGTACTGGCTTCTGGTTGTGATTGAGACGGCAAGTCGAGTAATGACCTATGGGGATCGGAGTAGAATTGATCTATAGTAAGTTGGAATGAGGATATGGAGTACACAGTGCACTTGCCTGGTAATCTGAAAGCCATAACATTGAAACTTCACGACCTACAAATTCCACAGTACGATAGAGATGTACTCCCGAAAAGAGCCAATCACCGCACGAGAACAGCCATCCCGGGCCGAGATTCCTCCGACATCTTGGGTTTTCTGCCTCAGGCCGCCAAAAACTTCCCATCCCAACGGAAAGATCCTGTCTCTCCGTGGACTTCGACTTCCGCGGCGACAAACCTCCAAACTCAACCACTTCACTTCACTCTCCACACTCTCTCAACACCACAATTGAAGTCGGCCCCGCCATGCCTCCTCGGCTCCAGCTCCTCCCCTTCCGGGCGCTCACGTCCGCGACACCCATCACCGCCGCCGCCGCCAGCACCACCGCCAACCCTCTGGCCTTCCTGCTGGCCGGCTTCCAACAATCCCGCAACGCACACATCCTGGCCTCGCTCTCGGACAACGCGGGGGCCTACAACAAACGCATCCGTCGCGGTCGCGGTCCGGCTTCCGGCAAGGGTAAGACCTCCGGTCGCGGTCACAAGGGTCAGAAGCAGCACGGCAAGGTGCCCGCGGGGTTCAATGGTGGACAGACGCCGGACATTGTTGTGCACGGGGAGCGGGGATATAACAATATGTATGTTTGCACTCTTACCTTTGAATTGGGGAACGAGGTGGGAGGTCGTGGGATTGGATTCCTGCGTCATTGGGATTCTGTTTTGGAATTGGAGTGTACTTGTTTGAGGATTCCTCGATAGTGAGGTCGAATTGCCGAAGCGCTTTCAGACTGCAAAGAATAATCGTGGAAGAGCTTCCCATTCGCGATCAATCCTCACGCAACCGACTCCCAAACTGTCCCTGGATATCCCAATGTCCCCAATACCCACTCCAACCTCATTCTCTATGATATACACCACTAACCTCTCCCAGCCACGCCATCGAGCTAGCCCCCATCAACCTCAACCGCATCCAAGACTGGATCGACCAAGGCCGCATCGACCCGGCCCGCCCGATCACCATCCGCGAGCTTTTCGATTCGCGCTGCATCCACCAGACCAAGGAGGGCGTGAAGCTCCTGGGCCGCGGCGTCCTGAAGGACGAGAAGGGCGCCGTCATCGCCCCTAGCAGCAGCACCACCACCACCACCACCACCGCCTCCCCCTCAACCTCCACCACCCCCGAATCCCCCTCTACATCCGAAGACACCACCATTAACGTCCTCAAACAACCCATCCACATCGTGGTCTCGCGCGCCTCGGCCGCCGCCATCGCCGCCGTCGAAGCCGCCGGCGGCACCGTGACCACGCGCTTCTACACGCCGCGCGCGATCCGCCGCATCCTGAAGCGCGAGATGCACCCGTTCGTGTCGACGGCGTGGACGGCGCGCAGCGCCCCCGCCGGCCTCCTCGCCGCCGAGGGCCTCGACAGCGACGCCGCCGGCCAGCTCGTCGAGAGCGAGATCATGCGCGCCATGGGCTTCACCTACCGCCTGCCCGACCCCACCAAGCGCCGCGACATCGAGTACTACCGTGACCCCGCCCACCGCGGCTACCTGAGCCACCTGCTCAAGCCCATGGAGGGCCCCAGTTTGTTCTTCCGGTCGCCCGTCGAGCGCAAGACCGCCGCCGGCGCGCACAAGGAGAAGGTCCTGCCCGAGAATCGGTTGTGGTAGGTTGTCTTGGGTCCGGGTTGATTGTTCTGGGGAAGGACGGGAGGTTCGGGTATAGTTGGGGGTTTGGGGCTCGCTGGGATGGAGTAGAGAGTGTGTGCGGTTTCTGTAAGGTGTGTGTGTGTGTGTGTGTGTGTGTGAAGGGTTGTTTGGACTTTTGAAAGACCTTTGGCTGTTCTCTCTTGTATTTGTATAAATATGTTTTTGTTGTATGGTCATCGTGGATATGCATTTTCTTTTTTTTTTCTTTCGCTTCCTCGTGTATTACCGTGGATGGCGTAGTGTGGTTGCACTTGGTAAAAATCCCTAAACCTCAGTCAAGTAAGTGGGTGAGTTGATTGCCAAGTCCAGGTCGGCAGGTATGCAGATGTCCACCTCAAACTGAACCGTCATTTGCTATCGATCCTCTAATCCGGCTACAGGCTATAGAAATACTGGCAGAAGCACTCAGAGCAGCCAGCATAACTTATAACTGATTCCACCTAGATCCAGTCCGAAGAAACCAGCTATGTATGTTGATCTTGTGCGCGATTCCAGTAGCTACGCCTAGCAGCGTACAGCCTCAAAAAGATAGTGGAGTCATTAACATTCGTATAGTGGAGCATTCTCGATATCTTGACAAACTTCCCGTGCTCATTCTCCCCTCATTAGCAAGGTCACCGTCACAGTGGAAGCCGGTCGTTCGCAACAACCGCAACAGAAAAGCCACCTGGATATCAATACACCCCAAGGAAAATACCCCCCAAAAAACGCCATGCAATTGCCTTGCAAATTGTGTATGCTCCCAAGCCTTCATTTCTCACAAAACAAAAGGTATACCGAAAGACGCGCTCAAAAGTCAAATACTGGATATATCATAAACCCGCTGTGAACATAAAAGAGGGTATCATGGATGAAGAACCAGGCGCAATGCGCGCGCTAGCCCGTAGTCATCTAAAGGTCATAAGTATAGCGCCATCAAGGCTTCACTGCAGCCCATTCTTCCTCAAAGTTTCCAAATGGACTCGGTGGGGCTGCCGTCGGCGTTCTGAGAGAACTCTCGCATCCACCGCGAGCAAAGTACATCACGGATGGTCCAGCGTTTGGCCGGATCCATCTGCAAACATCCTGTAACCACCTCGAGCGCATCTTCCCGCTCCTGCCGAGTGGGAGCATCCGCTTCTTCATCGCCAAGGACGGCGTGATGGTTCCAGTGCCCATTGAGAATGTTGTTCTGGATGCGCGGCGCGAACGGATCTTGAAACGGCCGGGAGCCAACGATCATGGTGTAGACGATGACTCCAAACGCCCAGAGATCGACCGAAGGATGGATGACTCCGTTGGTCGAGAGGAGCAGCTCCGGGGATGCGTACTCCAGACTTCCCGCAACGCTGGTGCTGGATCCAGCCGGCCCGATATTCTTCGGAGGCGGTCGATCCGCCACATTATCGTAGGGATCAGGCGACGAGCCGTCGTTGTCCGTATGCATCCACTCCGCCATGCCAAAATCGCAGAGCACTAGGGTTGAGACCTCGGATCCATCGGGCGATTCGGTGGGATCCAGCAGGCAGTTCTCCAGTTTGATATCTCGATGCACAACCCGAGCGTCCTCATGCAAGTATCGAAGTGCACAGGCAAGCTGATATGAGTACTTCTTGGCAAGCTTGAGGTCCAGACCACCTCGATTTTGGCGGACAAGGTCGAAAAGAGTGCCGCCGATCGCCAGCTTCGTGAAACAAAACGTAGCAAAATCAGTCTCGTACACAGCATCCAAGGTCAGGACGTTGGGGTGGCTGAGGTAGCGCCAAACTCGGACTTCGTGGTCGAATTCTGCTTGGACCTCGTCATTCTCCTTCTCACTCTTGCCCGAGACCTGTTTTTTGACGATCTTGACGGCGAGGTGTTTGGTCTTGCCATCCTCTTCAACCTTGTACGCTTCTTTCACGGTGCTGAATCCCCCGAAGCCGATCTGTTTGCCAAGGACATAATCCGTCCCGACCATCTGGCCTTCGTCATCAGGTTGCGGCGCGGACTCCTCCCCACCGGCGCTCCACATGGAAAGGAACATGCTGGCAGGAGACTTGCCACTGGAAGCGGTAGATCTGCGCGACCGTTGTCGAGTAGAAAGACGAAGGCCCCTTGCCTTGCTCCCAAAGGGAGTCACAGCACTTCCCGACCAAGAGCTGCGATCGTCAAGCGAGGCAAACCCCTGTACGGGCGACGCCATGTAAACCGGCGAAGACAGTATCCTTGAACTCTCCGACGGAGTTCGGATTTCTTCAGTCATCGGGGACGCGGTTGATCTCGAGGTGAGAGAGGTCGGGTGTTCGATCTCCGAGGCCACGGCGTTTTCCTCTTCTTCCGGAAAGCTGCCCCGCGAAGAACCGGTTGGGATGGGCCGCTGGCGTCGCTGTCTTTCCGGACTTGAGCTAAGGTCCGACTGGCGGTCGTGATCGTCGGGTCCGTCCTCTTGGCGGAGAGTGTTCCTCAAGCTCGAGCTGCGCGACTGGAACTTTTGCGGCCGACCGGCCAGAGGCTCTTCGAGTGGCAGGCGTCGACCGGAGTCCAGGGCCACGATGGGGTCAAAGCTGATCGAGGGCCGGCGTTCTTGCTGCAGAAAGTTGTCCAGCGGGGAGGCTTGCACATCCTCGGGTTTGTGAGGATAGCTGACATCTTCTGGATCGGGAAGATCATGATGACGAGGGACGGAGATAGGAGGTGTCGCCGAGTGTAAGCCACTCAAAACACTGCTGTCTTGATTAGTACCGCCACGGGGTGGGTGATAATCGTGAAAGATGTTTGTACGATCGCCATCCGTCGCTCCTCCGCCTTCAGCCTCACCCCGCCATCGGGGTCGAGGTGTATGTTGGAAAGACGTCTCAAGCTTCAACCCTGCCAGTGTATTGGGTCTTCCCGTCTGAGCCATGCCCTTCCACCCGCCAGAAGAGCGGCAAGTCTATGGAAAGAAGAGAGGAATGACGAGGTGGAGAAAAGAGGTCTATCTCTAGATCAAGTTGTAGAAGACTTTTGAGAGGGAGGGAGTGAGAAGCATGAAAGAGGAAAAGGAGAAGGGTGGATGGTGGATGGTGGATGGTGGATGGTGGATGGTGGATGGTGAATATGAAGGTGAGTGTCGAGAGGGGTGAGATCTGATCGAGAGGTGGTGGTGGTGGAGGGTGGGAGTCGCAGAGGGACAAAAAGAGGAGAAGAAGAGTAAGAAGTACTTAGTAAAGGCAGTTAACTTAGTTATCGGAGGGTCCCGATCCGATAGGAGGGAAGCTAAGCTCCAAAAGAAGAAACGAAGAAAGGAAGAACCACCCCCAGAAATGAGGGATTCAGTGCACCAAGGTGCAGCTTAGCGTCACTGAGTGAGCTGATCGGACCAAAAAAAGCAATCCTTCTGCAGCAGCAGGAAGGAGGGCCCATCAAATCATTGACTGGTTGACTGATTGACGATGATGATGATGATGATGAATGGGAAGAAAGGAAGAAAGGGAAAAAAGGTGTACGGAGTAAGTTAGAGTACAGAGTAGAGAAAAGATCGGGAGAAGAAGGGTCCCAAAGAGGCAAGTGAGTGGGGGAATCTTCGGGTGATGACGGAGGAGATTCCATTGCCTGACAGTCAACTGGTCAACACTGGTCAGCTAACACATACTAAGTGATAGTCTAATGTAAGGTGACGGAGGGATCAGCCATTCACAGCCACGCTGCGTAGTAGTGAGTGGTGGTCGCAGCCCCGCCGGGCTGTTCTTAGGTTTCCTAGGTTGGATTAGTTCAGATTAGGCCCAGTGGATCTTTTGATCTTTTTCAACTGGAATCACTCACTTATCACCTGAAGATATGGGCCCTGACCCTGGGCCCTAAGCCCTGCCGTCACCTGTAAGTTATCTGTATCTGGTCAAGTTCATCTTTGGCCTACTGGGCGGTCCAGGCACGGGATCGGAGCCCGTCTATCGGGCAAGTAAGCTGTGGGTAAGCGCGCGCAAGGGGCGCTTGTTTTGCGAGGAACCTCCCTCCCCTCCTCCTCCCCTATTCTCTCGCATGCTTGAAATCAGTCCGGGGAACTCGTTGCGTTGCATTGCGTTGCGTTGCGTTGCGTTGCGTTGGGCTTCACATTTGTTCCATTCACCCACCCGGCACCTCTTCTGGTACCTAATTTCCCTTCTTTCCCCAATAACATTGGCGTTCTGGCTATTGTTGTTTGCCCTTCTTTTCCAAAATTTGTTTTTGTTTTGGTGTTGTTTAATCCGCTCTGGAAGTCGTTCCCTTTCGTCTTGTTTGCCCGACGGATTCCCCTCCCTCCTCCTCCTCCTCCTTCTCTCCCTTGAAGTACCCACCCCCGCCGTTGCTCCTCGTGGCCGTCGCCTTCGTTCTTTCGTCCCTGGAAAATTACTTCCGCTCTTTGCTATTGCAACTCTTTGCGCCGACCGCTCTTGACTCTCCTTCTTTTCGAGCCGCACCGGGACGCTGCGCCGTGCCGATCTACATTCGCCATCGGGTTTCAATGTTCATGATTCCAAAAGTCGCTCTTTCGCCCCCGGAACGTCAAACCAATTGTCATCTCGACCAGTAAATTCGCAGGCGCGAAGTATAGTCAAAATGACAAGGCCTCGGATTGTCCGGGCTGGTAAGTGCAACGAGTGGAAGTCATGTGGCCGTCGTGCTGATCAGCAAATGTATGATGACAGATACCATGGACCTACAGGACCAGCATGCCCCTTCCGCCAAGGATCACTCCAGACAGCCCATGAATGCATCGGGCATTGCCCCCCACCAGGAACAAGCGCTTCGCCAGGCCGACCAGGATACCAAAGCTGAAATCATGCATGGTCCCAGCGCTCAGGACGGCCAACCTGGTGACAACCGCGCCGACGGCATCGATATCTACGACGATGACGATGATGACGATGACGAGGAGATTGAGGATATAGATCACCACGGCGATCTCTCCGGTGAACACGAAGAAGGCGATCTGGCCGACGGCGAAAGTGATGACATGCTAGATGACGATATGATGGATAAGATTTCGAGCTCTCCGTCCATTGACGACGGTATGTCTGGCATCCTGCGTTCATCACCATGTCACCCTGCAGAAATCTCCGGCTCTTGGGCACTCTCTGCCCTTCGATGCCCCAATCACGGTCCAATCTAACCCAAACCTAGAGGATATTGACTTCGAATTCGTCTATGCGCTGCACAACTTCTACGCGACCGTCGACGGACAGGCGAATGCCTCGAAGGGTGACACCATGGTGCTGCTGGATGACAGCAACAGCTACTGGTGGCTCGTGCGGATTGTCAAAGACGGCAGCATTGGTAGGTCACCTGCTGGTATAGGTATATCTAAGCTCACCGTAAGCAGGCTATCTGCCCGCCGAACACATTGAAACTCCGACCGAGAGACTCGCCAGATTGAACAAGCATCGCAACGTGGATGTGAGTGTGACCGTCACCAGATCTCGGCCAGTTACTGATACTATCTGTGGTAGCTTTCGGCAACCATGCTCGGAGACAATTCAGAGAAATCGAAGAACCCGCTTATGAGGGCGGTGCGTCGCAGAACAACCAAAAACGTCCAGTTCACCGCTCCGACGTACATCGAGGCGTCCGACATCGAGTACTCCAGCGATGAGGACTTGGATGACGCGGCGTCCTTCAACGATGACGAGGGTTCGCGAGCGGAGGCAGAGGATGCACATGACGGCCAAACGGATGACATCGTTGTCCAGCCATTGAGAACCAAGTCGCAACGCGACAAGGGCTCCGAAGAAGGCGGTATCGATGACACCGAAGAGCCCGCTAGCAACAGCCCGATCAAGCAACGCTCTAGCCAGGAGCTATTTGAGCCTGAAAGTGAGTGTCTCAGTCCGGTCTCTGGGACCTTGGCTAAGAAGAATGTAGCCGACAGCAGTGTGAGCCGGTCGCGAAATGGCACCGTACGCAATACCGATTCCTTCTTCCGAGACGACACCGTGGAAACCAAGAAGATTTCCCTGACGCCCAACCTGCTCCGAGATGAAATTGGCAGTAGTACTCTCTCCACCGATGCCACTGAAGTAAGTCACTTGTTCCGACCTCGTCGAATGTCTATTGACCTGCATCAGAACCGCGGTAGCATGGAGAACATCGACAAGACCCTTAGTGCGATAGATAAGAGCAAAGAGGATAAGAAGCGCAAGGACAAGAAGTCGGGAATGCTGAGCGGCCTCTTTAAGAGGAAGGACAAGAAGTCCAAGTCCCACGACGAGGATACTGATGAAGCAGAGAAGAACTCGAACGAATTCTCCCGATCTTCACCTCAGCCTAAAACATCCCTGGATTCGATACCCTCCCCAGTCTCTCCTGAAGCTCGATCCCCCAAGCAGATGGTGGTGCAGAAGCAGCCCAGTAAGCTGCAGAAGCAACCTCCGGTGGCACTCTCTCCAACGAAGCAGGATTTCCCTCGTGAACAGGAGCCCGCTACTATTGACCGAAGCATCAAGTCTGCGATGAGCAGCAAGTCGGATCAGACCATTCGACAGGTCACATCGGAAGAAGCGGATGACATCCCTTCATCACCCCCGCTGGGGCCATTCGATGACAGCCAGGAGGTCATGATGTCTTCCGCTCGGGTACCGAGCCCTGCGAAGAAACTGGTGCAGCCCGAAGCGCAGGATCAAATAACGTCACCAGTTGAATCGAACGGCGACTGGCAAGATGCGTCCGAGAATGTATCCTACGCGCAGCGTTCGGTGGCATCGCCCCCGCAGAGATTCCAACCCAGACAGTTGGATTATCAGAACCAGGGATTCGACTCTCCGGACAGTGCATCAATCGAAGAGGCCCCGGTTTCGCCTCTCGGGCCCGGACCAGGGATGGACTTCTCCAACCCGGCAAGACATTCTGTTGTCTCGGTTTCCCCGCCCATGTCTCCTGTTACGAGTCACCGCGACAGTCGAGGCATTGATGCTCGTTCCTCGTTTAGCAACGCATCTGCGCCTACCCCTACATGGAGTGACGCAAGCTTGCGAACCTATTTGGAAGAAGAGAACGACATCCGTGATTTGTTCGTGATCGTCCATGACAACTCGAATATTCCGCCTGCTGGTCCTGATCACCCGATTACTGGCTGCCTGTTCAAGGAAGAGAGCAAGAGGTTGCGAGAAATGAGCAGCCAGCTGGATTCCATGCTGGCTGAATGGGTTGGTCGCCGAGTACGGGAGTCGGCAAGTAGAGCGGATGTGCGGTCTCAGGCTTGATGCCTGTTGTAAAAGGTGGATTGTCCATCGTTGATGAACTTCTAGTCCTGCTTTTATACCCACCCCAGGGGCCCTGGACTTGCCATGTGCTGGACGCATGGCAGCAGTTGGCCTATGGTGTTCTGTTCGCCGCTCTGGTAGGTGCACGACGAGTGCGGCTCTGGAGCGGCTCGGGTCTATAGGATCGTATAGTTCTGATTTCCTTTGTTTGCATTCTGTTTTGTGCAGTCTCATGAATTGGGGCCTGACCATTTTATGTTTTGTTCTTTCTTTCCAGCCTACTCTACATGGCTGCTGGGATACCCCCAAACTTCAGGCAATCTAGACCAGATCCTGTCGTTTTTATTTTTGAATAGTTTTATGAAGAGATGTTCATTTCAGTCATTTCATTCATTTGCATCTGCATTTGCGTATTGTGTTTGGATGAGAGAAATGCATGATCTCTCAGTAACTGGGAAGAATCGAGGTATATGACATGCGTCGAGTGATGGTGGAATGTGCCCTGCATCTCGTGAGGGCTGCAAGGCTGTCGTGCGGCACCGTCAGCTGGCCATGTCATCTCCCATCCACTGTAACCAACGTAAGCCGTAGTCAATGGTCGCTTTGCTTTACAATAGATAAAAACCTGTAATCCGGCCAGTTTGACTCCCGCCCTGACCCTTCGAATCTCTATCCCGACCCCAAACGTCCGTCAAAATGGGCGACCCATACTCCTCCTCCTCCTCCTCCTCCTCGCAACCCCCACCAGCGCAGCAGCAACAGCAGTATGACTACAACTACAACTACAACTACCCCTCCGCTTACCATGACCAGCACCCCCCGAACTACCAGCAACAGCAGCACTACGGCTACCCCTCGCAATGCGACGTAACCCAGATCCCCCGCTCTCATCCAGACGAAGCTGGCGGAGGAGTCCCCCCGGCCCCAGACCAACAGCAACAGCCTCCGCCGCAATACTACGACTACGACTACGACCACAACCGTCTGGGTCCGCAATATGAGCCTCCTCCCCCGCCTCCACCTCCGCCGCACGGGATAGTAAGACAGGGAAGTAACGCGGAATATTAGTGAGTGAGATTCGCCTCCCCTTTTGGCTGCTGACTGCTGGCTGCTGGCTGCTGGCTGCGTCCCCGCCGCGGGACTTGTTCTTGTTCGCTACTTCTCTCGTCCGATGATCCCACCATCAGCCCAGCCAAAACCCCTTCCCCGGCCGGATTGTAATCATTCCTTTGTGAGCGTCGCTAATCAAGCTTGTAGCAACCCATCCCAACACGACCTCGCCCAGCCCCAGCCAGACGACCACGAGGGTGCCGACAACCCCGAATCCTCCGACCGCGGCCTCGGCGGGGCCATCCTCGGCGGCACGACGGGGTTCTACCTGGGCCATAAGAAGAGTCATGGGCTGCTTGGGGCGGTGGGTGGGGCGATTCTGGGGAGTTTGATGGAAAATAAATTGAAGGAGGCGAGGGGGAAGGAGGATCATGATGGAAGTATTTACGGTGGTGGTGGTGGTGGTGGGGGGGGGAGTGCCTACGGTGGGGGTGGTGCGGGGGGCAGTCATTATAGTGGGAGTGACGATGAGCGGGGGAGTCATTATAGTCATCGGAGTAGTAGCCATAGCCATAGCCATAGCCATGGTCATAGTCATCACCGGCATGGGCATGGGCATGGGCATGGACATGGGCATCATCACCACCATCACCACCATCGGCATCATCGGCATAGGCATCATCGGAGTTCGTCGAGGAGGAGTGGTTCGGGGGATGGGGAGGGGTACGGCAGTCGGGAAGGAGATGGGGATGGGAATTATTGATTCCTGGGAGGAGGTCCGGTTGGTTGTTGGGCGTGCTGGCGGGGGTGGGCTTTGAGTCTTTGTTTGTGGATGTTTGTGGATGATGAGGATTCGTTGGGTTATGAATGAACGGCCTTTCATGGTTGATGCGATTGATTGTTGTTCTTGCTGGTGTTTATGGGATAAGCCTCCGGCTTGAGCACTTATCGCTAAGTAGCGTGGGAGAGAAGGTTTAACGGATCTATCAAAGCCAGTTAGTAAGTCAGCTTCTCTATTTCATCAAGGTGTACAGCTGTGCACTGATACGGTGCGGTGCGGTGCGGTGCGGTGCGGTGTTGTGCTGTGATGTCCTGCCGTGTCAGTGCTACCGTCTCGCTGGGGGGCCTGAGTCTGAATACATTATTCACCTCCTTATAGTGCCATAGTGTCAATGCAGGAGGATACTAGCACGGACGCATCTTAGCATCACATCAATCTGTATTTCTAAGTCCAATCAAGGAACACTGGCAGATGCTGAAGGAGAATGACGACACTGCCGAGTGGGATATCACCATTGTTGCGGCCGGTGCCTTGCAGCAGTTTAGCGCCACTTGGACCCTGGTTCGGTGGCTGGATCGGAATCTGGGGGAGCCTCATCTCAAGACCAGATCTGTCAAAGATAAGTCCAACGTCGAGATCGGGACTATCGATTCTGTGGAAAACAGACAGTAAAGGGATTTGAGTAAGGTGTCGATCGTCAGGAGGGAAGCTTCTAACTAACAGGGTCTTGAGACATCTGTCAGTGATTGCGTTGTCGCTGTCAAACAACAGTTACAACACCATGATTGATTGGTATGGACGCCTTATCGGGATGATCTGTCTCGCTCAGTGGTTAGAGCTGAGATCAAACTCAAACGGAGAATGAGTGGCTGAATGACGTGGCGCTGAAGAAAGCCAGAGGCCATCTTGTCTTGCGGCAATGAAGGGATAATCCATGTCATCATACTGGAAAAGCGCCCTGTTATGGTTATCTTGTGGAGATCCCGCAATCCATGGGAATCCCCATGGGCTGGCTGCCTTGCCGGGATAAAGGATAAAGTTGAAGGGCATGGATCATCCTTATCAGACTCGGATGCTGGGATCGACAGTCAGCTGCTGCTCTGGGGATGAAATGAGACCTCACATACAACTGGAAGTACTCCGTAGTGAACTAATAATCACAGTTAGTCAGTGAATGAGTGGTTCCGACCCTTCTCCGAGAACCCAATCAGGGCCAGGCGATAGGGGGAAGAAAAGGTTATCGATTCATTCAGGTTCAGTTATCAGTGATCAGTGGCATCCACTATTCATCCTACGGGCCTCGTGACTCCCATCCCCAAATGGAGGCGGGGAGGGAGTGTGACTCTTTCCCTCTCCAGTCACTTCGTCTTTTCCTCTTTCGTAACTATCATCAGCATTCCTCCCACTCCCCATTCCCACTCTTCCCCCCCTTCTCCCTCTCTTCCTCTCCCCTTCCCCTTCTTCTTCCTTCTCTTTCATCCTCACCCTCTCTTCCCCCTCTTAGACAACCATCTTTGTCACTCATTTTCCCGGCTCCACCCTTTGTCGTATCCCGATAGATAGAACCACTACAGCACTACAGCACTACAGCCCTATTCCGTCTTATCTACGCCTACGCCTCTTATCATATCAATCCCTCTTCTCAGACAGCCCTCAAGACCCGCTGCCCAACCTTCAGCACTCTAGCATAAAGACAAACCGTTTACCTCAGTCGAATCGGTTTAGACACAGCACATATCCTACCTCAAACCATGCCTCCTCCTTTGATACAATACCTGCAACCTACGCTGCCCCAGCACTGCGAACCAACCTCGCCATTTCTCGCTGCCATATCCTCCTACCTCCACGTCTGCGTGCCTACTTCGTTAGCCTTGATATCCTCCCTCCTGGGAACACTTAGCATCATCTCCTGGCTATTCGCACAGCTCCCGCAAATTTACAAGAACATCCAACTCCAATCAACATCAGGACTGTCACTCTTCTTCTTGGTCGAGTGGTGTCTAGGCGACGCCTGCAATCTCCTGGGCGCCTTGCTCACCCGACAAGCCGGCTGGCAGGTGATCGTGGCCGGGTACTACGTCTTTGTCGACGTCACCCTCGTCTTCCAATACTTCTGGTACACAATCTATAAACGGGGACAGGACAGCTATGGTGCCCTCACCCACTCGCACTATGATAATGGAACGGGAGGTATTCTGGAGGGCGTTCCCTTCTCAGAGGACGACTCGATCTCTCATGTCCAACGTCCCCTGGCGGGCATTCCCGTGTCGACCCCAAAAGACATGAAGGACCTCAAAGAGCCCACTGTGAGCATGTCCAATGGCCAGTCACCATCCTACAGCAATGAGAAGTACAGCTCCTCCCGCCGCTCCATCATCCGCACCAGCAGCAGCGGGCCTAGTCTGCCCATCGGCTCCCCTCGCACCCTCCTGCTCGCTTCCATGCTGTGTGCCGTCCTCGCCAACGCTGCTCCTACCGAAGTCCAAGCAACAGCGACAGCATCTGGCCTCTCCCCGCATGCTCTCGAAGTGCTTGGCCGCATCATCTCCTGGATGTCCACGGTCCTCTATCTGGGCTCGCGGCCGCCCCAGCTCTACAAGAACTACTGCCGGAAGAGCACCTCTGGCCTCTCGCCGCTCCTCTTCATGGCTGCCTTCTCCGGCAACTTCTTCTACTCGGCCTCCCTGCTTACCAATCCCAACGCCTGGTACGACTTCCCTGCCTTTGGCGGTGGCGGATGGGCAGATGCGGACGGCAACAACCGAGCGGAGTGGGTGAGCCGGGCCATCCCCTTCTTTTTGGGCGCGTTCGGCGTTCTGGCCTTCGATGGCACCATGGGCGTGCAGTTCCTGGTCTACGGCTCCCGTGACGACGAATCCATCATGGAGGTCGAGGACCCCAAGGAGGGTCGTAGCCACTGGACTCGTGTCCGCGGCTGGATGAGGGGCTGGATCCCCTCGGTGTCATCCTCTGCTGCCGCCACGCCTCGCAATCCCGAGAATCAGGCCCTGCTCCGTCAACATGACCGTGAGAGGTACGGTTCTGTTTGAATCTCACGTCACTCAACCCAAACCTGCAGGGTCGTCGTACTACGCAGCCATCCACGGTCTCCCGGCAAAGCCTCGGTCTCGGGACCTGTTTTTCTGCCTATCAGCTGGACATGATCATCACACGACTTTATGCCTACCATCACCCAACATCTCACATTACACCACATACCCATATCATCAGCTTGCTCGGGTTTCAGGATATTATGATATCATTTTTCGGGATTTGTTCTTAACTTCATCATCGTTGGGGGTATTATCACTCTGCGCGACCCTATCAGCGTACTTATACTCATCCTACCGGCGTTATTGGTTTTCTTTCTGGGTTTTATTTGTGTCTCTCTTGGAAAGCGAACGGGGCTTATCACATACAAACCGGGGGCGCATTGCATTGATTCCACTAATTAGCCTAACTGGCTTGATCCTTGTCTGCATAGAGGTCGCTCAGCCTGTTTCCCCCTCCAGGTTCCAGTTCTTTTTGCTTTTTTTTTTTCAAGTGGTCGAGACGATAGATTCGCCGTCTATTTTCTTCCTGATCGATCTTAGCCTGCTTCTGCACATCACCCATACAACCATACATCATACATAACTTTGCAACCAAGAAGAACCTTGGCCAAGCAGATCTCTCAATATCAGACACTTTCTCATGCTGATTTCTCTCGCCCATCTACCAAAGACTCTGAACGTAGATAGAGCCATACCTAATCTACTGCATTCAACGTTCTGTGCTCAAGCAAAACCACCACGATTTCCCCTCTTCACCCCCCCCAAAAAGAGGAGAACGCAATTACAGGTATGTGTATAATCATAAGAACGATTGAATCAGTCATTCAATTAGAAATTCAACCACTATTAGAAGTTCCGATCCCATTTCTCCCTTTGTCTCTGATGGAAAGACAAGAAAACAAAAAAGCATTCAAGCGACCTTCAGCCTGTGTTCCCTGCGTTTCCAGAACCCCGCATTTACCTTTTGCTCTCATCGATCTCATTAGATTTAGTTTCAGCATAGGTACAGTACAAGTTCAATTGCTGCGGAAAAAGGCAAGGCGGGTGGGGGGGGGAAACGTCGAAATCATGTACACAGCCAATGCAATGTCCGTGCAGGAGGTAGAAAACAAACTGAGGAGGCAATGGGTGAAAGAAGAAGGGGGAAAATAAATAAACAGTGTATAAATGGAGTCGGTTCATGAGCGTGAATGTCGTCCCATGATTTCTCTTGGTTTTCTGTGCATAAGAAGAAAGGGGGCAGATAAGGACATGAAGTGCGACATTTGTTAGGTTTGGCTAATGATACACACACAGCTCGTGGTGAGAGAAGAGACTGCCTCCGATCGACCAGCGATACACGGCATTGAAAAACCGGCTGCGAGAGAGCAACCGGCTTGGAAAATGTACCTGAAGACTCTGAAACAATATATGCAACAGCAACCATTTTCACATTGACTGACAGATTTGACTTCCGGGCAGGCCGGCAAAGCTCCAAAGCAGACACGGTAGCTCCTCCCCGGCAAGAGGAGAATTTATCTAAAACAGAGGCGATTTGACATCTTGTACACCCCGTCTGATAACATCCTCAATCGGCCATCTGGGAGGCACAACCTTAGGAGTCCGCTTGCGGTGCCAAGCCTTCTCCATCTCGGGAGGGGGCGTCAGTTCCTCATTCGCCGGTAGAGCACCACCTGCGATTCCCGTGGAGAACTTGAGTTGCAACACGTTGCCGATCTCGTCACAGGCGGTCAAGATACGATCGAGGTCTTCCTTAGTGTGGGCGGCCGACACACAGAAACGGGCACGAGACGAGACCAAGGGGGTGGCAGGATAACCCACAACAACAACGGAGATCTTCCGCTTCAGCATCTCGTGAGAGAAGGCAGGCATCTTGGCAGGATTAAAGAGGAGAACAGGGATAATCGGCGAGTCGTCGTGACCATACACTATAAAGCCAAGACGCTTCAATCCCAGGCGCAGATACCGGGAGTTAAAGGCCAAGCGCTGTAGTCGCTCTTCACCCTGACCGGGGACAAGCTCGCCCTGAATTAGTCGCAGTGCCGACATAATTTGAGCCAAGACTGCTGGAGCAGGTGCTTCTCCATAGAAAACGCCGGAATTCGTGGCTCGCAATTTATCAATCATGGTCTTATCCGCCGCAATGTAACCGCCGTTGGCACCGAAAGACTTGGTGAGCGTGCCCATAAGAACATCTACCTCGTTGGTATCAATACCGAAATAATCACAAACACCACGGCCTCGGGGTCCAACCGCCCCGATCGAGTGCGCTTCATCAATAAACAGGTTGTACTTGTAGCGTCTCTTTAACTCGATCAAGCCAGGAAGGTTGCACATTGATCCCTCCATAGAGTAGAGTCCCTCCACCACAACTAGAATCTTCTTCCATGGGCGGTGAGTCCGTGGTTGTCCTTGACTAATGGCCTCACGTAACTTCGCCTCGAGGTCGCGCATGTCATTGTGTCTGAACATAGCAATGGAGGCACCGGAAAGACGGGCACCGAATCGGATGGATGCGTGGTTCAGCTCATCTGAGATGATCAAGCAGCCTTTGTTGACGAGAGCCGGGAAAATATTCGCATTGGTTCCGAATCCCATAGAGAAGACCATGGAGGCTTCTTTACCGACAAATTTAGCGACCAAGTCTTCAACCTCGACATGCAGATCTTGCGTGCCGGTTTCAGCACGGGTGCTTGGTGAGGTGATTCCATATTTCCGGAGCGTCGCCTCGGCGATATCAGCACATGGGCCTTCAGACTGAGCGAATCCAAGGTAGTTGTATGAACTCAGGTTCAGTGTATCGGTTGTCGTGCCGGTCAAATAAAAATGTCGGTTGTGGTCATCCGTGGCCCGATCAATCAGCGTGATGTATCGGCCAGGCACGCCAGTCACCGGCCTTTCGAAACAATCGTTGATGCGTAGCTTGAGGCGGCGCACGTAGAAGTTGTCAAAATCGCTGTTGAGCGCACCATAGCCATTCCGGGGCTTCAGGTGACGGTAGTTCTCTTCGCGGAACCGCTTTCCAAAGAAATCGCGCACATGTCCGAAAGCAATGAGGATAAGGTAACTGATATAAGTCGTGAGGAGATAATAATAGGGCGGCTCGTCCATTATAGGCTCCGGAAAAGGCCCGCCAGGATGTCGGCTGGAATAGCGGTGACTGTGGTGACCGATTGGGCCGAATTGAGCATGTTGCTTGGCCAGCCGACGAGCCTCTTCAGGCGAAGGGGGCTGGAATAATGTGGTCGGGGGCTCATCCATGTTGGGGTTACCCGCGGTTGCCGTTGAAAGAGAGATTGTAGGAAGCGACAGAGAAGCAGAGCTGATCGGCGGTGCGACCGTACTAGGATGGGAGCTTCCACTAAGCGACTGAACAGTACCCTGCACAGTCTGAGGTTCAGCCCTTGGCTTCGGAGAGGTAGAGAATAGTTGGCTTAGGCGACTAGGTTTCACGGAGGGCGCCTTGATGGCAATGCCGCCCTTGACAGAAACGGAGGAAGAGAAGGGAGCGTTATAAGGATCGTTGGTGAGAGAAGGACCGGCAGCTCGACGAGGCATCGCAAGGAAGCAGCCGGACAGAAACACGGAGGATCGTGCGGGTTCGATAGGAGGAAGAGCGCAGTCGGCTGGAGACGGCAAGAACCACCTGGTCGGCAGCACTCACGATTCTTCGAGTAAAGGAAAGATCCGCTCGCTGGCTGATGTTACCTAGCCGCTTGTTGTCTCCAATTGGTATGAACAGCAAACGGCGTTCGTAGGTTGTCCACCTAAATGGCCGTTGAGAACATGGTCAGTGACTTGGACAATTGAGTGTCGCAAAATGGCAAGACATTCGGGGAGCGCACAGCGCAAATTACATGGGGAACAAAAGGGCTTTTGTAAAAGGAGAACAAAGTGTAAAGAAAGGAGAAATAATTGCGAAAGGTCAAAAAGATGACCATTCAGGAGAGGGTGGAAGGGCGGAGAATCAGAGATGATCGGTCAGGTACTGTACTTTTTGCACGTGGAGCAACAGTAGCAGGAGGCACGGAGCCCTGCAACGAACAAGGTGATTTTAAAATCCTTGAGGCCAGGACAGGAAAATCCGCACGAACACTAAGCCACCAGGAAAGAAAGCGAAGTGCGGATGATGGTGAGGAGGAGAGAAGAGAAGACGGGATGTTGCGGTAGTGGTGGTGGTGGTGGTGGAGGATGAGGAGGAGATGAGGAGAGGAGAAGGTGGTGGTGGGAACGAACGGGTAGTTAGTGAGCGAGTGAGTGAGTGAGAGTCGAACAATTCGGGAGGGACTCGTTCCTGAAAAGGTCGAGAACTGCAGTGCTTGATTGAATGACTGATTTGTGCAGAGTGCAGAACCAACCCACGGTCATATCAGCCCATTGGGTATTATTAATGAAGAACTAATGAGGATAAACAAATTAAGCGTTCCCATCCTCAGCACGCCCCGATGGGTTCCTTTTCCACTTTACTCTTTTTTTCCACAGCTTCTTTTTTAATTTCCTATCGCTTTTTCTTTTTCTTTTCTTTTTTCTTTTTTTTTTTTTGCTTTTCCTTGGATGAAGTAAGTACCTAGTAAGCGGATGTTACGGAGCGGTAATGGAGCGGTAAGTTGGACCCTCGTTCCGGCCGTTTCGGTGGTTGAGCAATTAGTCAATTGGTTCTGCCCTGGTAATCATCAATCTTTGAGTATTCTTTCCCGCTCAGGTGGACGGAGTCAGAACAACCTACAGTACAGTACGGAGCTCAGTAAGAAAATAAGAAAGGGGCAACGCAAGGTGCATGAACTGCCACACTGCACTTCTGTTGTACATCAACTTGTAAACTGGTAACTTAACCTACTCTATATGTACAATGTACATCCTTCGATGCATGGAGGAATTTCACCGCCACTTATTTCCAGCTTTTAGTATGCAGCTTTTGCTGTACTGTACATGGGTGGTTGGATACAAAACTTTACTCGAGGCTCAACTGGTCAACAGACAACAGACTTAATGCAGAACTGTTGCTGCCTCAGGCCAACATGCATGACTCTACACTACCGTATGCTCTGACTACCTGCGCATCTCCCTAGATTCAGCTTGCATTCGCACCCTCGCCCACACAGAGTCATTTCACTATCTACTTGCATGGTGATTGTTCAGTAGTCCCCGTACTTATTGTCCTTGTTGGCTTTGTTCTTGACTCTGTTCCCCGCTGTTATCCGCTCTGTTCCGCCCCCGTTCCGCCCCGGAATGCCCCATAAAATGCTCCAGTCGATCTATAAGTATAGTAGCCAGACCTAGAAATTGAGATACTGCAAAATCACCTTAAGAATCCGACTCGTCTGCCCTCACTTGTGCCAATACCCACTGATTAGGGAGTAATTGAGTTTGGGTGACAGGCAGCAACCACGTATTCACTGGAACGGCAACCGCTTCGGACCCTCGGTTCCTTGACAGTCAGATTTCCCTAGATTTGGACCTTCTTCCTAGACACAAACTGTCACCTTCTATCTGTCGGAAGCAGAACACACGACTGGTAGTGCCCATGGCTACCAACGGAGAAGAATCGAAGGAGCTATGGCGACACTCCTCTCCACATACCACTCAGATCCATGACTTCATCAAGACTGTCAACAAGGAGCATCTCCTGTCGCTGGATTCATACAACGATCTCTGGGAGTGGAGCATAGCAGAGCCAGCAAAGTTCTGGGAGCAGGTCTGGAAATACACTGCCATTGTGGCTCACCAGCCTTACAGCCGCGTGAGTATATTACTGATAGTGATGATGACGCTTGTGTCCCTTCACGAAGCAGGGTTTGGAGGCGGTGCTAACCAGACCCCAGGCCTTGAGTTCAGAGCAGCTTCTCTTTCCACGACCCAAATTCTTCGACGGAAGCAAGTTGAACTTTGCTGAAAATCTTCTTTACCCAGCCTCGTCTCCTGACGAGGATGCGGTGGCTGTCATTGCTGCCACGGAATCGGATCGTGAATACGTGTCTTGGAAGGAGCTGCGAGATCGGGTCAGAAAATGTGCCAACTCGTTGAAAGAGGCAGGCTTGCAGGTGGGGGACCGCGTCGCTGGGTTTCTGGGAAACCATACGAACACTGTCGTTGCGATGCTCGCAACAACGTCAATTGGTGCCTTCTGGACAGGTGTCTCTCCAGATACCGGAGTACACGCCGTGTTGGAGCGCCTAAAGCAGATTGAACCGAAGTTCTTGTTTGCCGACAATGCATCGCTGTATAATGGGAAAGTTCATGGCGCAGATGCGAAGCTGCGGGAGATTGTTCCTGGTTTGCCCAAGCTCGAACTCCTGGTCGTGTTCCGCACCGTCGACTCTTATGAATTCCAGCTGGAAGAAGTAAAGCCGCTGCAAGGCAAGGCTGTTCCTTACGATTCTTTTCTTGCGCAGGTTAAAGATGCTGCAGCCCCTCTGGACTTCGCGAGTCTGGAGCCGGATCATCCAGTCTACATACTATATTCCTCCGGCACAACGGGAGCACCGAAGCCAATTGTACACGGTGCTCTGGGAACGCTTCTCCAACATAAGAAAGAGCATGTTCTTCACTGCGATATACGCCCCGGAGACCGAGTGTTCTACTTCACAACCACGACCTGGATGATGTGGCACTGGCTTGTTTCTGGCTTGGCCAGCGGCGCCACCATTGTCCTCTACGATGGCTCGCCATTCCGACCGTTCGATTCTGAAGGTGGCAATGGGGAGATGGCCATGCCGCGTTTGATAGATGAGCTACAGATTAGTCACTTTGGTACATCGGCCAAGTATCTGTCCATTTTGGAGCAGGCATCTCTAAATCCAACACAGCACCCTCATCGGCCGGTGAGCCTGCAGACATTGAAAGCCATCTACAGCACGGGTTCACCTTTAGCTCCGTCTACGTTTGAGTATGTCTATACATCTATCAAGGCAGACATTATGCTGGGCTCAATTACCGGAGGAACCGATATCCTGTCGCTCTTCTGTGGCAGCTGCCCCATTCTTCCCGTTTACAAGGGTGAAATCCAGTGTCGCTGCTTGGGCATGGCCGTTTCAGTCTACGATTATGCCGGCAACGACATCAGCACCTCTGGCGAACCTGGCGACCTCGTCTGCACCAGACCTTTCCCCGCACAACCGGTGATGTTCTGGCCTCCAGGTCCCATAGGGGCGGAGAAATATCGCAAGAGCTACTTCGACGTGTTTGGTCCATCAATTTGGCACCACGGCGATTTCGTGCGTGTGAATCCCCAGACGGGAGGAGTAGCCATGCTGGGTCGCAGTGACGGCGTCCTGAAACCGGCTGGAGTCCGTTTCGGAAGTGCAGAGATTTACAACATTCTGCTCAAACACTTCGCAGAAGAGGTGGAGGACTCTCTCTGCATCGGACGAAGACGTGATGGGGTTGACACAGACGAGACAGTCGTTCTTTTTGTCAAATTGCTGCCGCCCGGGGCGGCTTACGAGGTCATATCGGCGGATCTTGCGGCTCGCATTCAGGCGACAATCCGTAAAGAGCTCAGTCCTCGCCACGTACCGGGAATCGTGGCTGTATGCCCTGAGATTCCCGTGACGTCCAACGGTAAGAAGGTCGAGAATGCGGTTAAACAGATCCTATGCGGGTTGAACATCAAGATCGGTGCGAGTGTTGCCAATGCCTCTTGCCTGGACTGGTACCGCACCTGGGCGACAGCGAACTAAGTTGCCGTGTTGAGAATTGCTAATGGGTGGTATGAGTTATGTCTCAGCAAATTATACTGTAGGAGAACATTTAATGATTAGATTTCCTTGTTAAGCTGAAGCATTTTTCCATGCGTGTTTAGAAATCATGAAGCAATCGCTACCAGGAACATAACTCGGCTCAATCTAGATCCTGAATCATTATTAAACACATGACCGACCACCTACGGTCCTTTTTTTGCCACACATATGGCACTACTTCGTTGCTGAGGACGCAAACTCTTCTCAAAATTACATACCTCTGGAAAGGAAATACTAGCGTCAGCAACGTTGCTATTCCCTTGTATATTGATGCTGCATTGCTCAATCTTGCCCAAGAAATCCCCCGAGTGCTTCCCCGCTTAGATAAGCAACCCCGGCTCGGAGCCCAAATCCTTGCGACGCCTGGCCGTGACGAAACCATCTTCCGGAACAGCAGGCTTCACAAAACTCAGGCAAACACGCAAAAGTAATCTAGACATACTCATTGGGACTTTGCAACACACATACTCGAAGATGCGTCGCTCTGTATTGCGGGCTGTCGAGTCCGCGAAGCCGATTGCTCGCGTGCCTCGCTCAGCTGCGTCGAGAAGCTTTTCCACCGCTGCAGACGGGTCTAAGGTACGTTGAGCGCGCAGGTTGGTTGGATTTGCGGCAAATGCGCCATTAGCAGGCTGACTCGGAATCTCACACTCTCTACAGGACCCCGCAGAATTAGATCAGATCACTACCCTGCCGAACGGAATCCGCGTCGCTACCGAATCCCTGCCAGGCCCTTTCGCTGGAGTTGGTGTCTATGTCGACGCTGGATCCCGCTATGAAGATGAGAGCCTGCGCGGTGTGAGCCACATCATGGACAGACTGGCTTTCAAGTCCACCAAGGCACACTCCGCCGATGAGATGCTGGAAACTCTGGAGAATCTCGGCGGCAACATTCAATGCGCGTCTTCCCGTGAGTCGCTGATGTACCAGTCGGCTAGCTTCAACTCTGCAGTTCCCTCGACGCTCGGATTACTGGCGGAGACCATCCGTGATCCTCTCATCACCGAGGAAGAGGTGATTCAGCAGCTGGCCACCGCGGAATATGAGATCGGCGAGATTTGGTCCAAGCCCGACCTCATCCTGCCGGAGCTGGTGCACACGGCGGCCTACTCGAACAACACTCTGGGAAACCCACTACTCTGCCCGGCGGAGAGACTGGGAGAGATCAACAAATCGGTCGTGGACAAGTACCGGCAGACTTTCTTCAATCCTGAGCGCATGGTGGTTGCCTTTGCCGGCGTGGAGCATGACAAGGCGGTTAAGCTCACGGAGCAGTACTTTGGTGACATGAAGTCGAACAAGCCGGTTCTTTCGGGAACCGGTGTCGAGACTACTTTGTCTCATTCCGAATCGACTCTGGAGGAGGGACAGGTGCCCACAGTCCCTCAATTCACGCCATCTTCGACTGTTTCTACCACACCCCCGACCTCCAAGTCGGGAATTCTCTCGAAACTCCCCTTCTTGAAAAACCTCAGCCTGTCTGGCTCGCAGAACGATGCCGCATCGCCGCTTGATCCGTCGCTAGTGCAGTCAGCGACTCTAGACTTGACTCGGCCTTCTCACTACACGGGCGGCTTCCTCTCTCTACCCCCCATCCCTCCGCCAGCCAACCCGATGTTGCCTCGTCTGAGCTACATCCACCTTGCCTTCGAGGCCCTCCCAATCTCAAATTCTGACATCTACGCCCTCGCTACTCTCCAGACCCTCCTCGGAGGCGGCGGCTCCTTCTCGGCCGGTGGTCCCGGCAAGGGCATGTACTCCCGTCTCTACACCAACGTGTTGAACCAGCACGGGTGGGTGGAGAGCTGCGTGGCGTTCAACCACAGCTACACGGACAGCGGTATTTTCGGAATCTCCGCGTCCTGCAGCCCCACGCGCACGACCGAGATGTTGGAGGTCATGTGCCGTGAGTTGCAGGCCCTGACCCTTGACAACGGCTATTCCGCGCTTCAGCCCCAGGAGGTTGAGCGTGCAAAGAACCAGCTCCGCTCCTCGCTTCTCATGAACTTGGAGTCGCGTATGGTAGAGTTGGAGGATCTCGGACGCCAGGTCCAGGTCCACGGCCGGAAGGTGAGCGTCAAGGAGATGTGCCGGCACATTGAGGGCTTGACGGTGCAGGACCTGCGTCGGGTGGCTAGAAAGGTCTTCGGTGGTCAGGTCCAGAACCCTGGCAAGGGCAGTGGAAAGCCCACCGTCGTCCTGCAGGAAGGCGAGCTTGAAGGGTACAAGCTGCGCCCGTTCCCTTGGGGAGAGATCCAGGAGCGGATAGCCAGATGGCAGTTGGGAAGACGGTAGCTTGGAGAACGAATGATCATTGAGGTTCCTAGTTCAGCGAACCTCAAGCAAAGTATAGCGTCCAGGAAAGGATTATTTCCTGGAAGCAGGTTGGGATAGAGCAGGCTTTCCACAAATTCTTCACTCTATGTAATTAGATATAGCCATGAACCTCAATCAAAGTGTACCATAGACGCATCACTGCCTGTATTCTTCTCATAGTTGTACTGGCCATTAAAGGCTCACATAATAAATGATTGAATGAAATATTGACGTGGAATTGCAGCGCATTGATGAATAAGAATGGATGGGCGGCGGCCAGCTCCTTACCGCTTTGAGTTTGTTTCCGCCCGGGAAAAAAGTTGGAACGGAAGTTCGAAGCCGGCGGCCGCCTTCAATCTCCGTTCTGCTCCTCCATCCAACTTCCTACTCAACTCACCACCGTCTTCATCTTCACGACCCTCGCGCCCCACCTTCTATCGCAATCAAACTCACACCGTCCATACCCCCCAAACGTCACAATGGTCAAGCTCACCGAAGTCGAGGACGAGCACTTCGCCCAGGAGAAGCCCCAGCCCAGCAAGCACAACGTCCTTCTTGCCTCGGATGACGAAGAGGAGGACGATGACTACACTGACACCGGTACGTCCACTTTTTTTAAGTCCATCGAATCTTATCCCAAGTGGCGACTATCGCAATCGAAAGACCACTCCTGCGATCATTCCCAATCAATCACCATCCGCCTATAACCCATCCATACATCCATCCTTACGCGACCATCCAATTTCGCAGCCATGCACCCTACCCCCAGCTCTACATCCTCCCATCCATCTCCAACCTCAAAAACAATCCCATAGAAGAAGCACATAACAAGCCAGCCAGCATCGCAAATGCTGTCTGCACAAATATAGAACCACGAACTGACATCCTCTTTCCGCTGCACTATAGAATCCGAGATCTCCACCGAGTCCTACGAAGAGCTCGAGAGCGAGACCCTGTACGACCGCATCTATGCCCTGAAGGACATGCTTCCTCCCTCCGCTCGCCGCTCCCTCACCTCCACCGTCAACACGGTCACCTCCTTCACAAAGTCCAGCGTGACGTTCAGCGGCAAGGCGCTGTGGATCATCAGCACCAGCGCGTTCCTGCTGGGTGTGCCATGGGCTCTGGCCTACGCCGAGGAGGAGCAGTACATCCAGATGGAGCGCGAGCAGGGCATGATCAAGGGTGCTAATGAGGTATGGTTTTATTGTTTTTTTTTTCTCTCTGGCCACTTGTTTTGTTACTGCTTTTTTCGACTCCTGGGAAATTCGGGTTTGGAAGGATTTGAGCAAAGAAGAGCAAAAAGCCCTCTTCCTCTTTTTCCCTGTTCTCGCCCGAAACCCCGGGAATCGCTCGCCACGAAGTCCTTGGTGTACACCATACAAGCCGAGACTGCCATTGCATCGACCGATACGAGAAAAACCCCAAGAAAAAGATGCTAACCTTCCCCACTTCCGATAGATGCTCACCCCCGGCGCTGCCCCCGCCGAGCAGCAGGCCCAGCCTACTCTGTAAATGGCTCCCTCCCAAAAATGAAAAGGAAACAATTCTCCGTCGCCGAAGGCCGCCAAAGAGGAAAAGATCGCAACAATGAGTGATTGAGGAAGTGTGGATCGAAAAGAACAACAACGGATCTTTTCTTCCGCGATGAGATCCGCTATCCGTATCGTCGTTCAACTCCATTCCCTTCTCTTCCCCTTCTGTGTATAAACAAGACCCACCCGGATGGAACTCCAGGATTTTCTGGGACAGACGACGCAAAAAAAAGTTATATACACTGTACAGAATGGCCCTGGGGTGTGTGTGTCCCCGGCAGAGGGAAATGAAGAATCACGGTGTTCTTCTTCCTTTTCCACTTTCCCCTCACATCTTGTTCGCTTTTGGGAACCATCTCTGGCCTTGCCTTTCAACTTTGTTCATCCCTCTTCCACCCTCCCGTTTCCTTGGGCGATGTGTGTTGTATTTGTATAATCGGCTTTTTTTGTCTCTGTTTCGTTGATGTGTCTACTCCTATCAATTTTTTTAGTTATGTTTTGGGGAACTCATGTTTCTAGATTTTCATGAAATGTGAATGATTTCAAGATTTGGGAACTTTGGGGGGTTATATTGAGGTATAGAAACATCCTATCCTCGTTTTAGATGTAGGACTATGCCATGTGCGTAAATATGATCGGGAAGATGGAGAAACAATAAGATTGTGATGATTGAAGGACAAAACAAGTAAGCAGAAAGGGTATCATGGAAAAATGACGGAAGGAAGGGCCGATTATAGGCAGCGGAGATCCCTAGTATGGATAGAAAAAAAAAAGGGAGACCCCTAGTATGCACAGATGAACGTGTCGAGGCAAGTGGAGGTAAAACGCCTCTCTGGTTAACCTGCCTCAGTCTCGTAAGAATTGTCTCATGGGAAAAGTGTCGAAGACAAGTGAAGCAGCATGAGAAAGTGCCCTCGGCCTAGAACTGAAGGAGGCTGACTGGCTGGTTATATCGAGCGATGAGTGGGAAGGTTTCTCGAACCCCATCCTGGAACAAAGCACTCGCGATCCTATCCGAGGGACTGTGAAGTCACCGTTAGCAAGAGTCTCCAGACTTAGTGGTAGTTAGTATTCAAGGGTTGTTTTAGTTGGACATACACTGGATTCGCGGGCGGTTCGCAGATCGATGTGGAAATCGCGCCAGAGTTTCTTGACCTCGCCCTCCTGGACCATCGTCTCCACTGCCTTGATGGCATACTTGGTTTGTTTGCGGTGGCTCCAGTGGCTGCGTTCGAGGATGCGCGCATCGGACAGGTAGCCCTTGAGGCGCAAGTGGTCGGTCACCCACTCGTTGAGACGGAAGCGCCAGTGGGTTAGAGTGTGAGCCAGGTTCGCTTTGGTCTTGCAGTGTCTGGGTGGGTTGTTTGTTAGTGGGTGTGTTCGCTGATGATCCTGGCAAGTAACATACCGTCCGAGGTAGAAGCGCGTATTCTCGTCCGGCAAGACGTGCCCGTCTCGGTCTCTTTCGCGGCTGTCCCTTTGTTCGTTGTCAGACTGCTCCTCCTCGTCGTCGTCATCATCATCACTGTTCTCATCCTCGAGCGGTTCCAGGGTGTCCAAAGCGTAGGCTTTGCCGTAGAGCTTGATGTCAAAGGACGCCGGGTGACCAGAGCGCTTGCATGCATCGCACGGATGGTTATCAAAGGTCGGATAGGATGTCACTTCCATGTGTGGTCGTGCCAGAAGTGCGCGGCGGAACTCGGCCGTCCACACCGACGACACCAGCTGTGATCCCGTGCGGCCTTTGACTTCGTCCTCGAGTTTGCTGAAGGCTAGTTCGTAGACTGGACTCGAGCGCGGAAAGGCTGGGTTCAGCTTGTTGTGCACCATCCATTCCACCGCGTCCTGGAAGTAATCTTTGAGTTGCTTGTAGGCGTGACGGGTGAACTCGAATGGCATTTCGTCGAGACCGCCGGGCGCACCCAGTAGATCGTCCTCATCTTGCAGGACGAAGTCATCCTCGTAGCGGTCTAAATCATCATTGCCCGCAATAGATGATTCGACGTCGCTGTCGTCGTTTCTACTAAGCGATCGGGGCTTGATGGCGGCAGCGGCCTGCTCACTTTCCGCTGCGCTTTCGTTCTCCTCGCCCTCGCCCTCGCCTTCGCCTTCATCTCCGCTCTCTCCTGCCTCGAGTTGGGAATCCTCCTCCTCCGATTCAGGCTTTCCTGCTCGCCGACGACGCAGAGCTTCCAAATGTTGCTGTCTTTGGGCTCTGGCGGAGTTTGCTAGACGGCCTCTGGTTCTAGTTTCCTTCACCACTGTAGCAGATGTCATTAGTATACTGTCAGATCAAGGAGAGAAAGAGAAAGAAGTACCTGAGTCTTGCAGAGCTTGGAGGTCCTCCTCGATGTCCAAGTCATCTTGATCTCTGGTACGACGCGGCGTTCGAGGCGCAGTCGGCAGATCATCATCGTCGTCGTCCTCGATCTCTTCGACAGGCTGAGAAACAGTGCCCCGCCTTAGCTTTCGGCGAGGTCTGTTGACAATTTCATCGCCGTCACTGTCGTCTGATATGACTTGTAGAGACGGCTCACTTTCGGAAGCCTCTTCTGATCTCTTTCGCTTCAGCGACGTCGGGGCAGATCGTTTGCGCGCGCTGCGAGTCATGTCGATGTCACTTTCACTATCCTGCTCTGGTGTAACAGCACGGTCGGGCGTTTTGTTAGAGTCCTCTGTTTAGATTCCAATCGAGGTTAGCAGATGTCAGGTCATTCGACTTATTCGTCCCGTAGAGCATACCTTCGCGACCCGTCAGAGAACTCTTTCGGGCGCCCTGCTTTGACTCCACCGTATCCGACTCGTTGGCCTCGCCTTCAGCTGACTTCTCCCTTCGAACTGACTCAGAAGTCGTATGCCTTGAACTCTTCTTCCGCAATGACCTGCGAGCGGGTTTCTGCTCCTCCACCAACCCCGCCTCTTCCCCCTCATTGTCAGACGTCGCTTCGACCTTCACAACCGAAGCCGGCGCCTTCTTCGCGCGACTGCTGCCCTTCTTGCGCGCAGATCTTGAAGCGCCCTTCTGTTCCTCCGCCGAATGCGACTCGCTTCCATCGTCGGAGGATGTCTCAACCTTCACAACGGGAGCAGCAGGCGACACCGCGCGATCTTTGTCCTTCTGGCGCGCAGATTTGCGTGCGGATTGTTTCTTCACGGCCTTCGACGACGACACGGGCTTCTTGTCTTTGGCCGATTTTTCGACTTTCTTGACAAACGGTGAAGGCGAAGCGGTGTCTTGCCTGGGGCGACTGGAGAGAATGGTGGGTTTGGAAGGATGCGAATAGCGGAGGGTCGCCCGGCGATCCCTCTCTCCGTCCGAGGCGGGCTCATTCTGCTGGATGGGAGAGGAGCCTATTGGGGCGAAGGAGAGTCGCGTCTGCTTCTTCTTGCCATATGTGCGGGGCATAGGGGATAGATGCAATGTAGTATGGTGAGGTGGGGGTGGGGGTGTACTGCAAGTCGATAATGTGGGAGGGCCGGAGGGGAGGAATCGGGTCTGCAACCAACCGCGGCGGGACCGCGTCGGGGCGTGGCACGAAAGCACGTGATGGGGTTGCAATATTGCCTAATGTGAGAGACTACGGAGTGCTTCTTTGGAAGTTGGCTGTTGTTTATAGGAGAGTAAAAGAACATTCTATCAAGCACCGTACCCTGTGAACAACTGCTGTATGACAGTTGACAATACTTGAGTGACAGCGCTGCCATGAAAGAGCCAAAACACACTGACTCGACTGTTTGCCCACTTGCTCAAGCCTCTCAAGCTTCGATCAGCGTCCCCGGCCATGGGCAGATGGCAATATTGGCAGGAATGCCTTCTAGCAACGGTCGTGGCTTCCTCAGCAGCATCAGCTCCGCCTGTAACTTCTCACACTTGCGTAGCAGTCTCATCACTGATGCATGCCGTGCTAGGTTTCGCAGATCCTCCTTCAGTTCTTACCTTCCCATGACTTGCAAAACTTACTTGCTGCATCTTAGACAACATAATTGACGCCATAGAATCCTATCACAGCCGCCAGTTTCTTGCCTCCTTCATGTATTGTCAACAGCGATTCGTTGCATTTCTTCACGCACTTCTAAGTGTGATATCAAATAGCACCCAAGAGCATCTCCCGCTGATCCCGCATCAAGTGAACGGGACCGATAAGCCCTGGATCGGATGCAGTAACCCATGCGCCAGCATATCGGATTATGTCGCAGTGTCTGAATCTCACCAACCGGATGGACCAGGCTGCACAATCACCTTGGGACATCCTGTACAACGAAAAGCGGACTCAATGCTTGACAGAGATGCAAAGGATACGATCCCGGTCAAGAACGTGGTTGAGCCAGGTCTGAAGCTCACACTGACGATAACAAACATAGAGAGAGGATCTCTGGACTTGCACAAATGCCAGAGTATCTTTGAAGAGCTGATACTCGAGGGGCCTGGCAACCTTCTGCAGCAGGGGACACTACTCGACCGTCCACTGGCTGCTTTCCCAGTTGGAGAGCATTCAGACCAAATTGCAAGCCAGGCCCTCAAACCAAGACAAGTGCATGAAATTCCTCCGGAGGATCAACCTATCAAGACACTTGCAAGCGATCCACACTCCCTGGGATATCATGGGATCCTGGAATACTTGCTTGGAAAGGAGAAAGGAACGAAGACTTCCAAAAGGGCCATCGAGCACTTAAATTCTGTCATGACTCGCACAGAACACAGACGTGCATCCGTGCGTCAGAGCTCTCACAGCCTTGACTCGGATTGTGAGAACATATGTGACGGGCATAGCTGGAGGGATACCCATATAGCGAAACCCTTCATGGGCTTTCAGCCAAGGCAGTGCGTAATATGCCACTCCAATACAAATGTTGTTCGGGTGGACAGACGCCGCCCACAGAAGGCAAATGAACTCGATGTGTTCTATAAGATATGCGCAGTCTTCGGGGCGTCAGTCATGGTGGCAACCCTCCTTTACATTCTGCGGGAAATTTACCGACGGCTTCGCGTGCGATACTTGCTGCTTCGAGGCAGGAACCATCGCGATCAACGTGCACCAAGCATAGCCATCAAGACAGGTTGCTCCATTCCAGCCGGTGAAATGACAACTCTCATGCCCGAGGCCTCGCGAGCTTGGGAAAGACCCAGTCAAGCATCTGATATGGTGGGTGCCCAAGTTAGTGTGTCTGATTCAGCCACCCAGCAGCGGTATAGACGGTTCACTCCCTCTCAGCGAAACACCCGCAGGAAAGTTCAGGATATCTTTGACTTCGGTTCGTCTCAGGCGTGCAAGAATAATTTGACGACAGAGGAGAGGATCCCTGTGCTTCCACCAGCTGCGAACGCGAGTGTGAGGAGGAACGTCGGCATCTGGCAGGCTCCCAAAGGACAACGGTGTGCGGTGAATGAGGAAATGGAGGGCATCACGCACAGCAACGCATTTCTTTTTTAGGATCGGCGCTAGCCCGGTATTCTCGAGGAACAGGGATGTTGACACATTCATACCTGGGATTTGAATCTCGTCGGAGAAGAGCCATGGTGGTCTCGAGCTATGGGAGTTGGTGGCTGCAATAGGACTAGCGAGATTGGCCAGAGACAAGGCCTCGGTTAATATGCGGGTATAAGGACAGCCCGGCCTCGACTGTATGCATTAGGAATGGTATCGTTCGTGTGGCCGTTTGTGTCGCCCCAATTTGCCCCAGTAGCCTTAGGTAGCCCTGTAGATCCGGATCTCGTCGAGCGACATAGGACCAGCCCGTATCTCAGGAACCTTGGGGATAGCCGTCTGTGTCAACCTCGTGGCATTGATACGAACCTGAGCGTAGGGTTGGCAGATGGGAAGATCTCATTCGGGGGTAAATTGGTCGAGGGATGGGATGAGGATGGAGAAGACGGAGAGAAGAGAGGGGTCTCGTGACCGGTGATGGATGAATCTGTCAATCTGTCTTGCCTCTTTCTCACCTTTCGTTCATCTTCTTCTCCTCTTCGCCGCCAATCGCCTCCTCTCCTTCTCACCTGATCCTTTCTCTATCCATTTCCCCCCCCTCCATGTGAAAGTGCGACAAGTCTTGAATTAATCTATTTTGCCATTTCCATTGGTGGATCCGGATTAGCCCCCATTTGGCGTTCTTACCGCGGCTGATTCGTGGGAAATGGGATGACTTGGGCCGTGTGTCGTTGAGAATTTCCTCGAATCTCGACCCCGGATTTCTCCACGATACGACAGCCCCGACAATGGGTCCCGTCTGGGGAATTGCTCCATCCATCTCCATCGCTGGGTTGCAACTCACCCCCGGAATCCCCACTCCACTCCACCCTCTCCCCCCGACTCAAATCCTGGAGACAAGTGTCGGGGAAAACCTGTCAAGGTCGGTTCGTGCATGCACAGGTCTGGGGTCTGGGGGAGCTCTGGCCCCCCGCCTTTCTCCCAACTTTCGCCTCCCACCAGGGTTACGTTCGGTTTAGCGTCCACTCTAAATGCTGCATGGGATGTTGCTAGGGCGTAGGATGGCTTGATATAGCGCTTGCCACCTGGCTGCTGGCACGCGGCATGGTAGCTTATCTGCTTATGGTCATCCTGGTTCGAGGTCGGCCGCTTCGCATATTTATACCCACAGCCCGCATCTCCTGCTGCATCTTTTCTTTCCTCCTCTCTTCTGTCTGTGTCTTGCGCTTCTCCCCATCAGTCCTTTGTAGCCCCGGTTGGCTTTAAGAGGTGGCCCTTCAGGACGACCACCTGGTGATATTCACCTATTCGTTCTTGTTTTACCCTCCCTCCATTAGACCGTTTCAGATACCCCGTCGTCAAGATGATTGAGAAATTCATGTCAAAGCGAGCCTACAACTGGTGAGTCTTGCTCCTCAAGCAGGCTATTTGAACACTCCCTCTAATCGATCATTCTCCAGGTTCATTTCCTTAGTTGCAGCAGCATGCATGGTGCTTTATGGTTATGATGCCTCCGTCTACAATTCCGTCCAGGGCTCGGACAACTGGACAGCCTACTTCCATAACCCGGATAACAATATGATCGGAGCCGTCAATACAGCCTACACTGTGGGTGCGATCTTCGGAGGTTTCTTCCTCGGTGGTCCCATTGCCGATTTTCTTGGCCGCAAGATCGGAATGGCCATTGGCTGTGTCTTGGTCATTGCTGCCACCTTCATGCAGTGCTGGTCGCCACGGGGCAGTATTGCTTGCTTCCTTGCGGGACGCTGCATTATCGGTATTGGCCAGGGTATTGCATTGAGTGAGTTACATGCGAGGCATCCTATCAATCCAGGACTGCAGCTAACCGTGTGTGTTTTCCAGCTGCCGGCCCTATCTACATCGGTGAACTTGCACCGCCCGAGATCCGCGGAAAGATCATGACCTTCTGGCAGATGTTCTACTCCGTTGGCTCTTTCATCTGCTTCTGGATTAACTATGGCTGCACGAAGCATTCAAAGAACCTGGGAGAGTGGGACTGGAAGCTGGTCGTCATCTTCCAGCTTCTCGTTCCCGTCATTATTCTGGCTATTCTGCCTACCATCCCCGGCTCGCCTCGCTGGTATGTCTAACATATCTTTTCCTTCTACAGGAATAAGTCTTGCTGACCCTCCCATAGGTATGTCCAGCGTAAAGACGATATTGAGAAGGCGCGCTCGGCTCTCCGCAGAGTCCGCGAGACTGACGAAGAGGTCGAGGAGGAGCTGCTCAAGATCCGGGAAGCCCTCGAATACGAGAAGGAGGCGATCTCCAGCAACTACAGCGCGCTCTGGAAGGACAAGTCTCTCCGCAAGCGTATGGGATTGGCGCTGGTCATCAACGCTGGTCAGCAAATCACCGGACAAGGAACCCTGAACACCTACTCCACCAAGATCTACGAGAAGGTCTTCACGAGCGCCAGCAAGATCGCCCTCATCAACGCCCTCAACGCCACCTTCGGTATCCTGTTCACTCTGAACGCCGTCTGGGTCATCGACCGCTTCGGACGCAAGTTCCTCCTGATTGTCGGTGGTATCGGCATGGGGATCTGCATGATCATCGTCTCTGCGGTCGAGACCGAGACCCCGTCGCCTGGGGGTGCGAAGACGGAGTCGGTGGGTATATCGATCGTGTTCTTGCTGTTCCTGTTTATATTCTTCTGTAAGTGCCCCCCCCCCTGTCTTTGGGTTGCGCACAAGCCCTTTGGGAGCCAGCTACTAACGGGCCACAGACAAACCATCCTGGGGCGCCACCGTCTGGATCTGGACGTCCGAGGTCTTCTCCATGAACGTCCGCGCGCAGGCCGTGGGCATGGCCTCGCAGACGCAGAACGTCGCCAACGCCATCGTGCAGCAGTTCTTCCCCACCTTCCTCAACAACTGCGGGTTCTACGCGTTCTACATGTTCGCGGGCATCAACTTCCTGCTCGCGCTCTTCGTCTGGTTCTTCATCCCGGAGACCAAGCAGGTTCCGCTCGAGGAGATCGACGCGCTCTTCGGCGGCGCCAACCACGTCACGCAGGGCGAGGACCTGTTCGCCCACGAGAAGTCGATGCGCGTGACCAGCGAGAAGCCGTACGCCACGACGGTCGAGGATGCGCGGGTTTAGGTGTGGGGGTGTATAGCTGAGAGAGTTCGCCTGACTAGCTGCACATACGATATTGTGGTAGCTGGAATAATAGTATTGATGATACCCGGTAGGGAATTGGCCAGAGTGCTCAGTTGCCGTCGCTTGCTCCTTGATCCAAGTGTGCCCATGATATATCTCGCTCCCATCAGCGTAGATAAAGCGTCCTCGTGAGCTTCCGACCAGACTCCAGTTCTATCGCGCTCACGCACTCCCACCGTATGATGGACACCCCCTCTAAATGAAATATATATTCCCACGTAGCACCACCCCACCCAGCAGTATTCTTTCCAATGCCACAAATCCTATACCACCTCCGTCCACTCCCGCTTCCACTTGCGTCCTTCGGCTCATGCTCATCTCCACCATCGAACGCCCCACCCCCCAAACTCGCCCGCGAGACTTGTATACCATGCGAGAACCGCTCCGCTGGAGGGGCACGTACTCTCCCCTCCTGACAGCCGCTACCTCCATCACCCTCCACACCCTCCCCACTACCAGTACCAGCATCAGTACCAGCATCACACTTCCAATCCCAAACATGAATCCCTCCGCCCCGATCGCAGTTGCCGTCCCTGAACGCAGACCCCCCGCCCCCATCACCGAGAAGCCGGTACACGGATCGCTTGACCCCATCCTCTAGAGTGGTATTGCTATCGCTACTGCGTGATGGCCCTGTGGTTTCTGGTTGGTGCGGTGGACTCGGGGGCTGATCCTGAGGCTTGGGGTTTGTTTCAGTTTCTGTTGCGATCTCAGTGTAAAGATACTCGCGCTCGTAGCCTGGCAGGGTGGTGTAGCGTGGTTTGAAGAGAGCGGAGCCGGTGGCTGGTGATTCTGTTTTGGTATCCAATGGTTCCGGTTCTGATAGCGAAGCAGAGGGTTCGTTCTTGTGGGGTCTTGTTGTGGTTGTCGTTGTTGTTCGGGAGAAGTGCCATGCGCCGTGTAGGGCGCGGAAGATGGCTGTTGTTGCTGCTGTTGCTGTTGCTGTTGGCGCTTCGCCAGTGGATGCTCTGCTAGGGGTCGGGGCGAGGGTGGTGGTTAGGGAACTCAGGGTCTTTGTGGGGTTATCGGGTCCTGACGATGAAGCTGAAGCGGAGGGGTAGGGATATCTAGCCGGTATGACGGGGTCAAGGAGCGGGCGCTGCTGGTCTGAAGCTGCGGAGGGGTAGGGATATCTAGCCGGTATGACGGGGTCAAGGAGCGGGCGCTGCTGGTCTGAAGCTGAGTCTGGGTTTGGGTTTGGGGTTGGGGTTGGAATAGGCAGGCGAGGAATCCCCAGCTCCCTGGCGAAGGACTCCATGAGGCCGACGTAGTCGCCCATGGGGAACTGGCTCCTGTGTTTGGTCTGGTGGCGGAGGCGGCGCAGTTTCTCCCTCTCGGTTTCGGGTCCGGTTTCCTTTGCGAGGGTAGGGGAGCGGTCTTGTGTCGATTGCTCAGCCGGAGATCTACTCCAGCGCGCGGTCAGACTCCGCGCTTGCATCTCCATGACACCCCAGTAGGGACCGCGGTAGAAGCCCACAAACCCCAGATCCGGGATCTCGGAGTGTGAGGTGCCCTTATTGTCGAGGACGAGGGGGATGAATGCGTCGTCTGGGGCGTATTCGAGAGTCGAGAGGATGGAGGGCGGGAGGAAGGCGAGCGAGTCGCGGGGCGTGAAGCCCGTGGCTAGGATGATGGCAGCGACGTTGTCCAGGATGCTGGATTCTCCGGTTGGGAGGCTGATTGCCACACGTGCGCGTGCGCGATCGTTCGACGAGCTCAGATGGGCGACGCGGCCGATGGTGACCTTGACGGCCCCGGCGCGCACGTATTCCGCGTAGTCGTTGCCGATGGCCACCCAGGAGGGTTGCAGCTCCGAATCCTCCGGACAGACGCCAAAGCTCCCGATCCGTGCGTACTCGCTGCCCAGCAGCTGGCGGAACCAGGCATTCGATCTGGAGATCTGGTCCGGCGCGAGCGGGCCGACAGCGTACTCGATCTGGCCGGGGGGACGACGGGCACGATCGTAGAAGACGAGGTCGAGGGGGAGGAAATTTACCGCCGTCCCGGGGGCTTCTTGGTCGGGAGATGTGTGGGGTAAGTAGGTCGGCACCGTCCAGAACGGACGTGAGCAGATGTGATGGACTTCGAGCGGCGCATGGCCAGGAGTCGAAGAAGAAGAAGAAAGATGCAAGGCCACCGCCGACGCAGCCTCGACGCCCGACATACTGCCCCCCACGACCACTAATTTCCCTCCAGCATCAGCATCAGCATCAGCATCAGCATCAGCATCACCAGATCCCCCAACCCGAACCCGCTCCAACAACCCCTGCACATCCTCCATCTCCTGCACCGCAGAACTATGCACCATCTCCCCCTCGAACCCAGAGATAGGGATATCCAGCCCCACCGGCCGAGCAAAGTACCCCGACGCGACAACGAGGTAATCAAATCGCTCCGTCCGCGTACCGGTATCATCCCTACAACAACAACAAGTCAGCAATCCCCCAACCCCTGGAATTCGCGAAAAGAACAGCATACTAACCCTCCCTGCACCCACTCCACCACCCACCCTACCCCAAAATCCCCCCGCTCAACCCGTACAACCTCACACCCCAACCTCACCACCCCTGCCCCCTCCCGCCAAAGAAACCGCTCCGCATACGTGTCCAAGTACCTGCGCACCTGCCTCGCCTCCGGAAACATCGGCATCATCTCCCTCCCACCCTCCCCGAGGACGCTCTCCCAACCCAGATCCGAGAACGCGACCGTGTACCGACTGAGATTCGTGCGCATGGCGGGGTTCACGAAGCCTCTGTTTTTTCGGCGACTCTGGGTCTGGGTCTGGGTCTGGGTCTGAGCCTGATGCAGAGCGGTGTCTGCTCCGTCTGTTGCAGGGCAAGCCCACAGCCCGCCGATGCGGGTGGTTTTCTCGAAGATTGTGGGGAGGAAGAATCCCCCGGGGGCATTGTGGAGGAGGGTCTTGGCGGTGACGAGGCCGGAGGGGCCGGCTCCTGGGTTTAATTGTGTTAGTATAGTATAGTATTTGGGGATGTTGAGGGGGAGGGGACGGCGGAGTTGAGGGTGCGTACCGATGATGGCTACTTTCTTCGGAGCGTGGGGGTGGGGCATGGTGGTACAGTAGCAGCGGAGGTGGGAGGTGGAGGTGGAGGTGGAGGTGGAGGTGGTTTTGAGGTGAGGGGAGGAGGTGATTGATGATAACTTAGTACCTAGATAGTCTTGTCCTGGAAATAAGAAGTCGGCGGGGGGAGGAGGGATTGACCTTGACTTAGGTTGCCCCGCACTATACTCACTGCACTAACTATCCATCCCCGCTTGGGGGAAAAATTATGCAGGTTGCGGTGCTTACGGCACGGAGGGCACCACAGATATTAAGTCTCGTTTGTGGTAAGAGGCAAGTTTATTTTGTTGGTTTATTCTCTATCAGTATTGGTGTAGATAGTATCTAGATTGCCACAAAAGAAACACCAAAAAAACACAAAAAAACAGGAACCAAGTGTGTCGTTACATTCATTCCAAGTACAAGTCCCATGCTAATGTGGAAGCAAAGCGATGATATGTGCATAATGTACAGCCGTATCTCAGGGCTGAAGCAGGAGGTTGATAATGATGATGGTAGGAGGTGTATGTGGGAGTGACAAGCATTCACTCCGGAGCGGGGTATATCGTTCATCATTCCTTTGTCACAGGACATGATTGGGGGGAATTGAAGTTGAAGACGAGATGTCGGTTCGTGATGGACCTGACCCAAGGAGCTCCATCACGGATGGTACCTCAATTCGTCGGGGAAAGGCACCGTGCAAGCACCGTGACGCTCACAGACGGTGCTGCAGCGGCGAAGCAGGAGCCGGAGTCTCCACAGCCGGAGAGGCCAGGGGCGTGTACGAAGCGGACGGCGAGACGTCCGTCAAATTCAACCGGGTGACGAGCTTCTTCCACGACTCGAGACCGCGCAGCGCGTGCTGCTTGGGGGTATCGGGGTGGGGGTCGGCGAGGGTGCGGGAGAAGAGCTCCAAGGAAACCCAGCCCTCGAAGCCGGTATCGAAGAAGGCCTGGGCGACCTCCTGGACGGGCAGATAGCCGCCGCGGTCCTCCTCGAAGGCGAACAGGCGGGCGTTGCGCGACCAGTTCATGCGGGTGGGCTGGCCGGGGACGTGGAAGGGGTGGGACTCGTCGAGGGGGGCGGTCAGGCGCTCGCCGTCGACGATCTGGATGTAGAAGACCTTTTTGACGTCGACGCAGGCGCGCAGCTTGGCCAGCGAGGCGGCCAGGTCGGCCTCGGCGTTGGGCGTCTTGCCACTGGGGTGCGCCGGGTCCGCGTACACACGCCCGGCCAGGTTAAAGGTATCCAGACACAGCCCGAAATTGGGCCGGTCCACCTGCTGCACCACCTCCCACGAGGCGTCCCACGTGTCGACGTGGTTGCCCCAGCACAGGGCTTCGTAGACGAAGCGGAAGGGCGGCGACTGCTGCAAGCCCAGATCGGCGACCCGCTGCAGGTCGGCCACGATCACGCTGCGGTCGCCCGTCGTGCGCAGCTTGCCCGTCGCCGGGTCCGCCAGGAGGAAGTTGGACGGGATCTGGATCAGGTCCGTGTCGAGGATGCGCGCCAGCTCGAACCACCGCGGTAGCTTCTCGGTCACCATGCGCTCCGACTCCTCGCGGTCCAGCAGCCCCTCGTAGAAGGAGAAGGGCTGCAGGCAGATGATGGTCAGCCCCAGCGAGTCGCACAGCCGGCGCACCTGCTTGGCGGCCGCCGTGTGGTCGCCCTGGAACAGCGTTTTGGCAAAGTGGTCGAGATCGTCGAAGAACAGCTCAATGCCCTCGTAGCCGTGCAGAGCAGCCTGGTGCAGCTTGCCGGAAAGACTGTGAATGCCCGGTCGACCCAGCGACATCGAGGCAATTCCCAAACGGTTCGGCATGTTGTGCGGTGTAAATGAGAAGGGTTGGATGGGGGGGAGGGGGGTGAGGGAAAGGACGGAAAGAGGGAGAAGAGAACTTGACTTGGGAAGGGGAAAGATGAGAGAGAGCAGCAGAGGGATCTATATTATGACCTGTCGAAAAGATATGATGTGATAGATACGAATCCTTAAGATGTTATCGTGACGAATGGACGAATGAACGGGCCGCGTCACCTATTTCTAAGCGTTTCGATTCAAGGGGGGGGAAAGAGAGAAAGAGAAAGTGCTAAAAAAGCAATTTGTTGATAAAGCGCAAATGGCCGAGGGAAGGTTCATGTATTGGGGCAGATGCCTTATACTCTTTCCCACAATAATGGAGACCATCCAGGAGGGCGAGATCCATTCTTGCAGGGCCTGGGGAAGAATGATTGTCAGCAGAATCAATTAGGGCTGTTTATTCTCTTCTGCCTCTAGGGAAGAATAGAAAGGGTACGGAGTAAGTGGTCAGTGGTCAGTGGTCAGTGGTCAGTGACGGGCGGGCGAGCGGGAAAGCGCTTTGCCCAGCCACTTCCTCGCCTGCATTTATCCGTCCGTCACACAATAGTGCGGCAGTGGCTTCGGGAGACTGCGGGATGACGGCCTCCTTCCTCATTCCCTTTTCAACCCTTTATCCCCCCCGTCCATCTGTGGTACTCTCTCTGTTTTTGTCTTCCGGGAGACTAGGTACCTAACTGGATTTACTGTTTCTTGGTATCACGGTTAGTCTAACCTGGCTATTTCACTCATTATCGCCCCTGAAAGCGCCACCGCCATCGTGTCTAAACCTTGATACTACACACTCTCGGGGCGCTTGCCTTGGCCATGGCACCGCCAAGGTCGTACCAAGCGATGCTCCACCGCTCCCAATCAATAACTAGAGTTTTCATGGCCCAAGATCTGATACGACCGGCAATCAAAAGGAATCGAACCAGGTATGTCATAAACAATAGGTATGTTGACTATCTAAACAATCGTGATATCCAAGACAATACAAAGAAATACATTAACAATCATTCGCAGGTCATTGTAGCCCGCCAGGCTGAAATGATAAGGAGCAAAATCGATATCCAAAAGTAAGGCTTTAGACCTTGGTCGCCGTGTCTTCCACCTGGTGCACCTCGGACTTGGTGAAGCCGGACTCCTCCAGGTCGCGGCGGAACCGCTCTTCGTCCTCGCGCATCTGCTCCAGAACGACGCCGTGCGCCTTCCACACAGGCTGGATCTCGAACAGGGGATCCATGTTCTCCAACGGAACACCCTTCGTCTCGGGGATCAGGAAGAACACAAAGATGAACGAAAGAATCATCAAGGACGCGAAGAAGAAGTACACGCCATACTCCATCTTCTCAAACATCTGCGGGGTGAACCGCGAGATGAGGAAGTTCCAGAGCCAGTTGGATCCGGCGGCACAGGCTTGAGCCAGCGAACGCACATTGGGGTCAAACATTTCCTAAATTGGCCGGTTAGCAATGGTTCAGTCGGCAGTGGAGCAGCAGGGGGAGCTTACCGAGTTGATCACCCAGGGAGTACCGTTCCAGGTGGGGGTGTAGAACGCCGTCCACAGGTAGAAGAAGAAGATGGCAGCGATGCCGCCGCCGTTCAGCGACTGGGTGTTGTTGTTCACGGGATCCGCGATCTTGATGTACGCGCCAATGATCCACATACACACGGAACCGCCAATGGCACCGATCAGCAGGAGGTTGCGTCTTCCCACACGGTCGATCAGCCAGAGGAGCCAGACGAAAGTCACTACGGTCTTGACCACCCCGAAAATGCCCGTGGTCAGCAGACTCGAGTTGGTGCCCTTCAGGCCGATCGATTTGAACACGGTAGGGGAGTAGTAGTTGATGGCGTTGATGCCCGAGCCGTTCTGCCAGAAGAAGAGCATGCTGCCGAGGAACAGCCGGTACAGGATCTTCTTGTTGGTCCAGACGGCCTTGAAGGGCTTCCAGAAGCCCAGTCCGATCGTGTTCCGCTGGGCTTCAATGGACTGGTCGATGGCACCAATCTCTTCCATCATGTAGATGTGGTCCTCGGGGATCTGGCGGATCCAGCAGAGGTTCTTGATGGCCTCCTCGCGCCTCCCGCGGAGGAACAGCCAGCGCGGAGACTCCCGAACGAAGACGATACCGATGAGGAGCAGACCCGCAGGAATCAGCTGCACGGCAAAGGGGATGATCCATTGCTTGTGGCTGGGAGCCAGCGTCTCACTGACACCATACTGTTTCCGCATGATTAGCCCGAGTCCAGTAAGAATAGACGTAGATAAGACTCACGTTGATCCAGAAGCCAACCAGGCCACCGATTTGCCACCCCAGCTCATAGACACCAACCAACCGGCCGCGGATGGCAGGCGGGGCCAGTTCGGAGATGTAGATGGGCGTGATGTTAGACCCCGCGCCTACGCCAATTCCAGCCAGGACACGGCCAGCGTAGAGAAGGCCCAGACCCCGGTCGCCGTTGACACCCAGCATCAAGCCCGCCCCCAGAATGAAGACCAGCGCAGAAGCGAGCAGGCCCCACTTCCTACCCCAGAAATGCCCGATCGGGTACGCAAAAAATGCTCCGAAGAAGGCCCCGGCTTGGTAGCAGGAGACGATGTTGGCACTGACCAGATTCTGGGTGGCTGTGGACATAGAAGCCCAGTCGAACTCGTCCTTGAAGGACTGCAGCGACAGCGTTGTCCCAATGAAGGCACTATCGTATCCGATCATGCATGATGTGAACGAGGCGACCGCCGCCAGGAGATAGATTCTCCAGTTGTAGACCTCCTTAGGCGTCGGCCTGTCCTCGACCATTGAAAGAATTCCCATGATGGATGATGATCACCCCTGGGGCTAGACACTTGTTTATACCTGTGCCTTGTTGAGGGAGGAGTAAAGACGAAGAAGGCTAGGGGGAGGAGGAAACAGAGACTGTGAGCGAGAAGAAGGGATAGAAGGTAACGAGCTAGGCGAGAAGTGTTTTGAGGGTCTTGGTGATCGGAGAGAGATGTTGGTGATGGTGAGAAGGAAACAAATCCTGCTCCTCGAGGAAGTGGGCTTATATAGCTCAGACTACCTTCCCCAGTCTAAGCAAAATCCGGGGTGCGGAGGGAGGCAAAACTCAGGCAAATCAAAACCCCAGATATCCAAGGACTACACCAGAGAAAGTATCGTGGGAAAACGATGGAGCGGGAAAACGATCCACGCGCAGAGTAAACACGCCCAGCGAATTTGCAGCCAGCAGCCAGCAGAGAGCAACCAAAGGCAAGCCAAGGGAATGGGAAGGAGAAGCGCAAAGTCTGTCACCACGTGTGCCGGCGCAACGATTGGACCTAGACCAGCTTGGCCCTCGAGAGACCGTAGACCGTGACTAACTCGCACCACGGGCAGGAAAAAGCATGTCATGTGCGGCCGGACTGCGCCTATTGGGGCCAGAGGGTGCGCTTCCCCATGGGATCTGAGGCCGATGTTCGGCCTGGCGTCTCCACTCGGGAGGAACAGAAAACTTAAGAAAGCAGATTAGGCGAGGGCGAGTGTGTCAGTTTGTTGGGGGGGGGGGGTGGGAAGGGAATGTTGCCCGTCGCCCGTCGCCCACAGAAACCGACGGGCTCAACCCGTGGGAAACTGAGATGCAAGCCCCAAGGCTTCGCATTCAGCGGACTCTGGGCCAAACCCTAAGCAGGAGGTGATACGAAGATCGCACATTAAGCGGGCCAATGAAGAGAGGACGATAGCGACAGTGGCTGGGGAAAGTGCTTCGCCGGAGAAGGTCTCCCCGTGGGGAAGAAGGAACAAGAATAGAGACTAAGCCAGAGACTAAGCCAGAGACTAAAGCCGCGCCGTCGGAGTCTCGGGGATTTCGCGAGTGGCGGGAAAAGGGTTCTGCCCGTTGGCGGCGTGAGTTCATGCCGCTGCAGCAGTCGGCTTTTGTCGCCCAGTATGTCAGTGGATCCATGCCACCCAGCATAATCCACTCACCATCAACCTATTTTCCATGTTCCAGGAACCGAGTGAGGGGCAACGGAAGAGAGATTGGGAGCACAGGCTAGTTGCAGCACTTGGTCGTAGACTGGAGGTGGAGGAGGAGGAGGAGGAGCAGGCAGAGGAAGAATGGAGAAAAAGGAAGAGCCGGGAGAGTGGAGGTAAAAGTCAAAGCCGAAAGATCTCTCCCGCAACAAGAAAAAAAGTCTCATGGCAGCCTTGACACCTGAGGGCCCCCCCCCTTCCCTCGTCATTGGCCTTAAATCTTTCCCCTTCTCTCCTTCTCTACTCTTCCAATCCTCTCCCTTTTCCTCTTCTTTCTCGATACAAGAAACGCAATTGCAGGCAATTCACTTCTTTTTTGTCCTCTCTCCCCACTCCCAAAGACACGCACCACCATGACCTCCACGAACCCCCAACCCGAAGAACCCATCACCATCCCCGCGGACCGGGATGGAGTCGCCTACCTGTACGGTCACCCGCTGCTGAACTCGCTGTCGCCTCCCCTGCACAAGACCGTCTACGAGAAGCTGGGGCTGAACTGGATTCAGATCCCGCTGTCGAGCGTGACGGGGAGCTCGGAGACGTACCCGCCGCCGTACACGCGGTCGCCGCCGATCGACAAGTTCCTGGCGTCGATCCGGGCGAACCCCAAGTTCGTGGGGTCGTCGGTGACGATGCCGTGGAAGGTGGGGATCATGCCGCACCTGGACGAGCTGACGGAGGACGCGCGGCAAGCCGGGGCGTGTAACACGATCTTTGTGCAGACCGACGAGAAGACCGGGGAGCGGCGGTACGTGGGCACCAACACCGACTGCAACGGGATCCGGGAGGCGCTGGTGCAGAACTCGCCGGACCCGGCGCGCTTCCGCGGCAAGCCCGCGCTGGTCGTCGGCGGCGGCGGCACCGCCCGCACCGCCGTCTACGTCTTCCGCAAGTGGCTCGGCGCCAGCCAGATCTACATCGTCAACCGCGACGCCGCCGAGGTCGCCGCCATCCTGGAGGAGGACCGCCAGCGCAATGCAGGCCTCTCCGGTCTCGCCCCGATCATCCCCGTCACCGACCCCGCCGCCGCCGCCGCCCTCGAGACCCCCGCCGCCATCGTCTCCGGCATCCCCAACTACCCGCCCAAGAGCCCCGAGGAGGTCAACGCCCGCCAGGTGCTGCAGGCCCTGCTCGGCCGCAAGGACGACGCCAAGCCCAAGGGCGTCATCCTGGAGATGTGCTACCACCCCGTCCCCTGGACCGAGATCGCCGAGCTCGCCGACGCCGCCGGCTGGAAGGTCATCCAGGGCTCCGAGGCCCTGATCTGGCAGGGGCTGGAGCAGGCGCGTCTCTGGACCGGGCGCGATATCATCGGCACCCCTGGGGTGGTCGATGCGGTCAAGGAAATGGTTGCCAAGACGATCGCCGAGCGGACGCAGCCCAAGTCTGCTTAGTTTTTGCGGTAAATTTGGATGACACCACCTTCATGGTTTTATGATTTCTTGTACAGAATTCTAGCATACCCGGAGCATTTGCTTGTTGTTTGAAAGAATATACAAAAAAGGAATAGATGAATTGTATATATTTGCCTCTTGACATGATTCATGCCCCAGCTTATAAGTCTAGTAGACGACGGTATATTCGCCGTATATTTGCACTGTATGTTTCTGGAAGGTATCTATCTATCTGTATTGCGGAGTGACTTAAGCCCCCGGGCGGGAGAAGTCCAACTGCCGCACGCGCTTCCATACTTCGCGCACCGTGCGCTCTTGCGATTGACGTCCAGTCTCGGTCTCGGACGGACCCGCGGGTCTGTACGGGTTAGTCACCGGCATTGCACTGGGAGGCTCCAACAACCACATACCTAATACCAAGATACAACCGACTTCCCAACTTGTACTCCTCAATCGGATCTGTCTCCGGATTCTCAGGGGGGTTGGCCGTCGTGACCAACCCACCGGCCTCCAGCAGAATGGCAATGCCCGCAGCGACATCCCTAGTGTTACTTGGTCAGTGCCCGTCACGAGGAATATCTGTGATCGACGCGAATTAGCAAAGCACCCAACTCACCACTCCCAGCAACCCCCCTCCCACCAGATATCAAACGAGCCCATGGCCGTGTAAGCGAGATCCAGGGTGGCGCTGCCCAGACTGCGCACGCCGTGCACCATGCCGCCCTTGCCGCCGCGGCTGCCCGTCTCGGCGGCCAGGTTCAGGAAGCTCTCGATCTTGCGGTACATGTTGCCGTCGGGGATGTCGCGGCGGTCCTTGCCCCACTCGCAGGAGAGGATGCACTTGCCCGGGGCGTTGGCGGGCATCGGCGGGATGGACGGCTTGTGGATGAGCGGGAGGCGGCGCTTCTCGTTCAGCCAGGCGCCGCGGTTGACGCACGAGGAGAACAGCTGGTCCTGGAAGGGGGCGTAGATGACGCCGATGACCGGGCGGTGGTTGACGATGAAGCCGATCGAGACGCAGAACATGGGGAAGATGTGCGTGAAGTTGACGGTTCCTGCGACGGTTAGTCTTCTAGAGTTGACAGGTAGAGATGGGGCGCATACCGTCAAGCGGGTCGATACACCATGTCGGCTGCTCGTCGATCAGATACTCGCGGGATTGGCCCTTGGCGTATGATTCTTCGCCGAGGAATCTGCAATTCGTCGGTCAGTCGTTGGGTCCTGGCAGGACTGCATGGGAGATGAGAACGCACTTGTGTGAGGGGTATCGGTCTTGGATCGAGCTCTTGATGAATGCTTCGACATCTGGAATGCAGTGAGCTTGGTGCGCGGCGCTTTGTTTGGGAAGCTGAAAAGAAAGGGGGGTCTGGGGGTTCTCCCCCAGAACGCCCATCCCGCCCAAGTCTCCCAGAATAACAGCATCCTGGGGGAGAACCCCCAGACCCCCCTTTTCTTTCAGCTTCCTGGAGACGGCGTGTTTTGGTGCGTGTTGTATAGGTAGAGAGGGGTCCCGCACCTTCGTCCGTCTGAGTCACAATGTCCACCGCGCTGTCTTTCTCCTCGATCGCCTGGCTCCCCCCATCGAGTCGCTTCTCGACGCTCTCGAGCAGCAGCTGGCCGGCCTTGCGCCCGAGATCCACCGCGAATGCGTAGATCTCGTCCAGCTGCTCCTGGCTGAACTCGGGGGCGGCCATTATCACTTGGTGTTATGCGGGGTAGGTTGAGGTCCGTCACTGGTGGGTCGTGTCTGTGATGTGCACAGTTCGGTGCACAATTCGACAGAAATAGTGTCTAGTCTATTATCTCAGGAGTATATGCAGGGTATGAGACAGAACAAGACAAGAGGATAGAGGCGAGCACGGGGTTGCGATGAAGAGTGAGCAAGCTCGGAGCGGCGATAGTGAGGTTTCCCGCTTCTTTCACCGCTGATAACCGACTTATCAGTGGGTCCTGCTCCCTCACGTGGGTCATCCGACTGTTGAGGCAACTATCGATGCATTGCCACTGGTCGAGTAGTCAGTTGAGAAGTAGTTGCAATTGATCTTTATTGGGTTTGTCCTCATAGATCTAACAGCTCCTGTTGCACTGCCCAGCAAAACTCAACAATCTTGTGTAATTCCTCACTCACTGTCCATCATGCTATCGAACGCCAAGCAAGTTTATTTTCCCTGCTGCTATTCTTGGGTCGCACCGCTGACACAGATGAGTGATCTCGAGGAATCGCATTCCCGGTTTACCATGAGCTTTATTTGCACTTGTGTAGCGAAGCTGGTGTTGCTCCATGATATCAGAGAATCTCTTCTGCCACGCTGTCTGTCTCATCCTCACCAACCCTGGAGAGCAATGACACCAATTGACAGCTGTGCAATGGAACCCTGGTAAATCCGGGATCATCCTACAAACGCCATTCAGTCTATCTTCTTGACCCTTGAGGCATACAACAGCGTGGACAATTAAAGCACGTGCAAATGCTCCAGCTCCTGCCCATCGCCCTGCCCCAATCCTCGCCACTGGAGCTCAATTGCTCAAATCAAGGCAAACGAATATGGGGAAGGGGACCGATCGTCCCATGACTCGATTCCACCCTTCCCAAGCTCTGTCCAAGAGAATTACTAATGCGACAATTTATGAGTGACTCAACTCCTCCTCCAGTCAAAAGTGGAGCCGGCAGTTTCACGAGATCTGGTCTAGCGATAGTAGGTAGGGCCAGGGCCCCCAATCCAGCCCCGTCCCAGTCCCCAAACTCCAACACAGCATGTACGCATGCAAGCACCTTGCGAACGTGTCTGGCAGGAGCTACTTCCAGAAAGCAGAGCATGATATAGAACCGTGGAGCCAAGATTACATAGACCACTCCAATTCCTTTGAAGGGGAAGAGCGTCCAACAGAACCACAGATGGCCGAACCTCGTAGCGAACACGCGAACACTCAGCCCAACACCCCCCTTACCCCCACAAACCAACCACTGACAGATTCAGTGGACTTCAGCCAGCAAAGTCACCTGCTACTGCTCCTGCTCCATCCACCGTCCGTACCTCAGCTCAAGTCCAGCGGTATCGTTACAAGGAAGTGTAAGTGTAAGCGTAGCGTAAGTGTAAGGTGAGGGCCGGCTCGGCAGGCTCGGCACCCCCCGCACATTCTTACAAACAATACTTAAGTTACCCGGCAAAGCGCTTTCCCTCCCGAGTCCCGCTCGGGGAAGCCTTTTACCTCTCAGCCTCGGCTCGTGGCGCACCTACTTGTGCTGTACATCCTGTCCGCTTGCATTCCTGGCACTGCTGTGCATATCCCACAAAGACGAAATCACAATTCCAAACAGCTCATCCGACCGAACCCCAGGAGCTGAATAATGCATGCATCCTGGCGTGCGTTGCACCCAGGGATGCTGTAGCATATACATAACTTCCGGAGGGAGCCGAGGGACCAACACTTCTCCGCAGCCTGCACTGGGGGCGCATTCTCTGGATTCAGTGTCCAGATAGATAGAAGGACAGAGAAGCAATGCGATCCAAGTACAGTCAACCAGAGTAAATCCAGCCCTGCACCTTACAGAGCAGACTATCATCAGCCCTGCTGCAATCGTACCAGACACTACAAGCACGAGACTTTTCAGAAGTGGAAGAAGAATCGGCAAAGACCAGGATAAGGAATAAGCCTTTTGCCTCAGCAGAAGTGGTTATGTTATAACCCCGCATTTCCTCCCGGTTTTCCATTGCCCTTGCCCGTGCCCGCAACCGCAACCGCATCCTCGCTCCCAGTTTACCTGCTAGCATCAAGTTCTTAGGCAGACATCTACCTACCTACCTACCTACCTACCTACCTACCTACCTACCTACCTACCTACCTCGTCCTCAACCTACCATACCAAACCAAAACCATACCTTTCTCCTCACAACCCCTCCCACAAAAATGACCACCCCCGCCCCCAAGAAAATCCTCCTCCTCAACGGCCCCAACCTCAACCTCCTGGGCACCCGCGAACCGCACATCTACGGCAGCACGACCCTACCGCAAGTGGAAGCCCGGTGCGCGGAGCGCGCCACCGCGCTGGGCGCCACGCTGCAGTCCTTCCAGTCGAACCACGAGGGCGCGCTGGTGGACCGGATCCAGCAGGCGCGCACGGAGCAGGTGGACGCGATCATCATCAACCCGGGGGCGTACACGCACACGAGCGTGGCGATCCGCGACGCGCTGCTGGGGGTGGCGATCCCGTTCATCGAGCTGCACGTCAGCAACGTGCACGCGCGGGAGGCCTGGCGCCACCACAGCTACTTCTCCGACAAGGCGAGTGGGATCATCGTCGGGTTGGGGGTGGATGGGTATACCATTGCGGTGGAGCACGTCATTCGAAAGTTTGCGAAGTTGGAGTATAACTAGCTTTTTTTTTATTCTGTGCTGGTTATGGGAAATGTTTGGGGAAAACGGAAAACGGAAAAAGGAATACTGTGGAAGGAATGGTATATAGCTGGTTTATGTATATGACCTGGTTTATATGTATGTATATTTACATGGCTGCCGCTTGGCAGCGTTTGCTCCACAGATTGAGCATCTCATAAACCCGTCTGCGTCTCATCCTCGTCGTCTTGTAGCCTCCAAGACCGGCACCCGGGCACCCGCATCATCGCTTCGCAGGCTCAACCAGAGACTCCCGTCGTATGACCCCCGGCTCCGGACACGGCACTTGCTGCTGCGTCTGAGCCAGGAGAAACGGCTCCACCTGCGTCGAATACGAGTATATCTCCGGAACTCCTGCGTCCGGGACAAACCCTAGGTTTTGCATGAACTCGGGCTGGTTATCGGTTCTGTAGCTCAATTAGTATCACCGACAGGAAGCAACATACAATGCCAACTTACTTCTCGGTCCCGTCCAGCGACGCTAACTCATCGAACAATGCATCCAGGTCAGGCGCAATCTTGGGTCGTCGCGGCCCGTATCCGTCGATATCCACGAAAGAGCCGAAGGCAAGATTTGGGTCGCTGTATTGTTGCTGGTACTGAGGGCCGCTGGGGTGGAATGACGAGGTCAGGTCGGGTATCATGGGTGTGCTATTCATAGGCTTGGAAGAGGAGATGGAGGGGCGCGGGTTGTGTGTCATAGATTCTTTGAGTTGAGATGGGGGCAGTGGCGGCTCGGTGCCCTGGGGGGCGATATTCAGCGACGGCGCTGGTGTGGGTATCGATAGAGCAACATTCTCTTCAAGGTTGGGCGTTCTCATCCAGGTATGAGAGAAAAAGGCGTCTGGGGTGGCGAAGTTGGACCGAGGTTCATCCATGGAGCTTACTCGGCGGGCAGCTTCTGTGGGCGTTTGTAGGGTGGATGGTGGGAAAGCATTGTGGGAGACCGACTCTCTGTTCGATGCACTCCTTGGTCGGCTCGCGACGGGATCAACAGGGGTAGGCACGTCAAGCGCTCGTTCAAGCGGTACAGTCCCTCCCGACTCTCTTCCTTTCACATTCCAGACCGTAGCAAGATGCGCAGAATACGTCTGGAGTTTATGTTTCAAGCCCGGATCGAGTTCAAAAGGAGGCGATGCGTTGGAGCTCTCTGATGCCGGGAATGCGGCAAATGTCAGGATCATGCCGAAGGTAGGGCACGTAGCCGACAAGCTGTAGGTCTCCATGTATGTCTGGAGCAGCGACAACAGCCGCTTGGAGCTTTCCACAGCTCGCTTCTTCATCGGCAGGTCAGGGACCATGCGGTCGTCTCGCTGAGATGCGATCTGCAGACTGAGGTTGGTAGCGACGCTCTCGTATACCATCTCGAGCGCGAAAATATGCGGCGAAGCAATCTTCGACTGGTTCGGCGCAGTCCCAACACGATACGTCTTCGGCAGGGCAGACACCCAGAGCTGTAGCTGGCGCTCCAACGCCTCCAGATGCGATATCGGACCTGCCGATGTCTGCTTCAGGCAGCACAAATCATTCAGGATGCACATCAGCGAAGTGAGGCGATTGAATGCACTCAAGGCATGAAGGGGGCCGCGATGAAACGAGGCCCGCGACGATTCCACCGGGCGCAGACCGGTCTGGTCTTCCCACGGATGCCATTCTTCCAGCCCGTCCTCGTTGACCGGCCCAATCCTCAAGAGTTCGTCTTTGCGCAGCGACGGCACCTGGCCTGTCTGCATAGCAACGAGCGTCTCCAGGATGAAACAGCCAAGGAACACATGCTTGGATCGTGCAGTACTTTTCCCATCTTCAGTGGTCTTGGGCTGCCCGGTAGCTGGCTGGTTCAAGCCAAGAGCCTGCGAAACCCGCACGGCCTGTCCCACCAGCAACCACGCAGCTGTCCAGTCCTGCTGCCCAATCTTGACCAGGGACAAAATCAGGAGAGCCTGGACATGTCCTAGCTCGTGGACCCCATCTGCGCCCGGGATGAGACCTTTTGCCGTCGCATACAGGTGGCTTGGGTCGGGTCGTTCAGCAGAGAACTCTGTCAGCTGACGGGTGGCGGATATCGATGCTTCTTGGATAGAGGCGAGAGTTAACACCGCCCATAAAGCGGCATGGTCTCCTGAGCCTGGAGCGGTAGGTGAAACATAAACATCGTCATCGTCATTGTGTCGAAAAGCCGTTCGAAGGATATCGTGTTTCTCAAGAATCGGAAACCAACAGTGTGTATAGGTGAAGTAGATGTCGAAAAGAGGCCATGCATTTGAGGGCAGCTGGGGGGGTTTCGGCATGGCAGGGTCGGAGTTGGAGGGTAGGTGGGAGGGCAAACGGGCAAGAGAGGGATTGGACAGCTCGTCGATGGTATCTGCTGAAAAGGTGGTCTGCGTGGAAGTGTCTCGGGTGACACGGATGGCGGCGCTCCTCGCGATGGCTGATGCCGCTGTCGGGGTCTTGATCGGAGAGACCACGGTCAGAGAGCCTTCGCGCGCTTCTGGCAAGACGTCCGAGAGATGCCATTCGAGCGCATCGGATGAGATGACGCTGCTACCTTCGGCATCCTGCGGCGAGTACGTCTCCCCGGGGAGTCGGACCCCGCCCGGGTCATCTTCTGGTTGCTCCAAATAGGTCAAGAGCCGCTCGATCTCCTTGAGGACAATACTGTTTTTCCAGGAGGAGAGCAGTGTGTCGGACCCTTCGGCCTCCTTGCCCATGGTCGCGAGGTGGCTGGGGATATTCGCGGCCCTTAACAGGGCGCGCACCACCTCCTCACTCCCCTGGATTTTGTTGAAGACAAGCCCCCATAGCAGCTCGAGGGTGCGGATGTAACCGGTCGGGAGGCCGCGTTTCTTGGGATTAGCCTTGTAGGTACATGGGCGCGAGAGCGAGGCACAGGTCGAACAAACGGGTTGCACCCCGTCACATTTGTCCTTCTTGGAGCGACAGCTGTCGCAGGCGCGTGAAACCCGTTGGCGTTTGGGATTGGAGGCGAGATCGTCTGCGGCCGGGGTCTGCTTGCCCTCCTCGTCGGCCTCAGTTAGACGTCGTTTGGACTTACTGGCGCCCCCGGAGGCTTGGCGCGTGTCGTTGTTCATGATCGTCTATCCCACGGTCCACTAGGTTGTTCCGGACGCATGTTCATCTTCAGGATGTGTCGCAGCCGGGAAGAGATGAATGCTTTGCCGGTGGCTGTTTATGCCATATATTTTGGTGCTGTCTGACTCGGCCCCACTATGGATGCGATAGTCGACTAGGAGGACTGAACACCTTTTTAGTTGGTCTGACTAGGAGTAGAAGTAATAAGCCACCAACAGGAGCGAGACTAATATCGGAGCAATCGGCGACAAGTGACAGGGGGGTGGTGGTAGTGGTAGTGGCAGTGGTAGTGGTAGTGGTAGTGGTAGTGGGATAGTGGGATAGTGGGATGGTGGGATTTGGTTAGTGTGTGGGTGAAGTGTGGGTGTGGGAAAGTGGAAGAAGGAGAGGGAGGGGTAAAGGAAGAGAAGGAGGAAGAAAGGTAGGCTAGGTTGTTAGGAGTGTGTTCAGTTCACAATTCAATTCAATTCAGCAGTGTTGGGAAGAGCGCGAGAGGTCGTAAAGGCGGAGAAAAGAAAATGGAGAGGATATGACGGGCTGGAGTGAAAAGTTGGGGAAAAGACCGAGCCTAAACCGGAATGGAACTTGGAACTGCTTACCCGCGACGGACTGGTTATTACTGGGTTAGTTACTGACTATGTGTACGGAGTATTTACTGTTAGTACTTAGTTACATATGTTGCGTAGTTAGTTAGTTAATTAGTTTAGTCATTAAGTCAACTAAATAATACAGATCCATGGAAAGAAGAGAGAAAGTGTGGGAGACTTAGTTGGAGAGAGGAGAGGAGAGGAGAGAGAAAGACTCCCCCATTCCCCGGTCCTCTCAGAGAGAGCCGATTGGAAAAGGCTAAGAGTTCCCGGTAAACAGGATCGAGTAAGGTGCACTACGCTTTGGGTCAACCCTCTCGCTTGGGTGGCGGACACCCCCCCAGCATTTCATTATTCACCTATTATTTTTACTCGATCAAAATCAATCACTCAATTACCTACTTAGTTACTGTCTGCGTCTGTTAGACATTGGCTACAAATGAAATTACCTCTATCCTTATATACAGTACTCATACTCAATACTGAATGGTTGAGGCTGTCGATCGACATGTGTTCAACCTCCCCCATGCTTTGACCCCGAAGCTAAAACTGAGGCACAGCCTCCTCCATCCGATTTTTCATTTCATCCCCCGCGGGGTAAGGGAGAACCTGGGTCACTGGGTGAGAAAAGAGAAAAAGAAAAAAAAAATAGAAAAAAAAAGAACATACAAGTTACCTGGGCCACTCAACCTTGCGTCTCGGAAAACGGAATCCCTCCGGACTGGAGACAGACTGGTATTGTTACAGTCACCTTACGTCTCCCGGCAGAGCCTTTCTCCGCACTTGCCGGCTTCCATCTTTGATCCGGCACTATCCTAGTGCGTACTGCACTCGTAGCATGTCCATTCATAGTATGTACTGGACTCTCTGCACAAGGGATACACCACAACTTGCACACAAGCTTGTCCTGATGGACTAGAAAAAAAATGTGAAAAGAAGTTATTGAGCGAACCGCGCGAGACATCGTATAAAGCTTTCTTCATTATCTAATAAGTAGTCGTGCGACCAACTAAAAATAGTTGCTTACAAAGAAAGGGCTGTCCAGGAACACCACCATCACTCCGCCACAACCGACAAACGTACTCTATAGTACACCTGCTACATCCCAAACACTGCCACTATCGCCTGCTTTATCAGTCGGCCTTTTCGAAGTTTCCACATGTCAACCGGGTGTTATCGGCCGCATGCACCACCACGGACAAGTTGCCGAAGAATGCGGGAGTATCCTCAACGTTGGACAGGAACCAGTCGGTATACGCGACCGCGACGGACTCGCCAGGGGCCGCCCAGATGGGGCCATGCTTTCCACCGAGGTCGCCGACCTCGCAGGTCTGAGGCGCCTTGATGTCGCAGGGAGGTGTATCGGTGCGGCCATATGGGTCCAGGTGGCTGCTGGTGCTGTAGCAGTTGCCGTCCTCGGGCACCGGCTTCTTGTGGATATGGTATACTAAATGGGAAATGACAGTCAGCACATCACGGGTGAACAAGCCAAGAGGACTCGCAAGTGCGATACATACATAGGGGCTGTTGGTCCGTGGGAATTCCCCAGAATTTAGCATGGATAGTTATGCCGACATTATCGGGTCCCGGAGACGCCTTGAGATGGCCCTGGACGGTGGTATTGTCCTTCTTCAGGAGCTGGACCTGCCAGACGGAGTCGTCGTTGTCCCATACAATGGGCGCATTGGTGTCTGCCGCGGATGCTTGGAGCCAAAGAAGGCCAAGCGAGGCCAAGGAAAGAGTCTTGAACCACATGGTCGGGAAGATTTTCAGATAAAGATGGGAGGGAGGCGGAGTCAATCGGAGGTCGTGAAGCGGATCGTTGTGCGAGGGTGGTGGTCTTTATGTTTGGCTTTCGCGATGGTTATTGACGAGAACGAAGCAAGGAGGTCCTTGACTGTGTACGGCGCAGAGTAATGGCGGATTGGAGGGCAAGTGCGACCTTAGCAACGGCGGGTTTTATATCAGTCCTGAGAGAGTTCAAGCCAAGCCTGCCAGTCCGTCAGGCACAGAGAGCGATTCAGCGACATCCAGTTGGATTTCTGAGCTAATCAGCACCGCCCATTCCAAACTGGCCTCTCTCATCGAACCATCTTGCCCTGAGAGGAGAGGGTTGTGTTGTGCTGTTGGCCGGTTGCGGTAAAATGCAGACTGTCACCATCCCTTGTTACACCAGGGACCGGGATGGTCAAATCAGTGTCACTGTCACCGTGGCTTTGAGGCTTCCTGGTTCGTATTTCGTCTAAGTGACAACAGCCAACATGGCTCAGCGAAGAACGATGATGTCTGGACCACGTAGCCAGGGAGGGCCGGTTCCTGAAAATTTCTTTTCACCTTCTGCAGCTCTGGTGATATCATCATCCCCCGCATTCAGAAATAGTAACCCGAACGATCCAAACCATGCTTGCTATACGAGATTCGACTTATCACATAGACAAGAAAAGGAATGAATGGGATTAATCATGGATGAATCAGTTGTTGGACGGATTGTTGGATCGGTCATGGTAGATTGTGAGGTGTTGTGGACGAGTCGATGAGTGGTCGGACCAGAATAGCAATCACGAGCAATGCCCGGTCAGGATCTCGTGACGAAGAGGAACAAGCTCCCTTTCCAACCCACCAACTCACCAACTCACTCCGCCGCGCTGCATCTCCTCTGCCTTTGTTATGCATCTCGTCTCGCTCGGATCATTTGCAGATCGGGTCTTCTTCCGAGTCTCTCTCGGGCAGAGAGACCCCGAGCAACATCTAGTGCTCATCAGACAGCAAATGGAAGGAAAGGTTGACTCGAACTGCCATACTTCCCCGCACTGTCTAGACTCCACCTTCTCCTCCACCTCCTCCACCTCCTCCACTCTTCCACTCTTCCACTCTTCCACTCCTCCGCGCCAATTGATGCCTCATATCACTATCGCGGACTTCGTTGCGATCAACACCTCGCAGCTCGGAGAATGTCCTACGGCTCTGGATCTATCCATCCTTCGAAGGAGAGCTGTGCATAACCTGTAATGCACAATGAAGAATGCCTCTATTTATTCGAGGCATCGGCCAGGCTCTGGCCGCCCGGTCCCAGAAGGATGACTTCAACAAGCACATCGGTGACCTCGTTTTCCCTGACTCTTGCTGATCTTGTTCCCATTCCAAAATGTCTCTTCCTGAGACCCAATACATAATTCAGCTTCCCAAGACGCCCTCCATCATCGGCGCGCTGGATCCTCGAGGCATCGTCCAGCGATGGCTCACAAACCTCGACGCGCTCCTCACCACAGGCACTTTCCACCAACTTCCAGCTCTTGTCCATGAAGAATCTTGGTGGAGGGACTTATCGGCAGTGAGTTGGGATCTGCGCACGATCCAGAATCGCCATCGGATCCAGGATTTCCTGTCTCATAATCAGTCCCATGCTGGCCTGTCTGCATTCCGTGTCCAACACGAGGGCAGGTTTCAGCCAAAGCTGGAATCCCCGACGGAAGGCCTAAGATGGATCACATCCATGTTCCTCTTTGAGACCCGCGTGGGCCACGGAACGGGGGTGATCCGACTGACACAGAATGAGACTGGCGAATGGAAGGCATACTCGGTGTGTACGACGCTGCAGGGTCTCAAATCCTTCGAAGAACCATTGGGTCTACGCAGAGCACAAGGTACCATTGAGACCATGCCTGGTGGTCTCAGTCAGGGAAACTGGCTTGAACGCCGTCAAAGGACGATCAAGTTTGAGAACGAGGAGCCGACAGCTTTGGTCATTGGAGCAGGTGAGTTGATAGTCTCATGCACCGTGATAACGTCGCTAACAGCAGAGCAGGGCAGTCCGGTCTCAACATTGCTGCTCGACTGCAGTCCTTGGGTATCTCTCATCTTATCGTCGACCGGCATGAACGGATAGGCGACAACTGGCGCAAGCGATACCGGGTGAGCGATCATACGACCCCAATCTGGTGTCCAATCTAACATCTGCAGACTCTTGTCACTCACGATCCCGTTGAATACACGCACATGGCCTACCTGCCCTTTCCCAAGAACTGGCCGCAGTACACCCCGAAGGACAAGCTCGCCGACTGGTTCGAAGCATACGCAAGCATCATGGAGCTCAACGTATGGCTTCAAACCTCCATCAAGTCCGCCACCTACGACGATGCCAGGCAACAATGGACCGTAGTCGTCGCCCGTGGCGGTGGAGAGGAACGCACTCTTCATCCGCGCCACCTGATCTGGTGCACGGGTCACTCAGGAGAGCCATTGGTTCCGACCTTCCCCGGCCAGGAGCACTTCAAGGGCACCGTCTACCACGCGAGCCAGCACGACGACGCATCTTCACACAACGTCAAGGGCAAGAAGGTCGTCGTGGTCGGCACCGGCAACAGTGGCCACGACATTGCTCAGAATTACTACGAAAACGGAGCCGAGGTGACCATGCTGCAACGCAGAGGCACCTACGTGATCACTGCCGAGAAAGGTGTACTAATGATGCACGAAGGCCTCCACGATGAGAATGGGTAACTCCTTCCACCCCACTTTCCTCCCCAGATCCAACAAGAACAGACCCTCATTCGCATCCCTCTACAACCCTCAAAAAGCCACCCCTGTCTTAACCCTCCTCTAACCCCCCGAAAACAGCCCCCCAACCGAAGAAGCCGACCTCATCGCCGAATCCCTCCCCTACCCCGTCCGCTTCGCCCTAGACGTCCACTTCACGAAACGCGTCCAAGCCGCCGAGCACGACCTCCTCACGGGCCTCCAACAAGCCGGCTTCGCCCTGGACTCCGGCCCGGACGGCGCCGGCATCTCGCGCGCCTACATGACCCGCGGCGGCGGGTACTACATCGACGTCGGCTGCAGCCCCCTCATCGCCGCCGGCAAGATCGCCGTCCAGCGCAGTCCCGAGGGCATCTCTCACTTCACTGAAAGGGGAATCACGCTCCGCGACAACAAAAACACGACTCTCGACGCGAACATCGTGGTGCTCGCCACGGGGTACGACAACATGCGCACCACGGTCCGAAAGGTGCTGGGCGATGGGGTCGCGGATCGTCTGCGTGATGTGTGGGATCTGGATGATGAGGGGGAGGTTAATGCTGTACGTTCTTCCCCAAGATCTTTCCTGCTTTGGTGGTGGTGGGAACTTAGTACAGAAACCCTGCTGGTATGGCGTTGACTAACACCACGGGCTTGAATGACAGATGTGGCGCCCCAGCGGTCACCCCGGGTTCTGGTACATGGGCGGGAATCTGGCGCTGTGTCGTGTTTACTCCAAGTTTCTGGCGTTGCGGATCAAGGCCGTGGAAGCTGGGTTGGTGGAGGGGCAGCAGGGGCAGTCGAAGCTTTAATCGTCATTTCTGCACATAAAGAGGGAACGATAGAGCAGGAATTCGACTTGGGGTTTTTGATAAATTAGAGGATTTTGCTGGCCCGACCAGAGGTTAAACTTCTCGAGAGACAGCTAGGTACCGTACACTCATACTATGAGCCTAAGGTAAGAATTGAAGTCATCATTCATATACCTCTCCCTCAGGAGAAGAACAGCCAGTGAAACTCTACTATATAACAAGTGACCACCTCTCCCTTCCACCCAAAAGAATCCTGACATAGATACATTAAACACATAAAGTCGCTGAAACACATATCGAAAAGTAATAGAAACAATAAGCCATGAGTCTTGAGAATCATATCCAGAAGCGTCGTAGCTCATCCTCCCACCCCCTTCTTGTTTATACACACAATCAATCTCTCGCCTGTTCACCGTCATCAATAATCATCTCGACATCCTTGATGGGATGGAGCAGCATCGGGGGAAGACACATGCGGCCCTCGCCGGCGAGCTCCTCCTGCTCGCCACCGTCGTTGTCGACTTTGAAGCCCAGCCAGCGGCGCCAGAGGTTCGGCGCGAAGCCCGCCGAGTAGAACCAGGTGGTGCCGCGGAAGTTGTGCTCGCGGTCGCCGAAGACGGAGGTGCGGGCGCCGCCGGAGGCGCCGTTGCGGCCGGCGTTGAAGACCGAGTCGACGTACTTGGTGGGCCAGCGGCGGTCGAGGTAGAGGGCGTGGGGGATGGAGACAGCCTTGAAGCCGTGCTGGAGGGCCGTCGAGGCGGGCCACATTTCCGAGAACATGGTGTGGCGCTTGCGGACGGTCTCCTGGTGCATGGTGTGCAGCAGCTTGTGGGACATGCGGGAGGCGGTGATGATGGCCGTGCGGCGCGGGGGCATCATGCCGGCGGTCCGGTCGTAGCCGGTCACGTCGTCGCGGAGCGCCCAGGTCGTGCCTTCGGGATCGAAGAGAGGGTTGAACACGATCAGGTCCGCCTCCTCGCCGACGCCCCACTCGTATCGGTCCTTCTCCATCGTGGTGGGCGGGATCCCTTCGCCTTCGACCTCGAGGATGTCCTGCTCAGCGGGCCGCTCGGGGCCCCAGACGGACTTGTCGCCTTGCTGGTGCAGGGCGTTCTTTTCGGCTGCTGACTTGTCTTGGCCGGGCTTTGGTGCACTCCACATGTTGTTCGGACTGTTGGTGCCGATCTCGGTCTGCACGCGCACCATCTGTCGGAAGTCCTCCCACGTCCCTTGAACGGACGGGACGTAGAAGCGCGCATTTCGTTCCCAGAGGCCCTTACGGGGCTGTTCTCGCGCCCAGCTGACGACCTTGTCGAAAAGATGATACCAGTGTCCTGTATATCGAGCATCCATCTCCCAGTTCCAATAATAGTCGTATTCCGGATGTTGGTAAGCAAAGTACTGCATGGGCATATGGGTGCTGCGATAGACACCGTGCACAGAGAGTCCGCTAGCCCACGTCTCTTCCAGACCAGGGTACATGAGCGCCATTTGCCGCTCAGACCAAAGCGTCGCCATACCACGGAACTCGGCCGGCAAGGCATCTGAGAGCACACGCTCATATGTCTCGTCGTCAGCCCAGATCTGGAGATTCTCATCTTTGACTTGGACCAAAAAGTGGATTGCATACTCGCCGCCGGACTGCAGGGACAGTTCCGAAATCAGCGAACGCAAATACAGAATGTCGTCAGGACTATAGCGGTAGTCGTGCCAGGTGCGCAGAACAAACGCAGTCCGGGGCAGCCGTCCACGTTCAGTCTGTTCTTGCTGATCATTTTCCGGGGAAGGCACAGTCGTTGCTGCATCATCCAAGGTCG